TTTCTATCCCGGTACTTTTGTTACTAGGAGGGAGTATTGGAGTGCTCGCAGTGTATTCAGATGGTAATGGTATGCCAATAATAAAGTATAGGTACCTAGCGGGGCGTCATGTCAGCACTTTAAACGACGAGTTGCTTGCAGTACAGTACAGTACAGAGCAGTGATTAAGGAAAACGGAAGAAAGAATTGCAGAGAAGGGGGCTTGGTAATAAAAGCGTGCTAGTTGGTGCTTACATACGCACGCACGCACAGATGTGAACCCCCCAAGCATGCCACGCACGGAAACGTGTTTTCATCATCCCATCGTCAGCGATGATGAAGTAAGGTAAGGTAAGTGCCCTGTGTGGGATTAAGATATCACATAAGACTTTAAGAAACTAAGGGAGATAGATGACTGGATGCCAGGGTCCCGGGTACTTTATATATTACTTTGTACTCTAGAACAATGAATGAATGAAAGAATGAAAGAATGAAAGAATGGTATGAGTGAGATGTTCCGCATATATCATGTCATCCGTAAGAAAGGGATCCTGGGAGCCACGCGGTAAATGCAAGAGGACAGACACCCATATAGCATTTTCCACCACGGCGTGAGACTCGGGACGATAGATGGGATTTACCCACTTTGCGAGAGGCCCGAGGGGCTGGAGCCGGAGTACTCTTTCGTGATCTTATAATTCAACGTTTCGTCGCAGACTTACCATTTTAAAATACCGCACGAGGATTTCGATGCTGCTTCAGTGACCCACATTTCTATTGAGTTTGACTTGATTCTGTTATACCAGAGAATAGTGTAATGCGGATGCCAAGATTTTTGCTAAAGATGCAAGTCGGACGAAAGACTCCGCTTCTAGAAGGTTAGATGAGAGATTTACGAGATGAGATGAGTACTATCGATTCAGGAACCGGTAATCTCCAGCCCTTACATTAGAGATGGTGAGCCCTTAAACGTATCTATGCGAGGAACCCGGTCAGAGTACCCTGAGGCTTGGATGGTCTTGCTACTGCTGCTGGAGAGACAGCATGTGGCAGTCGACTATTCTCCCAGGTGGCTTTTGGGTTCTTAGTAGTGAACAAGCTTCTGTAAGCTTTCATAGGCTTATGAATCCATGAACAGTCATCACTAGATCGGTAGTCTGATGTAGTTATATTGGCCTCAGTTTTTTTTTTTTCCGGTACTGTGACTAACCCATCTAGAAGTGAAAATGGATTGGTCATAAACATGAAAAGACAAGCACTTTGCTGACGACGATGGTGGCTAAGGGAACAGATAGGATAATGATAGGAATAGAAACATAGGAAAATTCCTTCACCAGAGTCATTTGTCAAAATGAAGGGGAAACATTAAGGGGAAGATGCGGCAGGCGGGAGTGACAGACTCGTAACTATCAATATTCCTGGCGAGTTGCACTGGCCAATACATACGGATTTAGGAGTTAGATACCTATCATTGGTGTGAAGGAAGGCATTAATTCCGCCAAAAGCCTTTGGAACACTTTCGCCGTAAATCCGAATCAATATGGTGTTCTTTTCTTGTTCATTGCTGATCGTTCATGGCGAAGAAAAAAAAATCCTCTTCACCGCAAAACATGTGTAACCATATCCTAAACCTCGGCCTCGATCAACCCCCCATGCTAGAAAGCTGATCTAAAGCCAATGATTGGTAACAGTAGGTCTCGAAGCCCTTTTGATGCCTAAGATTATTGATTTCATCGTGGTGTTGGATAGATAATGATATGATTGCGGAAAACAATTCCGTTTGTGTCGTTGCTACCGCAGACGATGTTAGGAAGAGACAACACAACAAGCCTACTTTCGGATTAATTGGCATCTGTAAAGATGAGAGGGGAAGATGGCGACCGGGTAGGGCTGAGCAGTCAATGGTGTCATGCGCAACGAGGCCATCTGGGCATCTAATGCGTTATTCGCTCGCACCGGATGGAAGATGCGAGGATGTGTGGATGCTTTGTTAATCATCTTTCCTTTCGTAACATGAGCATTAAATTGTGGTACTCCGCTACTGTTCGACTTTCTCACCGTCGTTGAATTACGACTTTGCTCGGTAAAGCATGAATTTGCAATGGTGATTGGCTGATAAGTGTATGACAGGGGTGAAAACAGTCCATGCAGCCAATTTTCCTGCGGTGTGGACTTTGATTGATGGCGGAGAAGGTCGGGGGGGTCGGGGTGTCGAGGGTGTCGAGGGTGTCTGTGTGTTCAAGGGTTTGATTTGTTGTTTAAATTGTTGTGATGGGGTGTGCGATGGGTGTGTGTGGAGTTTGGTTCCCAGGAAATATAGTAACATTTGGGTTTTTTCCCATTTCTCCCATTTTTCCCATTTTTCCCTGGTCTCCTCCGGTCTATCCTCCAATCACTTTATTATCTCGTCCCCAAATATCTCGCTCATCGACCGCCCAAATAAAATAAACATATGACAAAGCACGTGTACTTCCAGGGCTGGATGTGACACGGCAGGGATATGGCTTGGGATGGATCAAATCGCAATCAATGATTCATCGTGCAATTACAGTAGACGGCGATGTCAATCTCAAGATGCTGAAGAATTCTCTTGGCTTTATGGGTTTGATGGAGAGTGAACACCAGTTAGAATATTTGAAAGTATATCGCGACACCCGCAATCATTTCTTCCGTAGAGATTGGGCAGATTGGATCTGTTTTGGAAAAACAATAAAACATATATACCAGGTATGTATATATGGAGTTTGTATATATGATGGATGCATGGTGATGCATGGCGATAGTGATTAAAATCCATTGAGGGCAGATCCGACCTATAGGGAAGCTTTTCCCGGTAGTTAACCTAGTTTTACGTACGTACCTACATAAGCTACGCACTTATCTAAACCCCTCCTAAAACCCGACCCTGTAAATAATCAATCGTTACCTAGCGATAGTAGTAAATGCTTGATGATATATATATATAAATATATATATATTTATATATATCTGTATATATGTATCATCCTAAAGCTTCACATCTACAAATGCCATGAATAGATTTTAGCCACGTTAGAAACAATGTCGGCGACCTCAAAGGAATCGTGTGATTATCCTTTGAGCAGACATCGTAAAAGGGAAACAAGGTAAAGGACGGGCTTAGAGGCTACTAGTTAGGCGTTGGTTCACAGGTGTGATGGAATCGTTTCGTTTACACATTCATGGCGTCCGATGTACTAAAATGGAGCCTCCAATCCCAGTCCAGAAGGCCATGCTTTCCATGAATAGGGCCCAGCATGGCCAAGATGATGTTCTCGAATATGTCTGATAATGAACTTCCGTAACCCGTAAACTCGTAACTAATCCAGTGAATTAATGTCTATCGTGTCGTTTATCGCTCTCGAGGTTTTACTTTTGTGCCAGGGTCCGATGGTCCGAGAAAGGTCTTCAGGCAACCACTTTTTGACTATGCGACAAGACGGATGCACTGTGATGTGATAATTATCTCGACCTGGGCATGGAATTGATTTGATATCGTGGCTGGTACTCAGACTAAGTCACGAATGTACAGACATTGCCCCAATAACCCAATAACACCATTTTAGAGCGATTTGATAGATGGGCCCGATTAGATGATTGTCACCGTTGCTACTTACCTTGCTAACCATTAGACATTCCTTGCCTTGTCTTGTCTTGTCACTACGCAGTATGTAAACTAATTACACATCCATTACAGTCGTACCTACGAGACGAATATTGGATGCTGGTACGAGCTGTTAGGTCTACATCTAAAATTAACATTGACACCATGGGGACAAGAACGAGGAGAATACCAATATGGGGAAGTGGTAAGTCTAAATGGACAGTGAGAAGGAAGTTAGTTAGTAGTAGATTGTGTATTGTGTTGGTGCGTTCATCGGTTCATGGTTCATGGTTCGAGGAAGGCTTCAAAATAGCTTTTCCTGTGGTTGGTGCTTCATCAATACCCAGACAATGAATGTGTGGTCGGTCATCTTTACTGCCATAGGGCTGGTGAGCTAGTAATACTTCGTAATAATAGGGACTAATACTATGTCTTTTTACTGCCTCCTGTACATTTTGTTTGAAATGTTTCTATCTCTGGAATCATGAATTTTAGTCAATTAGTCGAGTTAGTCAAATTGTTAGTTCATCAGAGTGAAAATGTTTCTAAATTTATCTCCATTCCATCACACACATTCACACACATCTTTCTGGAATGATTATTCCGGCTGGAGGTGGGTGACGATGGTTGGCTGGTTGTGGTTGGTGCTGCTTTACGAGATAGACATTGGTGATGTGAATGATATGGCGGAAATCTATTAATGGTCCTTAATTAATCCACAATTCCAATTTGAGAGACTTTGACCACGAAATTGGATCTTTAGTGCGCCTCACATATGCATGTGGATGAGTGTACCCTTTTTAGGTTTGGACTCGGTGTCTATGGGATGGTGTGTGTTCGTTCTGGCAGAATCGATTGCCCCAGCTGCACGGCGCACCTCCCGGCCGTTTTGAACAGGGTGTGCAAAGTGGCTTGCAAGGGGGGCATGCTGTGCAGGGTATCGAAAGTAATTGCAGGGCATTTTCTTCTTCTAGGGTTTTTGGACAGGGTTTCGTCGTTTGTGTTGTAGTGTAGCTGAGCAAGAGGTGCGCCAGGATTCGGGGCCAAGTGGTTTGAGAATTCCGTATAGCTGCGTCAGTTTGGTTATCCCGCATTCACATATATATCAAGGAATGCTCCCCAGTGTAGGCGCAACTCAAGACCTTGCTGCAACAGTCCTTCAGATCCTCCAAGCCTGCTCAAGTTCTATCTTCCACCTTTCTATCTTTGATCATCCATCAGCACCCTTCCATTACTTTGAACAAACTATCAACATGTCTCGACACAGCTATTCATACTCTACGTCTACTACCGCCAGACACATGACAACTCACGGCACCAGCAGCGCTTTCAGCAGTTCTGCCAATCCAGATGAAGACTGGACCAAGATTTCCGATCTTGCTGAGCGCCGAAGAATTCAGAATCGTATTGCTCAAAGAAACTACCGTAAGTTCTTCTGTCATAGCTTTGAATCATCAACGGCCACTAACTCTTTACTTTTAGGCAAGAAGCTCAAGAGACGTCTCGAAGACCTCGAGCGCAGAGCCGGTTCCTCTTCAGCTTCCCCACCTCAAGCGCATGTGGAGCTCCATCAACAACCAGAGCGCAGCAACGAGAATCAACAATACAGAAGGAGCCCAGAAAATGTGCAACGACAGGTCTCTCCAAGACTCTTGCCTAGCCAATACACACCTCCCATGCACAGCGATGACGAGATCATCTTCTCTCAAAATTTCGATCGTGATGGATCTAGAACACCACCTCTATTCACATATCACACATACCCTGCTCCCGAGGATATTTCCTACCCACCATACCCACATTCACAGCCATATCGCGCCATTTCCGACAGTGAACGATCAGAAGCATACCAGCATTACATGGCACCTGCAGTGCCAGTGACTTTACCTTCCATGATGCACTTCAACGACGCAATCAAGCGGGAACCTGAAGATACCATGAGTCCCTACAATATGAGCTACCAAGGCTTGCCAGCAATCGATATTCATTCACATCACGGTTATGATAATCCTCATGTAAGGCACCCTCAAGCTGCAAAGCCACTTGGTTTGGGTCCTAACAGATATATGCAGACGCCACCTCTATCACACTCTTACGAGCATTCTACCACATGTTCCGAGTCCGGATACCAATATCCCACTACTCCTCTGTCCATGCCTCCGTCACCACGCATGATGACGCATATATGAGAGAGGGTCTCAAAATGACGATTCAGGATATTTGATTCTTTTGCTTGGGATATGTGAAACAGAGTTCGAAGTGCTCGACACTCGCTTTAGATGGGATCTGGGCATTGCTTGGAAATGAGGGAAGATCTGGGAGGAACAAATCAATGGGAGTCAGGAGTGTACGGAGTTTGATTTACTGCTGGTAGAAATGAAGGAACGATCCTAATGTAAATACCCAGTACGATTAGTGTTTTTTTCCTTTCATTCTTTTGTATAGCAAAACCTGGAAATGACTTCTCTAAATCTCGCATTCCAAATATTTTCAATAGCATTGTGACATGTCATATAATTTGCGTGGGTATCTCATCGCCATGCACCAAATGCCATGCTCAAAATAGATATATTCACAGCCGCCAACATACACAATTCTTATCTCCACACCGGGACCGAGACTGGATCTGCAAGGCCTACTATCTCCGTCCAAACAGTGTGTATCATCGGCTAACGGACCTGTTAAACACCCCGCGGGGTTGGGGGCCATCATGATTCGAGCAAGGAGACGGAAGGATAAGGCCAGAGCTTCTCGTTCGAAAGATCCATCTGTGATGAATTTTCCGTGCGAACTCGGGTTATACTCTTTGACGACCGATGGATGAGCTCTTTCCTAATATCCAGTCGCCGCAGTCGAACGGTTAATGCATGGTGTTGTTGTAAATTAACGGTGATGATCCTTGAGGTATTAGTGCTACTGTTGGTGTTTGTTATGATTTTGTTGGTAGTGTTGTTGGATCAAGCATTAGATCAAGCATTAGCAGTATTGAAAAAAAAAAATAAGAAAACAGACCACAAAGTCCGAGTGTACCCAAAACATCTCAGACCCCACAATTGCCAATTGCTTGATTTGACGCACGGATCGGAATTCCTTTTTTCCTTACAAAGGTCAAAAAAAACGCGCTTAGTGAAATGAAGACCCGAAGACTTGGTAAATGATTAATGATTAATGATTATACTGTAAGATCTACATTTTTCATGTAAGATCTTACTGGGGATAACTTCAAAATCATTGGATAATCTATACGGGACAGTATTTGAAATTAATCCTTTTATTTCGACAAGTCAATGCAGTGAGTTGTCTAAGAGCTAATCCCCTTACCAAAAGGCTAGAGGTATCTCTGCCAGCTTGTGTTGATCCATAACGGAACGGAAGTTTCCATCCTCCCCAGTGTCATAACGTCATTACCATTTGCCTCCATCAACATCAACATCAACATCATCATCACTATCCTAATCGCCATCACCATTGCTATTACTATTAGAGTATCACGGACTCATACGATACATAGAGCACTTTAGATCATCCCATTGTTTAGAAATCCAGACGTTAATCGACCTCGATTCTATTAATGGATCTTTTTGGCGGGTCAAAGTGAGCATCACATCTCCATGCAAGCAGTTCTACAGCATTATACTAATGCTTTATTTCTCAAGGCCTTGGTCGGCTCTCGATTGGACCTCAAGTGATGATAGAGTTAGGGGTGGAGCTTCCCAATCATACCTCGAATGCTCAACTTCGTCTGTAGCTACATTCAGTGGTACCCTCGATATTAAGACTCTCGGAGGTGCAGGTTTCGCATCCCAAAGAACCACTGCAGACCATACTGTAAGTTTGTAAAATGAAGCATGATTCTATTCCCATGTTCCTATGTTCAGAGTTCCAATCAAGAGTTTGATATCACCAAAGGGGCTGGTTGCATTCTATTTGTTCAGCCACCTCCCATTCTCAGACATATACCGTTACATTCGTTAAGTTCTAGTTGGGAAATTTACTCGATCTTTTCAATACCTTTCCAATGCAATTTCTGAATGTCAAAATGCGGTTAGAACATGGAGCGCACGTGTTTCAAGGCAACCCGCGATATTTGGATACACAATCTAGAATGCTACACTAGTACATGGCTTCCAATTCCGTTAGACTATTACGAAATTCTGTTCTACATACGGCTAAGTACAAAGCTGTATTACTATGTCAGACACAGATCGGTGTCTCATGGCGGCCGGGAAATACCCCTTGTTTGTGGAGTTGAATGGATACTAAAACGCTTTAATCGATGCAGAAGAAAGCAAGCGCTTATTCATCTCTACAGTAGTGATAAATATACGCATTAGGCAATTCTGTGGCGAGACACTTCTGCGGAAAGTCTATCAATTGACCTTGGACTCTAAGCTAACAACTGAATCTGTAGTGGGACCTTACGGCCTTTGATGGAATTTTACTCGATCTCGGAAAGAGTGATCAAAAACAATACACCTTCATCATCAAAGATGAATTGCTTCCCAAAAGTCCTAATGGTAGAGAACAAAGTACTATTAGCTGGGAGTTTGACTTCAAAGGCCCTGTAGATCATTCACTCCTTTTTGTGAAATGGGCAGATTTGAAGCCCACTTATAGAGGGCGGGAAATGAAAGATGCCACTCCTTTGAATCTAAAGAATATCAAAAGATTTAGCATCATGATGCGAAGGTATTCCCGTCAGTCCATCAAATGTCACATTTACTAACACAAATAAGCTTCTTCGGTAGCCAAGAGGGGGATTTTTCCCTGGCCATCATGTCAATATCCGCCACAAAAGACAAAGAGAATATCAATACGCCATATCGAGATGATCCAAACGAAAAAGGTCACACGAATCTAAGTTCGGGAATAGATGAAGCAATCCGTACAAAGCGACAGAGCTGGCTGGGCTGGTTCTTTGGGTCATGCAATGTATCATAGAAATTGACGGATCGGTAAATACATCACTAACCTTCACTGTGTCCTCGGCGGCAATCTCATCGCGCCACCATATACCCACCCCCGCTTCGATCCTTGCTCGCACGAGGTTCTGCTGACATATTAATGACTGGTTGATGAATACTAAATATCACCCGAACTTAAGTGCTTACCCTGTCTGATCTCTTCATGCATTAGGGAGGATGATCCACTATTTTTAGAGAGAGCCCGTTGAAGATCTTGGACTGGAAGTATGATGGAATATCCTAATTCGCATTCACGTTTGTCACAAATAAATGCGGTTGACACTGTCAATGATTGAGACATTAGTTACCTCGGACCGAATTTGTTTGTAACTAGCCATGTTTACACAAGTACAAGGGGCCTCATTCCTTCCGCGTGTACAGTACAACCCTAAATAAGGCATCTTCGAAGAAGGATTCATCCCGCAAATTGGATACACAGACTGTCACATGTGTCTCTATCAATTTCCAAGACAATAACGTTTTGTTAACTCCTTCATCGCATTTACTAGCTACATATGTATTAAGTTCCCTTCAATCAACGACGTAATTAATTACCATGCTGCAATGTAGTATTCGTATACCCACCACGCCTTTTGTCAATAAGCACTACCTAGGTAGGTACCTACATAAAGTATCCCCGACTGAACACCCAGTAATTCCTCCTTTCTCCATCCTCCATTCTAGAAACAGTAATTCATTCATATTATAGTATTACATCCTATGTATGCGGCATCTTGTGAATTGAGATCTTACTTACCTGTCTACATACCTACCGGTTTAGTCCCAAAGAAAGCCAAAACCCATTCCTTCCTTCTAAAATCCCCCAACCTTCTATTTTTTTTACCGCTTATGTGGGTTGTGGATCCCTGGTCACTCTAACACTAACACTAACACACTTAATAGAAACCCTGTATCCCTCGTGCTCTACGCCGCAAATACTACCCTCCCATAGGTATCTAAAATTATGATTTTCTCCTGTGTCTGTCTGTCTGTCGAATGAATCTGTAGATGGATGGATGAATGGATGTGTCGAAAGATCCCTGACAGCTGAATGTTTTCCACGTTTTTCCCTGGTTTAATATCTAGGTTTCTCATTCACACCCACACACCCATATCCATATCCATACACATACTTTCTTCATTTCTTCATCTCGCTTCTTTATAGTTTATACTGCTGCTACTACTGCTACTACTGCCCCATGCAAATACAAATAAAAATACTACCCCCCGTAGCCATCCGTCGTACTATACTTATACTAAACTATACTGTATGTATGTATCAACTATTCCGAGTACGTACGGTGAATATGAATAATCCATCTGCTCCATAACTCTATAACAATTATTACCTAGGTATTTATTATTCCTTTCGTCTCGTCTCCTTTCATTTCATTTCATTTGATTTCATTTCGTCTCGCGCTCTCTGCTCAGCTCCTTCGCGCGAGATGTCTCAATTGAAGTTACCTACTTACCTACCTACCTTTCTGGGTATCTACTAGCTCCGTAGGTATCTTACTTCTCCACAAACGGCACGCACGGGTACACGGGTAACTTAAGTTAGGTAGGTAGGTAAAGAAAATTTGTTGAAATCTATGGAGGAATTTTAATTCCTATACTATACAGTATCTGTTGATTTGATGATTTGATGATTTAATATGTATGTGTATGAACAATATGAAAAACATGACCCATGTCTCGGGATCTACGGCATAGACTCTTGAAAGTTGGAATTGATGCTTGGAGTTTTAGTACCTAGGTAGGTAGTAGTCGATAAAGAACAGAGGACTCTTAGCTAGGGCTGCTTGGAATGAATGAACGAACTGCTGTGCCTTATTGAGAAAGAAAGTAAGTGATTACGAATTAACTATTGTCGTAAATATCTCAATCCATTTTTCGAATCTTTCATCATTCATTCATGAGCTCATCGGCTAGGTACCTAGCGTAGCATACTTTTCTACTTTCGCCAACCACAAGGTACTAAATACTCCGCACATAGTACATACATATATACAAATAAACAGATAGATCTAGATTTTATTTCTATCTCCCAATTCAAAAAATATCCCATTAATGAATAATATTATTCACTGCTCTGTCCTTAGTCTCCGGGTATACGGATCGTTTCGTTTCGTCTCCAGAATATAAATCTAGATTCTAGGCATCTATCTATATATCTCAATTCCCACGCGATAATTACTCCATATAGATGATTTTCCCCATTTTCATGCATTTCCATGCATACTTTTTGTTTGAAGATCAATTCTACCGTGCCGTTTTTTCTCCATGATTGATATGATTTATTTGTCCGTCTGTTGCTTTTTTCCTGGGGGGTTATTAGGTTATGAGGTCATGTACAAATACGTACTATGTCACTGTGTATATCAATATACTGTCCAAGATTCGTTCTGCAGAGTATATTCCACTATTATACGAGCAAGCTACAGTACCTAGGTACGCATAATAAATGAACAAATAAATGCATCATGTACTCCTCCGTCACAATATGCACTCCTCACCACGTTTTACTCGGCCCCCATCTGCACTATAGTGTCTCCCTTACGTATCCATCCGATCCGTTTAAAGTCATTTATTTACCCAGCACTTCTTCCCAAACCCTCTCTTTCCATTTAGCCTATATGCTATAGGACAGAACCCGCCAAAGAAAACATATTAACTAATTAATTAACTCATCCTTACTAATCAACCATGCATACATAACTCGAATTCGAACTCAAATAGAAAACTTCTAGAAAAGCTCACTGCAGATTTCTGTACTCCGTCAGCAACATACTATGCATCTATCACAAACGCTGTAAGAATAAGACGGGTATCACCGTATCATATCTGAAAACCGATGAACCAAAGCCAACCAAAATTAAGCCAACCATCTTACCGCTTTAAAGGTTCAATCAGGTACGAGTCCTTCACGCTTACTTAATTACCTACCTGCCTGCTTGTTCATCTGATGCTCTTTAGTACGAGTACCGGTGCCGGATGTATGTATGTATGTATGTAAGTGTCCGCTTATCCGTGCAGGTACGAGATACCCGGTAGGCTTATATGTGTACTCGATCTTTGCGCCTTAGTGGGTGCGAGGATGGGTAGGTGGTACGAGTTTGTTCTGGAATTAGTTGAGGATTCATTTGCTGTTGTGATTGTTGGAATTGTAAGATAGGGGATTGGTGTGTCTTTTTTATTCCTGTTTTATTTTTTAGATATTATTTTTGTGGTTATTATTCCTTCAAGATTATTTTGTCTGGCTATATCGCTCTATGGGTTATATCTTCGGGAATTGTTTCATGTTGAGGTGGAGATGGAGTGTTTTTCTATAGCCAGATAAATATTACTCTAAAGTATAGTAGCTAAGTACCACAGCCACAACATCTAGTTGAAGATGCTACAGCTACAGCTAGCTGTGAAATACGAACAAACAAGTACCTATGTAGGAAAGAAAAAACCCATCAGCATCAGTCTCAACATCAGCAATAAACCAACCAATAATATTCAACCAAGCACAAAATAGAAATCCACACAATCCCAACTTCTCCATCCCCTTCCCCTTCACCTTCTCCTTCCCCATCATCTGATCTCCAAATCTTATTTACTCTGATTCTACAAATCCCAAATCAGAAGAAGACGCACCGCACCGCTCATATCTCTGTGTTACCAAACCAACACCAATTGCAAATACCACCCACCCACACACATCCACACGGGAATCTTCAATCTCTTCATCCCATGCCCTGTTTATACATCCATCAAGCCCTATCATGTATATACTAGGTAATGCTACGTAAGAATATCACTTTATAGTGTAGCTGGTATATTATATTCTCCATAAATCGCTTTTGCGACCCATACACTAGATATTTGAATATCTAAATACTGATATATCTCCGATTTCGATCCAATTCGTAGTCTAGGATTGGTGATTCGAAGATTGGTTTCTTTTATTGATTAAAATTAATCAAATCAGAACTCAATTGAAGTGAGTCGAGAAAAGAAGGAAAAGGAAAGAAAGGAAGAAAGGAAATTTGACGGATTGCCCCCATCATCATATACACAGAAAACATACTCTGTATAATACAGAACTTTTATATCATAGTTAAGGAACAGATGATAAAAGCCTCTTGAGTTTCTTTTTTATATATAAGCCCTATCACTATCACTGTATTATTACATATTAGATATATTTACTTCACAAAGTATTAAAGACTGAAAAAGGACATATTCGTATATATAATAATTAATTTAATAGAGCTTATGTCTAAATACTATCGTCTTGATCATATATCTATATATACACCTATCACCTCCATCCCTCTCACCCACTTCTTCTTCATCCCCTCCCAGAAAAACAATCCAAGGAAAATCCAGCAAAAAACCCATCAATTCTTACCCAAATTCACTGACCAGATATTAGAACACATACATACATCGATTTATATTATACCATACCATCCACACGTCATACATATCCATCCCAACATCCACCCCACCTACCTCCTCTAAAAACCACCACATCATATAATCTTACATCAACACCGGCTCCCCACCCTCCCTCCCACTCAAAATATGAAGTGCTAGTAGAATACTATGAACGCTGTATCTATCTTTCTTTCCAGACAGTATACTCGAGCGATATTGGATTGCGATTGCAATCGGGTATACATTTTACCACGTTAAATATCCGCACCCAATGACCAACTAGTCTACAAAATTGGCCAACAAAACATCTCATATACATCCTTCCGCCTTTCCTCTTCCTCCTTTCTTCATGAAAAGATCCTTCCGCTACCTTAACTCTTAATCTATATTACGCCCATATACATCCCCCCAAAAAAACACCACATACCACACACTACAACATCTCATCCCATTCCCATCCGCCCTACAACTACCAACCTACCCAGCCACCCACCCAAAACCAAAACCAAAACCAAACACAAACACAAACCGTGCGCAAAATGCATTACAATCCCCATTAGGAAACCCTCTATTATCCATCATTACCTACTCAAAATGATGTTTCCCCCCTCCTTCTCCAAAATCCACCCAGAAGATCAATATCCCCAAATAGTTCTCTGCCGTCATCTCGCATGCATACATATGCATACATTATTGTACACCTCGCCATGTATCTAAAACCTTGAAACGGGATGAGACGAGATGTGATGATATAAGAGAGGTCAGATGAAATGATCCAGGCGAAGAAAGGGGAATGCTCAACTTAAGCGAACGCAATACATCACCTAGGTCCTGAATCTAATATTTATTAATAATCACCATTAAGTCTTTTCTTGGAACAAACAAACTTCATGAATTGAAGCGGCACTGGCAAGAAAAAGCTGGTCTATCTTCATTTATATGCGACTTTTGTGTAGCATTTTGGTTTTATCATATTCCTATCCCCCTTTGCACTCCGAGAATCGAAAACAATCAGTGCTCCATCCGCAGTTGGTGCGATTGTGCAACTTTCCGGGTGTCTCAATCCCAACCGAGACTCAGACTAAGTTCAAGCCATCAAGGTGACAAGATCTATCTATAGTCTCTCACCAGCAGCAGCCTTGGCCTCACCATACTTCTTCAATCTGATAGATTGAACACTAATGAAGCCGGTAGTATCCGCAGGAGCAAATGAACCAATTTCATCCATAGAACTCTCACTTGCATCGTACAACTTCTCGGTCTCTGAGGAACGACCTAATACACTGAAGGTACCCTTATACACACGACATCTGACTTGTCCATTGACATTCTTCTGGGAAGCAACAATAGATTCCTCGATGAACTCACGTTCAGGGGAGAAGTAAAGACCATTATAGAGGATCTTCGAGTAATTGTAGGTAACGAATTGATCACGGAGAGCACGGACTTCACGGTCCATGACGAGACCTTCGAGATCAACGTGGGCAGCGCGGAGACAGGTGAGACCAGGAGTTTCGTAACATCCTCTGGATTTGAGACCGATGAAACGGTTCTCGACAATATCGATACGTCCAACACCATGACGACGAGCGATAGCATTGGCTTCGAGAAAGAGTTCAACAGAGTCAGTGATGGTCTTACCATTTGTGATGAGCTTCTTGGGGAGACCCTTTTCGAAAACGAGAGTGAAGTCTTCTGGTTGATCAGGAGCCTTCAATGGATCAACAGTCAACTTCCACATATCTTCTGGTGGCGTGACATCTGGGTCCTCCAAGATACCAGCTTCGTAACTGCAGTGTGCCAAGTTCTCATCCATACTCCATGGCTTGGCCTTTGTGCTGCTAACTGGAATGCCTGCCTTAGCAGCGTACTCGAGGAGATCGTTTCGGCCAGCGAAACGTTCGTAGAATTCTGGAAGACGCCATGGGGCAATGACTTTGATGGTTGGTTGGAGAGCATAGAATGCGAGCTCGAATCGAACTTGGTCGTTACCCTTTCCAGTACAACCGTGAGATACGGCAATACATCCTTCCTTTTGGGCGACGTCGATTTGTGCGCGAGCAATAACTGGACGAGCAAGAGATGTACCTGATTGTCAAACTCATTAGCCTCAAGCCCTCCTTAAATCCTCTTGTATATGATATGTGTGACTCACCCAACAAGTATACGTTCTCGTAGATGGCGTTACATTGAACGGCAGGGAAGCAAAGCTCATCGACGAATTCTCTGGATACAATATTAGATTTATTCTCAAACAAAGACTAAAATGCTTGCATACCTCTTTAAATCCTCAACGTAGCATGCAACAGCTCCAATCTTCAAAGCCTTGGCCTTGGCAGCTTCAAAGTCCTCTGTTCTCTTATTAGCAAGATATTACTTTCCTTAAGAAACTGCAAAATATCATACCCTCTTGACCAACATCGGCCATGAAGCAGACGACATCATATCCCTTCTCAATCAACCAAGCTAAGATACAGCTGGTATCCAAACCACCACTGTAGGCGAGACAGACCTGGAGTCAATATACATCAGCTCAGGCTCTATTTGCTCTTGTATGATTCATGAAACTCGGAAGAACAATCTTACCTTATCCTTTGCCATTTTGAAGTTTGTGTATGTGAGAATTGTATGAGTAGATTTGCAGGTTGTAATTGAAAACTGGTTTATATCCCTTTACAAGTATGAGTAATGTTGGTTTTAGTGCAGTCAATTGAGGGGGTGGGCTCAACAACAACAACAATAGTTAATTAATTAATTAATTACTATGGTGGGGTCGGGGTCGAAACTACGCGCTTCCTTTCTTTATCAGACCAATTTTTTTCACCCCACCAGCCACTAAGATAACTAAATAAAGTTAGTTAATATTACCAGCCTTACCATTTCCCCTGTCAGATGTGGCTGTGGGAGAGGAGATAGCCAATTGGAATGTCCTGACCAAAATTCATGACATGAAGTTCTTATCAGGAGACTAGAAAAGAATTTTCGTCGCTGCTGCAGCTGTTAATCCGATTTCGCTGCCAATCTTGTTAGTTCTGGATATTGAAATTCCTCACGCATTAAAACCATGAGCATTGAAGTCATCTCAATTGACCACTTGCATTAAGTTGGCTGAAATTAAGAGATAATAGTTAGGTAGATGGATGAAGGCGGGTGTTTGAAAATAGAAATGTGAAGCTTTATCTGCTTAACCTAGAACCTTGTTGAAATTTTGGGAGCATTGTGTAATATTCATCAAGACGGTCGATTACCACGTTTGAGTTCACCGTGTAATTTTGCAAGAGCACCAATTTTGTGAAACTATCTTGATTTCTTAATCCATCAAGATGAACTACTTCATAGGGTATCGACGATGTATAGTCGCTCTACGCCCTCAAGACCACTGGCTCCTAATTAACAAAAAGACTAAAACAACCCACACCCGAGAAATTATCAACCTTGCTACGAATAAATGTGATTCGACATCGTGTTGCCACTAATGCAAGATCAGTAACCAGTCCGTCGTTTCTTCAAAGAAGCAAAGTAGGTAATAGCATTAAACGTCTATTCCTCGCCCTCAATTGGGGCTTCCTCTTCGTACTCCTCCTCTCCCTCAGAGATCGAGGCATCTTGGTATTGTTGGTACTCGGAGACCAAATCGTTCATGTTGGACTCAGCTTCAGTGAACTCCATCTCGTCCATACCCTCACCAGTGTACCAATGCAAGAAAGCCTTTCTTCTGAACATAGCAGTGAATTGATCACCGACACGCTTGAAGAGTTCTTGGATGGAGGTCGAGTTACCGACGAAGGTGGAGGACATCTTGAGACCACGGGGAGGAATGGAGCAAAGGGCGGTTTGGACATTGTTAGGGATCCACTCGACGAAGTAGGAAGAGTTCTTGTTTTGGACATTGCGCATTTGGTCCTCAACCTCCTTCATGGAAACCTTACCACGGCTGCACACGATTAGTATATATAGAGCTGCAGACGGGTAATATGACAAACTTACAAGATAGCAGAGCAGGTTAAGTAACGACCGTTACGGAAATCGGAAGCGGCCATCATGTTCTTAGGATCATACATTTGTTGGGTCAACTCTGGAACAGTAACAGCACGGAAAGAGTGTGCGCCACGACTGGTCAAAGGAGCAAATCCAACCATGAAGAAATGAAGACGGGGGAATGGAACCATGTTGACAGCCAACTTTCGGAGATCTGAGTTAAGTTGACCAGGGAAACGGAGACAGGTGGTAACACCGGACATGACAGCGGAGACCAAGTGGTTAAGATCTCCGTAGGATGGGTGGCTGAGCTTCAAGGTTCTCATGCAAATGTCGTAGAGAGCCTCGTTGTCGATACAGAAGGTCTCGTCAGAGTTCTCGACCAATTGATGAACAGAGAGAGTAGCGTTATATGGCTCGACGACGGTATCGGAAACCTTTGGCGATGGGACGACGGAGAAGGTAGCCATCATACGATCTGGGAACTCCTCACGGATCTTGGAAATCAAAAGCGTACCCATACCGGCACCAGTTCCACCACCGAGAGAGTGGGTGATTTGGAAACCTTGAAGGCAGTCACAGCCCTCAGCCTCACGACGAACGACATCAAGAACTTGGTCGACAAGCTCAGCACCCTCAGTGTAATGACCCTTAGCCCAGTTGTTACCAGCACCGGATTGACCGAAAACGAAGTTATCTGGGCGGAAGAGTTGACCGAAAGGACCAGCACGGACGGCATCCATGGTACCTGGCTCCAAATCGACGAGAACGGCACGGGGAACATACTTGTTGCCGGAAGCCTTGGAAATGTTAGCGAATGCCCTTCGTATTGCTGAAGTTGTGTGTATATACCTCGTTGAAGTAGACGTTCATACGCTCAAGTTGGAGATCGGAGGTTCCATTGTAGCTGTAAATAAACGATGTCAGAAATGTTTAAAACATGGCAATGAACTGCAGTATTACTTACACACCAGAGCCGTCAAGACCATGCTCACCAGAGATAGTTTGCCTATATCATGTTAGTATTGAATCTGAGGTTGTCGCGCGGCAGAGCTTTCGCAAAGTCGAGATTTCGTACCAGAAAGCAGCACCAATTTGGTTACCCTGAGCAGAACATCAGTATATTTTGATAGAATGGGTTGCGATGAGTTGACTTACACATTGGCCGGTTTGAAGATGAACCTGCAGATTGAAAAGTTACCTGGTCAGCGATATTGATACTTTTGAAAAATATATAGTGGGGTGCTTTTCAGGGGTAAAGTCGACGCGTTCTGAATAGAGCAGTAGAAGCTGTAGATGAAGAGAGAGATATACATACGATCTCACGCATATTGAAAGTAGATTTAGGATTTTGTTTTGAGGAGTTGAGGTATGAGAATTTGGATATTGAAAAGTCGAGGTTGTAGATAGAGAAGTAGGAGGTTAAGGATTGCTGAGATGTCCTTGTGGATAGTGGAGTTTGTTGTTCACCGCTAGGAAGGAGCAATCGGTAAACAAATACAACACTAGTGTGGATTAATTTTACTCAATAGGTTAGTACGTCGGACGACGGAACATTCTCAATCACGTGAAATCAAACCTGCGGGTCGAATTTATGAGGCAATTCGCATCAAAGACCGTGATATCTCTCAGTTGATATATAGAGTCCCTTTGTTGACAGTACTAACTCATCCATTACTTTCTGTGAAACTGTTTTCATCATGGAAGCAGAAATAAAGACCTTCTTACCTAATATTGATCCAGTTGTATCAGAATATTCTGTTGGATACCTCACTCATGCATCAAATGCATATGTAGAGGCAGACCAAAATGGCCCATCTCCATTATCAGAAGCAGCTGCTTCTATCTCAGCGCTCTTACTATCAGCTTCTGGTGATCCAAGTCCAGAAAACAAATCAAAGATCAATGAACTAGTGGACAAATGGGTACGAAAATTTGATGGTAATGGACAAAATAAGCAAATTTCTTCCGCTGCCAAACGGCTAGACCAAGCCATCCAAGTTGGGGCTCAAAGAAACATGTCGTCTACTTTAGGTGTTTCTCTTGGAGGTGTTGATTTGGAATCCGCAAATGTTAGAAAAGTGGAGTCTAGAGTTGATAGGAAGAAGTTGGAGAAAGCCGAGAGAAAGATTGCTGCCAAACAAAGCAAGAAGGAATTCAAGGCCGTCGAATATGAGGCTTCTAAACTTATTAATCAACCTGATGATGCCCAGTCATATGAAGAGTTCTTCATGGCTGTCAATCCTTTGCAATTAGGATCAGGTCAATCGACAAAGAGCAAGGATATCAAAGTGGACAATATCGATGTTTCTATTGGTGGTTTGAGAATTTTATCAGATACAAACTTGACCTTAGCTTATGGTCGAAGATATGGTTTGGTTGGTCAGAACGGTATCGGAAAGTCTACTCTATTGAGAGCTTTGGCAAGGAGAGAACTGGCCGTTCCTACCCACATTTCCATTCTTCACGTCGAGCAAGAAATTAGTGGAGATGATACGCCCGCGTTGCAAGCTGTGCTTGATGCTGACGTATGGCGGAAACACTTACTTGCAGAGCAAGTTAAAATTTCCAAGCAACTTGCAGATATGGAAGCAGAGCGATCCTCGATGGCTGATACCTCTGAACAAGCAGAGAAGCTTGACAAAGAGCGTGAGGGTCTCGATCAGACCTTGGGTGATATTCAAGGCAAGCTTGCGGAGATGGAATCCGACAAAGCTGAATCTCGGGCTGCAACCATTTTGGCTGGTCTTGGTTTCTCTCCTGAAAGACAACAGTTTGCTACCAAGACATTCTCCGGAGGTTGGCGTATGCGTCTCGCATTGGCCAGAGCCCTGTTCTGTGAACCTGATCTTTTACTTCTTGATGAACCGTCTAACATGTTGGACGTTCCCTCTATTACTTTCCTTGCCAACTACCTTCAAGGATATCCAAGTACAGTTCTGGTAGTATCTCACGACAGAGCATTCCTAAACGAAGTTGCAACCGATATCATTCATCAACATTCCGAACGTCTCGATTACTACAAGGGTGCCAACTTCGAATCTTTCTATGCTACAAAGGAGGAACGCCGCAAGACAGCTCAACGAGAATATGAGAACCAAATGGTGCAACGTGCTCATCTCCAAGCATTTATTGACAAGTTCCGTTACAACGCTGCCAAGTCCTCAGAAGCCCAGTCAAGAATCAAGAAGTTGGAAAAGATGCCAATTCTCGAAGCCCCCGAATCCGTTTATACAGTCCATTTCAAATTTCCAGAAGTAGAAAAGCTTTCTCCCCCAATCGTCCAAATGACCGACGTGTCCTTCGGCTACACCCCCGACAAGCCTCTCCTCCGCAACGTCGACCTAGACGTACAGCTCGACTCTCGAATTGGTATCGTCGGACCCAACGGAGCCGGTAAAACCACTGTCCTCAAACTTCTCATCGGAAAGCTCTCCCCAACCGGAGGACTCATCTCCCAAAACCCTCGACTCCGCATCGGTTTCTTCGCTCAACATCACGTCGATGCCCTCGATCTAACCACCAGTGCCGTCGGCTTCATGACCAAAACCTACCCCGGAAAAACAGACGAAGAATACCGTCGCCACCTCGGCGCCTTCGGTATCACTGGTATGACAGGTTTACAAAAGATGGAACTTCTATCCGGAGGTCAAAAATCCCGTGTCGCATTCGCCTGTCTCTCTTTACAAAACCCACACATTCTCGTTCTTGACGAACCGTCTAATCACTTGGATATTGAAGCTATGGATGCCTTGAGTCAAGCGCTGAACGCATTCCAGGGTGGTGTGTTGATGGTTAGTCACGATGTTACGATGTTGCAGACGGTATGTACGAGTCTTTGGGTTTGCGATAATGGAACGGTGGAGAAATTCCCTGGGGATGTGCAGGCGTATAAGAAGAGAATCACGGCACAGGCAGATGCAAGCGGTGTTGTACAGGCTCATTAGGATATCTCTAAACCTTTATAAGCTGCCAATAAAACCGAAATATTTACTTCAAGCTTCAAATCCCAAAGTCACTTCATGGTTCAGTTCTTGGAGTTATTTTGTGTCTAAAATTTCCCAAGCCTTTTTTGTCAAATCTAATACCCCTTTTTTCTATCAACCAAATTAATCAAATTCCTTCCCTTTTCTATATTCTCTAAATTCTCATCCAAGATTGCAAAACTCCGCTCTGCATACGTGGTCCCTAGCCCACTCACATGCGGTGTGATAGCCACATTGTCCAAAGCCCACAACTCATTATCCTCAGGTAATGGCTCAGGGTCCGTAACATCCAATGCAGCACCCCTCAAACCTCCCTCACTCAATGGCTTCTTCAAATGTGTAATTAGATCTTCCTGATTAATAATACCACCTCTCGCAATATTTATGATGAAAGCGTTTGTCTTGGAACCCAGAATTCAAACTCGGCAGCAGAAAGAAAAGTGACGTGTCTCAGGCGTCAAGGGAACAGAAATCAGCAGAATGTCAATATCCTGCTTGAGGAAATTGTGCAAACTAGCTTTATCGAGTCCAGAATACCATGCAGAAGGAATCGTACCATCTGCATCCCCAGTATTGGGAACGATATACTTTCCACTATCTTTCCTCGATTCGGGCGTAGGACGGGGCGATGCCGTATATGCTATAACATCCATACCCATAGCTTTGCAAATCCGCGCCGTCTGTCTCCCTATCGCACCATATCCCAAAACACCTAATCTCTGACCCACGCAGTCTCTCATCGCGCCCAATTCTTGATAATTCCCCCATACGTGTTTTTTCTGCCATTCAACCATAAGCTTCTCCCTGTGCGAATGGCTGAGGATTTGCATGATAACCCATTCTGATATCTGCGGTCCATGCACACCGGATGAATTCGTAATGGGGATTTCCGTTTCATTCCACACGGGCGTCTCACGCAATCGATCTGTGCCGGCGCTGAAGAGATGGATGAGTTTGAGATTTTTGGCTTTTTCCGCTGAAGGCGGAAGTGATGAGAGAGTAACGAGTATCGTTGCATTGTGCCATGTTTCTGGAGAAGGAACGAATGAGATGGTTAGGAATCTGATCTGCAGCATGTAGAGAATATATGAAGGTGTATCTTACCATCCGGGACTTCGGCAAGATCTAATGCCTTGCCTACCCCAAAAAACATCTGCTTATATGTAAATTCTACATTATATTTCTGACGAAGCTTATCCAAAAGCTTGGGATCTTCGGGAAAAGGAAGAAGACATAAGATATGTTCTTTTGGTTTCTGAACTTCACCCATGATTGGAGGGGTAAGTAAAGCGAGATGACTAGTGGCAGATATTTATAATATAAGATACAAGATACAAAATATAAGATAGAAGCAATTGCAATACCGGAAGCCGGAAGTGCCGCAATGAAGCTTATATATATATATTAAGAACCCAATACCCACTCTGCGACTATCGGTTGACGAATGGAGCATTCATACGTAACGAAACCCATATTACATGGGAACGATTAGCTGATATTCGTCACGATTGGAAGTATTTTAGATTTATCATCCATAGTTGCGTGCTCACCGAAGTCGCATCCACTCCCGTCATCCACTTGCCTTTCTGAGTCTCTCTGTGGTATTCAAAATTACCCCGCCGTGCCCTTCGAGGCTTGAGCGCTAAGATAAGATAAGAGGGTGCATGAAATTTCCTGTGAGAATGACAGAAGAGTGCGAATTCATCACGATATATTCCTACTCTGAGGAGTTTGGAAGGTATAGCAGACGCTTTACGCCCGGTACGAGGGGATGAGTAGAAATCCAGTCACCACATGTAATTTTCACTCCTATAATGTTCGTCCAAAAGGTCGAGGAACAAAGCCAAGGATGTGGATTTTACTTTGTTTCGATTTTCGAACCACTGAAGTTATGAGATAAAATTCTATTGAGTAGTTTGTTTGCGAGCCAATTCATCATGTTCCTCAATATCTTGCGCTTCCCAAGGATAACAAATCCATACATCCTCCACGGTTCTTGCTGCGAGATATCTATTATCTTTCAACATATCCTCAGGGAGAGTACCCTTCTTCTCCTTATTCTTGTTCTGTTGACGCAAAAATATTAGTGAATTTCCTCCTTAAAGATGTATATCTAAACCCAGAAAGTTACTCACATGTAATACGAAGACAGAGAAAACAGTCTTCTCTCCCTGACCACCCAACTTTTGTCTAGCAAGCTCGACATCCTTCTCCAATTCCTTAACAGCATACTCCAAAGTGGTTCTTGTATCATCCACTTCATCGACGATCAGAATCCTCTTTCCCACCAAATTCTCCATATTACCCAAACTATTCAAATCCAACCATTGAGTTCTCGTAACCTTTGTACCCAATTGCTCAACCTCTCCTGGAGTATTCGACGAAGAAGGGTGTGTAGAAGGAAGCTGTTCGTATAGCGAGAGCCCGATAGCTTGGATAGGAATATTAGGACTTCCGGGCTGTTTTAAAAACGACCGGAGGATTCGCGCAGGAACATATCCACCACCACCAATAGCAATCATGAGTTGAGGTTGAAATTCATCGAGAATTCGTGGTGCGGCTTCTTGACATAGTTTGTGGACCTGGAAGATTCTCAGTGTGTGGTTTTGCTCGGAGGGGTAGGATTAATGAGGTCAGAGGGGCATTTTTGAGCTTCTGTTTTGCTGCATGCATACCTGGTTATAGGTCACATATTCTTTGACGACCATCTTTGATATGATTTGGTTGAATGTGTGGTATGTGGGAAATGTTATCACGATCTGTGTAACTTGAGAAGAAGATTTGAATATATTCAGACTTTTTTTTTATAGATTTTAAGCACCTGCGTAGTTACCTAAAAGTTCAAAAAATAAAATGATTCAAAAGTTTGTGATCCTAGCCCGGGGAGCCATTGGCCGTATGCCTAACTAGCTAATCGACCGGACTTCGCCTGCTGCAGGAATTTTAATCTCACACCGTTTTGTTCACTAAATATAATATCAATCAGTAATCAGATGCCTGAGGGAAGTGAATGAATCAATAAATAGAGTGAATGTAATTTCGAATATCAGATATCTTCTTTACTCGTTCTTTTAAGGTATACAACTTTCACACTCCCATTCTGCTACACACTTGCTAGCCTTTCAAATGTTAGTCGTTGATATATTTCTTCTAGATTGCATATGTGCATTGGCTAGGGTAACAACAAATCTTAATCCATACATATTCAATATCCAATATTCATGAGCGTTAAATCCTGACGCGTTTAATCACCGAGGAGAATTTCGTCCTTCGCGTTCTTATTTCTTCCAGAGCCTTAAACAAATTGATGGGGCAAACTGTCCGGGCTCATTACTGAGCATCTTCTGCATAGAAATGATGAAGAGACACCTTTAATTAAGCGATACCGTAAGTTGAGATTGTGATGCATAATGTAGATAGGCCGAGAACAACGATCGAGAAAGTCATGGGAGCGGATGGACTAAAATGGTATTGGTCGTTAGGTATGTGTAGCTCACGATGATACATTGGCGGAAGTGGCAGCCTTCAAGTTTGTTCCCTCCGTATGCGAATGCTTTCACAGGAATGAATGGGTTGAGAAGAGTTAGATGGATGTTTCTGGGAGACTTTACAGAAAAGTCGGGGTTTGTTCTGGAGGGATTAGTTAGATACTATGTAGTGGTATAACTAGAGGCAGCTAGATCATGTAATGTAGTCATATCTCTTGGGAAGTTGCACGTTCATAGTAAGTTATATAAGTTTATATGATAAAAATTACAAGTATTTCCTTCAGGATCAAGATCAAAATCACAAAGGCTAGCTAGAAACAAGTCCTAACATCCAGATTCTCAGTTATTAGAATGAATGAATGACTTTTGAGTGAAGATGTGAAATTATGAATTAAAGGATCCATACTCCGTAATAAATAGTATCAACAAAGTAAAAGGAGAAGCGAGATGAGATGAGATGAAGCGAGATTGGATATGTGAGGATAATTAGGATAAGAAAGTGAAGAGCGGTGTTTGTTTGTCTTTGTCTTGAGAGGAAGGAAACTATGGTCTGAGAAGTTTGATTGGTTGTCATTGATTGTGGGGTGGAGGTTTGGGGGTTTGCATGTAGGGGGTGGGATGTTTTCTTTTGTGGTAGGAGAGGGATATTCTGTGGGTTAGAGCGGAAGGAGATGATGAGGTAGATGATTCATAGTGTGTGATGGAAATTGTGTATCTAGTGTGATAGAAGTGACAGAAGTGAATGATGGAAGAGTGAAGCTGTTGATTTCAGTGAGTTAAGGTCTTGACTAGGACTTTGTTATAGTAACATTGTGTGAAATGAAGTCGCATTGATACTTACGCGGGTGATGGATCCATCATGTAAAATCATACAATTTTGAAACGAAAATGGTATATCAAGCCATGCCTTTAGTATTTCTACCTGCGTATACGAACTGCTGCACACCCATGTTCTTCTCCCGCGAGCTGCCTCTCCTTTGCCTCAGAAATAAACACTAGGTCGTACAGTATTAAAGTCATCAACAGACTCTAAGTGCTAGGTCTTTCAGTAGCCTCTAGTGTGATGATTTAATACATTGATGTATCGTGTTTTGGCGCTTGCATTGAATTAAGAACAATATAAAATTGATTCAAAGGCTGAACATCGATATGATGCTTGACGTCTCTGCAGACAGACTACACTGTCTAGTTTGGGCCGCTATTTTGTGATACCTTTGGTGTCACTAGAATCTGGCGTTTCAGCATAAAGGTGTGGTCGCACATCTCAGCTTTCCATTTAATCCCCGAATTATCCCTCAGATCTGTGGACGTGTGTAAGACGTGGGGGTTTCCGACCTACTCAACATGGTATGTGAACTGCTCCTCCCACGAGATCCTCATGACGAAATTTACAATTAAAAAAAGCAACTATAAGTCCTCTTGCAACCTTTGTTACCTTTGTCATACCCAGTCCACCCCCAGAAAAGTTGGCTACTCATTAAAAATACCTAAACAATTCTATGAAATGTCTCTGCGATTCTAAAATGACTGCAGCCGATATATCAGTTCTCTCGCAGATCTTCAAGATGCTACATGATCTACACTTAGTGATATGGTGCAGTCCCAAGCAATCATGCGGTTGGTTGCGTTGGCAACACCGCATTGAAAAGGTCAAAAACAAATAAACCAGAGGCTTCTATGTGACCACACAACCAGATGTTTCACGATAAAGGCGCATTTAGCTGGCTACTCTATCAAATATGATACCCCGCACTTGTGTGGTTGTATTGGTACCCGATGTTTGACTTCCTTTAAGTTACTGCTGGGAACTTTCCTTTCCCATATATTGTTTGCCAGCTCCAGAAGTATCTTTTTCAACAAGCCTTCAATGTGTACCTGATTTCTACAAGCCCAGAAGCCCGATTGTTATACAGAACGATCATGTGGATAAACTTGTCTAGAAAGGCAGCTGAAATACCGACGATACGCGGCATGCTAGTCATTCCCAGGAAATATGGATAGAAAGATTGCTCTCTAGGATGAGGGAATCGTTTTTCCTACTGTTGCTGGCTAGTCGTTGCCATCTATTCCTGTCCATTCCTGCAGGACAACAGCTCAGCTTTGTACTGGAGTACGATGAGGTGAAACGTTGATAGGATAATTTTCGTCCTGTGATGACAGTAACGAATCTGCCAAGACTCTTGCGATGGCTTTTGATATACAACTTTATGGGATATGCGAAATTGGAGCTCTCGCCCCAACTCACGATGCACCCCACTGACGAGAACGCGAGCGAGCCGCGATACTTGGGCGTTTTTAACCCGAAGGAATGAAAGATTCTTTTTTGAGGCTTAAATGCCTTGGCTTGAGTTACTATCGCCACGGTGCGGCCATGCTCATCGATACATTTTCTCCCCCTTAAGCTTTACGAAGAACAAGCTTCGCAACGATTCAGATATGTGATCATGAGGACCAAGAATCAAGTAATTACTGCTCTGCTTTCTTCTTGTCAACACATATAAGATTGAGATGGGAGATATCACACGTGGGTCACACATGCAATTAAGTTCACGATGTGATGCGCAAAATATGATAATTTATTTCAAGTGGCTGAGTCCTAGGCTTAGAAAATAGGTAGGATTCCGACAGAAAGGGCATAGATCAAAATGCCACATAGCGATACCTACCCAATAGGAGGGAGATTCTAACAAGTTCTTTTCCTTCTCATACTACCTTTTTGCAAGCCCCTTCACCACCCAGTGTTTATTCGGTTAAGTGGCCTAAGGAATTGCTTTGATCAGGGATTGGTTACTTAATTGCTGATTGCATCAATTGATTGCAAGGTCCAGATGTTCAAGATTGATGTTCTCACAATCTGCAGGGCTTTGTCCATTTTTTGTTTGAGACGTAGCCAATACAATTCATGAGCTTGTGATAACCGACTTCAGGAAATTGGAATTTTTGGGTAAGGGTTATCTTCCCCGCCATATCAAACATCCATCGATTCTTTCTCACATCCTGCTCACTTGCTCATATACTATAATTAACGCTAATTTCCAAACAAACTTGTAAACTATTCACTAGCAATCTTCGAGATTACCCTAATTCCTCCCTCCAATCAATTATGTTTCCAATTTTCCAAGAGGAATTCTGCAAGCCAAGAGCTGTCATACACTCACAAACATTTGGATCATCAAGCTTAGGATGCTGTTAGATCCTTGCACATTTCATATGTAAAAAGGTAGTTTTATATCCCCTCATTTCTTTGTTTGTATGTACCTGAGATGCATTTATTAATGTACTATCCCATTTTGGAACCCCAATAACCAAGACTTAGCCTACCTTGACGTCTGAGCACTAGTACTAATAACTCAAACCTTATCAGTCACCTTTCCTCTCTCATCACCCTTCCACCTCTTTGATGTTGATTTCACCTCAAAGATAACCTCTTGACAACAACCCTCAGCTTGCCCTACTTGCCATCATGGCGACCCTTACTACGACTTTGACTGAGTCGATTGCGACCGTCACTTCGACGATTGCAACTACCGTCATCAAAGCTAGTAGTTCTGCCAGCCCTACTTCAACAAATCGCGCCACTCCTCAAGGTGGGATTTTGGAGGGAGGCAATCCTACAGTTTACAGTCCCTCAAATCCCATTGTTCTATTCATCATCCAGGTATGGCTCCTTTTCCCGATGATATTCGTTTTCTCGGGCATGCATTATGGTGTAACGTGTGGTTGTTTTGGAGAGTGCCATGCGGTTTACTCAAGATTTAATCTGCAAGGTGCCAGATTTGCATAACAATGACATTCGGCCAAGAGAATTTTACTCTGCGCGCCAGGAATGGATCTAGCTAATCTGTGTTTAATACTAGGCTGGCATCATCATCATTTTTTGTCGTATTCTTCATTACCCGTTGTCCAAACTTCGACAACCTCGAGTTATCGCAGAAGTAATAGGTGGAATCATTTTAGGCCCTTCAGTCATGATGCGCATTCCTGGTTTTCAAGAAACTATTTTTCCTGTCGCCTCTATGCCAGTTTTGAATATGGCCGCCAATCTCGGATTGATACTCTTCCTTTTCCTTGTTGGTTTGGAAGTTAATATGCGCCTTTTTCTCGGTAACTGGAGAGTAGCCCTGAGTGTAGGATTGGCCGGAATGATTTTGCCATTTGGCTTGGGTTGCGCCGTTGCTTGGGGTCTTTATAATGAATTCCGTCATGACGCGGGGACTGTACCTATATCATTCCCTGTCTACATGCTATTCGTTGGGACAGCGCTTGCTGTATGAGTCCAATTTCATTTTCTTCAGACGTTTACTGACATCCACGATAGATTACTGCTTTTCCTGTTCTCTGCAGAATTCTTACAGAATTGAAACTTCTCGCTACACCTGTTGGAGTTACAGTTCTCGCTGCTGGGGTCGGAAACGATGTGACAGGCTGGATCCTTTTAGCCCTTTGCGTTGCACTGGTCAATAACGGATCGGGACTAGCAGCACTATGGGTGTTGCTTGTTTGTGTTGGATGGTGTCTTTTCTTGGTATTTGCTGTTCGTCCAGTTTTTAGATATATTCTTCGACGTAACGGAAGTCTCGAAAACGGCCCCTCTCAGGGAATGGTTGCTCTCACAATATTGCTTGTTTTGACATCCTCTTGGTTTACTGCTGTCATTGGAGTTCACGCTATCTTCGGAGGTGAGATCAAATTCAAACTTGGATCATGTGAATTTTACTAACTCTGTCTCAGCTTTTCTCGCTGGACTCATATGTCCTCATGAAGGTGGTTTTGCCATTCATATCACGGAAAAGATTGAAGATCTTGTCGCAGTATTACTTCTCCCACTTTATTTCGCATTGTCTGGTTTGAGCACCAATCTCGGCCTACTCAACGATGGTATTACATGGGGTTATGTCATTGCGATTATTGTAGTCGCATTTTCTGGCAAAATCATTGGGGGCACGCTTGCTGCTAGGGCTTGTAGGCTTGTTTGGCGCGAAAGTCTCAGTATTGGTGTTTTGATGAGTTGTAAAGGTCTTGTAGAACTGATTGTTCTTGTGAGTGAAATTTTCACAAAGCGCCGACATAGCCCGTTGCTAACATCCATAGAACATCGGTTTACAAGCAAAGATTTTGTCCACGAGGACTTTCACCATATTTGTCGTGATGGCACTTGTCACAACCGTTGCCACAACGCCATTGACAACCGCATTATATCCTCCTTGGTATCAGAAGAAACTTGATGCCTGGAAAAAAGGAGAGATAGACTGGGATGGAAATAGACTTCATCCCGAGGGTGAGGAATATACCCCTGACCGCTCATTGGAAAAGTTGGAATCTACTCAAATTCGACGACTCCTCGTCTATCTCAGACTTGATAGTCTTCCTAGCTTGTTCACCTTCATCGCACTTTTAGGTGGGGATAATACTAGTACGATTACCAAAGTCCATAGGTCGAAAGCCGAGTTAGAAACAGTGGATGAGAATGGACCGCCTTCGTCATCGAATGATTCCAAGAAACAACCACTTGAGGTTCATGGTGTCCGCATGCTAGAGCTTACTGATCGTACATCTTCAGTCATGGCCGAAGTGGATGAATACACCTATCGTGATCCCGTCGTCAACGCTTTCCGTACCTTTGCTCAATTGAATAACGTCGCTGTCTCAGGGGGAGTTTCCGTTGTTCCCGAATCGGATTACGCTGAAGCTTTGACCACACAAGCATCAGATCACTTTTCCGACCTAGTTCTCATCCCTTGGACTGAACCTAGTATTCTACCGGTTAATGAAGCCCATCATGATTCATTCTCTAGCGGACTTCAGGATATTTTTATCCAAAAGACGCTGGAGATAGCGACTTGCAACATTGCCATTTTCATCAATCGCGGCTTTGGTGGACCGACTTTAAGAGAGCCCCGCAATCTCTCGGCAAGTGCTAGTCGACTCAGTCTTCGCAGTAGTAGCCGTGCAGAAAGAATTGCTCCCATCGCGGATCGTAGTCATCATGTTTACTTTCCATTTTTTGGTGGTGCTGATGACCGTGTCGCTCTCCGTTTTGTTCTCCAACTTGCGCAAAACAGTAATATCACAGCCACCATTATTCATTTTATCACTCCTATTCATAATCCAAAGACTCCTGAAGTCAAGCATAGCTCGCGCCCAGTTACTGCTTCCGGTTCTCAACATGGTGGTAGTTCTGGCTCTGGGTTACGTATTACCGAGCGCGTGGACACTGAGGATCTTTACAATGCTGCTGCCTCTGATACCTCCCTTTTACACACATTACGAGACTCCTTACCTCAAGCACTGGTTAACAGAGTTGTCTTCGTTGATGTCAAGACTACAACACCATTAACCGATTGTCTACATCACGCAAAGGTGGAGATGGGTCAAAGTCCTAGAAATGCAGGAGACTTGATCGTTACAGGTAGAGGTAAAACTTCCATGATCAAAGCGTTGATTCAGGAAGAAAGTGCCAGTGGAGAGAGCGGAAAGGAAATGAGGAAAACCATAGGAGTTGTGGCGGAATCATTGATTAATAGTGGAGTTAAAGGGAGTGTTTTGGTTGTTCAAGCTGGAGGTTCTGGTTTGGAAAGTTGACAAGTTGATTGAAGGGATCAAGTACTTCCGGATGATATTCACGATTTAAGTTATTCTACGTCGATTTGGCCGGATATACAAAGGAGATTTAGGCGCATATGGGACTTCACTATTGGATGGGTTTGGTGTTTCTGGAATACAATACCTTGCGACGCGATATGAAAGGACTGTCCCGGTAGATTTCCATCATATTCATGTCGGAAATTGATATGATTGTTTAATTTGACGATTTCACAGAGCTATTTTAGGGTGGCGTTTTTTAGTGGTCTAGATTATGATTAATGCATCGGCCCTCATATTTAGTCTAATTTAGCATCGCGTGGGACTTTTGAATAAATCGATAATATACGCATTGCTTAGGACTTATTTAGTGTTGCTGTTTTCACTGTCGTGATTTATGCTCTCCTACGCACCGTCGTTGGAAGTAGTTAATATCCCAAGGCGCAAAGGCACGATTAAATTACTGGTAATAGTGCAAGATGTTCACACCATCATACTTATCATATTTCATCAATACCTCTTTCTCTTTGACTTTCATACCAGTATCTACTCTTCGCTATGCTCGTATCTTGCATATAATTTTTGTGTGTATAAAAGAATACCAGACTTGACGTTCGACGCTTTTAAAGCAAAGTCTTCGGTTGTTTCAAAAATTATTACTGGCTTGGATTTGTATCACACCTCTTGAGTTTCTCTGCTAAAGATACCTTGATCATGAAAATGAAGTTCGAATTTTCCGAATTTGCATCCTGAAATGAATGGATACTCTGGGCGAGTATTGGTTTATGGAAGTTAGTGTGTAGGATTATAGCTGGTGTGCATTTTGTTTGGTGGATTTTTGTTGTCTGGGGTTGGGACTTTGTTCTGCGCGGATAGGGTGTGATGAGTGGACCTATTTTGGGAGGGGAGGTTTTGGGGTTTGAGTTCTAAGGTGGTAGGTGGGTGGGTGTGGTTTGTTTTATAGCTAATCTAGAATACTACCAGTGTATTGTGGAAATATGTTGATGAAGGTGTACATGATAGTAGTGGTTTCGGGAGTGTGAGATTGCGCGAATAGTGTTGTGTTGATGCTATCTGATAGTTTGTTGGCAAATTTGAAAGATGCTTTTATTAAATCTTGGGATGGTTCATAGACGATAGGAGAGATTTGTTGTTGGGTTAGTTGTATAGGTTATTAGGGATTATTAGTTTTAGGTATAAATATTAAGTTATATGGTTGGGTTGACGAATCAATGTCTTTCTAAAGATGGGAAGTCGGGAGCTGTGTTTATCTTCTCTGGTAATGCGTTAGGCTAGACTTGATTGCGCAGCTCCGGAGAGAGGTTCTTTAATTGAGGGAACGAAGAGAGCGTGGCGGGAGTTGTTTCTGTCATTGTCTATTTGTATATCACAATAGTCGGTATTTGTATATCATACTGTGATTAACAAGATAAAGTACATTTAGTGTTTCAATGTCGACAAGAGTTCGAGAAAAAGGGTCTTGACGTTTGTGAGAAGCAGTAAGCCGTAGGTCTTGATTACTTTCATTAATCTGGCGTAGAAAAGACGAACAACGAAGATGGCTTGTAGAAAATGTATCGGATTATATCTTTTGAGGTGTAAAGAATCCGTGGTCATTTTATAAGTACGTTTAGATGGCACTTGAATAGCTACCCTGCTATGCCTATACACTGTGCCGCAGCTATAGTCACAGCCACAGCACTGTGCCGTTGTCACTATGATGTTGGGCCACCAGGCTTCTCGATTGATTGATTGATTGATTGATTGATTGATTAAATTAACGTCTACACTGAGTCTATGACTATCTAAGACGGCTAGGAGCTTTGTAGGCTTCTAACAATAGTAAATGGAGGGTGGCTGGCCTTATTCGACCGTAGCTAATACAGGTTGGGGAGATTGAAAGCCTCAATCTTCTAATGTTTGAATGGGGGAAGTGAAAACTAATACTAGGGAACCAAGCCCGCCTTACAGATACTCTCGTATTCAAGTAAGAGGAATAACAAATGAAATGTAATGAAATTTGACATTGGGGTGATTGCCCAAATTGACCAAATTGACCAAAATGACCAAATTGACCAAATTGACCAAAATGACCAAATTGACCAAATTGACCAAATTGGCCATAATTGATCAATTCAATCACAATCTTCCGGTCCACCCCCTTCTTCTCCGCCTTCTTCCTCTTCTTCTTCATGCATTCTATTGAGATGCCATGATCTGGTGGCTATTCTCGTTGCCTCGATAAATTCGAGGGTCTTGATGATTCCTGCTTTAGTATGAAGCAGATATTTCATAGTAGGTCGGACTATGGGGTTATCCTTATTGAGGGTTTTCCTTGCCATTTTATATAAAGGACAACTGAGCAGAAGATGATCAGGAGATTCCTTTCCCCCACATCTACAATTGTCATTAGAGGAGATACCGAATCGTTTCAAATAAGATTTGAAGTATCCGTGTCCAATTTTGAGTTGGAACAGAGCACAGATTGTGCTTCTTTTGATGTTTCCTGGAATTCTGATTTTTGAGCTGATCTTCCAGGGGTAGTTTCTTGAATATGTTGACGATGGTTGATGAAAGTTGTTAGTGTTAAGGATGGCCATCCAGTTCTCTGATTTCATTCTTTTTATATCCATTCCAATGGAGGCATAACTGGTTTCGTGAGATGAGGATGGTATTTTGGTCGCCTCTTTTGCAAGAGAATCAGCTAGCTCATTTCCTTGTACAGATGTATGTCCGGGGACCCAATTGAGAGAGATTTCGGCTCCTTTATTTTGAATAGCTTCCGCAGCTTTTATAGCTTTGATTTGGCATGATTGACCAGGTGAATCGGAGGGGGTTTTCAGCCGGAATAATCCTGCTTGATTATCTGAGTATATCTTGAACTTGTTTCCTGGTTGAGCTATTGAATTTGCGTATTCGATCGCTTTAGTAACTCCTAGAAGCTCACCGTTATAGACAAGCTGATTCACGCCTATATTGATAGTCTCTTGATATGAGTTTCGGCCATTTGGTAAGATGACTACTATCCCGATCCCAACCCCTATTCCCTCTAGAGTGGATGAGGCATCAGTGTATATGGTAATGGTATTTTTGCATCTATATTTGAAAGCCAGATTGTGGATCATCGCAGCTTCTTCTTTTCCTAATTTGCTGATATTGACTCTATATGGAACTTCCTTCTTCCAAGGAGGGAAGTAGAAATGATGAATTCTTTCCAAAGTGAGGGGATCGAAGTCTTTCTGGATTGAGTTTTTGATCTTTTCGAGTTGAGTAGGTTTTAATTGCTTTCTTTGAGGGGTTGCAACTACATCTTGATTTTCCTTTTCTGTAGCCAGCTTTGTAGCTATTAAATTGACAGGATGAGAAGGGGAGATTTTCAATAATCTGAAGGCGTATTGTTTGATTCCAGCATTTAGCCTTATTTCTGGAGGGCACAATGCGGTTTCTATTTCCATTGGTTTTATTGGTGAGGTTTTGAATACTTCTAGGATTTTTCGAAGGGCGAGGTTTTGCAAGGATTGAAGGATTTTCTTGAATTGGTTTTGCCCTTTCCACCATAAAATTGAACCGTAGTCAGCTATGCTGGTGACGCATGCCATATAGAGCTGTCTCATTGCCTTGGGACTAAGGCCTTTTTCAGAATTAGCAAGTCTAGCCATTCGGTAGAATGAGGTTTTAGCCTGGGTAGCTCGGATTGTGACATGTTGTTTGAAACTGAGGCCAGGGTCGAACCATATGCCTAGCCATCTGACTATTGTTGAGGGTTGAATTATCTCCTCGTTCGGAAGCTTGATTGAGGCTGTCTTCGTATCTTTGGATGTAGAGAAGTGTATTAGTTCCGTCTTCGCTAGATCAAATTAAATAGCATTTTCTTTGCCCAGAGCATATATCTGTTTAGTTGCTCTTTCGAGAGAGATGATGTTCTTTTTCCAAGATGTTGAAAATGTTGTTAAAGCTATATCATCTATATATGAGAGATATTTGATCAAATTTGCTGAGAATAGATCTCGAATATAAATTAAGAAGAGGATTGGCGAAATAGGGCTGCCTTGGGGGATCCCGGTATTGATCGGTTTGAAGGTTTCAATTTGGCCATCGAATGAGAGCTTGAGTAGCCTTTCCTTCAAAAAAGATGAGATCCAGGCGATTAGGCTGGTTGGGAGGTTTAGGTTCTTGCAGATATCTAATAATTTGTTCATAGATACATGATCAAAGGCGCCTTTAACATCCAGGAAGAGAGTTGAGGTTTTCTTCTTGGATCTTGAATTTCTTTCGATTTCGGTAGTGAGTAAGATTGCTGTATCGATGGCTGATTTCTTTTGTCTTCCACCCATTTGAGAGTAATGAAGTAATTGTGTAGTCTCCGCTAAGTAGCTAAGCCTTTGAGCCAGAATTCTTTTCACTTATCTTGCCAAGGCAATTTAGTAGGGCGATAACTCTATAAGCTTTTGGGGCCGAGTAGTCTGGTTTTGAAGGTTTCTTGAGTATCGCTCTAGTGGCTTGTTTCCAGCAAGAAGGATGGTAACCAAGGTTGATAAGATGACTGAAGAGGGTGAAGAAATGCTTTTGGTATTGCTTTGTACGCTTGAATAATGATATCTTGAGTGATCCCATCGGGGCCAGGGGTCTTTCCTTTGATTTTTGCAGAGCACGCGTTTAGGAGTTCGCTCTCTGTGAGATCAGGCCATTCCCATTTCTTAGATTGTTTATAGCTTTCCCAATTGGGCGGTGGGGTGAATGGAGGAGGAGGAAATAGGGTCGATCTAAATGCAGAGCATTTTCCCTCGAAAGAATTTTCTAGTTTAGAGGGATTGGATCGAATATTCGGGATTCGTTCGGTTTGTATATCTTTTGTGTATGACATTGCCTTGAATATGGATTGGGTATCCTCTTTTTCAAGGAACTCATTCCAATGGTTTTTCTTTGCTGTTTTAATAGCTTGGAAGTAATGATTCCTGGCTGACTGGTAGATTTTCTTGAACATATCGTCTTCCGGGTAAATCTTGACGTTCTCAAATGCATTAGAGAGTCGTTTTCGAAGGGCTTTCAGCTCTGGGGACCACCAGGGTTTAGCTCTTTTTGTGGACTTGATTCTCGGTATACTGGTTTCAGCCGAATAAGTGATTATTCGGGTGAATTCTTTTGCAGCTTCATCCAATACTTGTATGTATTGGCTCTTGTCGAGAAGGGAATCAAGAGAGTTGGATTCTGAGGTAGCGATATTAAGGTATTCACTCGAATTTAAGGTAGTTGATATCGATATTTTCGATTTGAGGGTATTCGCGAATTTTTCCCAATCCGCAAGTTTTGTATTGAATCTTGCTGGCTGAGCTATATTCGTTGTACGGGATAAAGTGCCCTTTACTTCAAAGAGAATGCTTAAGTGATCTGATCCAAGATCCGGGAGGACTTGCCAATCAGTGATATAGGGAGATACTGAATCTGTGGCTAAAGTAAGGTCTAAGACACTTGGATTTGTCATATTTGTTCGATAAAAGGTGCTCGTGCCTGGTTCGTTAAATAGAATGAGATTGTGATCCTCAAACCATTCGGTAAGTAGGTCGGCATTTGAGCTTTTGTTAGAGAAGGGGTCCCACCAAGGGTGATGGGAGTTGAAATCTCCTACGAGGATGGTGTGATGAGTAAGAGGGGTATTGTAAAGGCATCTTTCGATGGTGTGGCCTTTTTCTTTGGCTTGGTCCGCTTCATTGTAGATATTGATGAGTTGTATTGTATGTTTTCCTTGAGTGATATCAATGATTTGAATATCTGGATCATTAGGGGAGTTGGGAGCTAGGGCTACTAGCGGTTTGAATCCTTTTGAAATGTAGATCATTGTTGGGTTTCTTGAGACTAGAAAGAGCATCAGATTGAATTGACTTATTCTCTAGCTAAGCAGTTAAGCTGCGAGCATATATTCAAAAAAATGAAGGAATAGGTTGGGTATTCGGCCTTCGGAATTAAAGTGCTTTGAAATCAAAATATTGAAAGCAAACAAACAGTATACCAAAAAGGAAAGAATGAATTAAAAGTTGAGTTTTGTTTGCTCCTTATATGCATATGTACTATATATGCATATGCTGCCAAGATCCCAGGAGGTCAACAATCATAGTTCGGGGACGCAGGTTCGAAGGATTATTTGGGAGGAGTTGAGAGAAGCTAGAGTGGGCAATAGATCTGGTTGAGGAGAAGTCTTTCTCAGGATTCGAGAGGATCCAGGGTTCTTGAATGACTATGAGATCAATTTTGAGTTCTAAAGCAAGTTGGAGAGCACTTTCGGTTGCTTGAGGGCTCTTGTTTAGATTGATTTGAAGAATGCGAGTATTGTTGTACAGCATTAGTTGGATTTCTTGATGGTTGATAGATATACTTCGCATACTTTCGAGTTGGCTTTGTGTTCTCCTTTACAATTAACACATTTGACACTTAGATGTTGACATGGTTTGCCTTTTGCTTGGCAGATTATACAGAAATGACCGACTGTAGCATGATTATTACTGCAAAGTCCGCAAGCTGGAGGTTTTTTGCAGTATGATTCGTTATGGCCGAATCCCTGGCATCTGTTGCATTGGGATGAAGGAGTAGATGGATAGAATCTTTCTACTCTAACACTAATGCCTGCAATATATAGCCTTTTCTGGATAGCTATATCTGCTTCTTTTTGTGTAGCAAATGCAATGACTATTGCTCCATCTTGTTGTTTGGCTCTCTTGGAGGCATTGGTAAGCCAGTAAGGAGTACCCATAATACTGAGCCCTGGATTGAAGGTATTGACTTCCTCTTTGATTAGGTCCATACCTTTCAGACCTGAGAATTCCTGAATTGGGATTTTGTGAATGATGACTTTATGCCAGGGTTTATCGATTTGTATTCTTTCGGCATCAAGGATTTTGTCCCAGATTTCCTTCTTTTCCATCAGGAATTGTGCATTGAAAGGGCTGTTAGTGGTTAGTATAAAATTGCCGCTCCTTGTAGTAGTGATGGTTGAGATGACTGGTCCATTGATTCCTGCTTTCTTGAAGGCTTCGTTGACTTTATTCCTTGTATTTAATGGTGTAAAAGAGGGTGGCTGATAAATAAGAGGTTTGATGAGGATTAGTCGTTTGCTTGGGGCTTCTTCCTTTTGTTCTGTAGTTTTCTGTTTTGTGGGTTTTGCCTTTGTAACTAGGTTCCATTCTCCTGAGGTTTTGGTGATAGTGGCATAGCTGGCTTTGGTTCCAGGGGCGTTTATTGTGGGGGGGATCATATGACTGGGAAGGTTTGAAAGATGGTTGGCTTGCTTTTCGATCCGTTTGGTGGCATTTTCTAGATGGGAGATTTGTGATATGATGATATTTGAGGCTTTTGTGAGTTTTCCTTTTTCAAGATATTCACGAAATATTTCGATTAAGTCTAGGACTTTCGATTGTTCTTCGGTATCCTCTTCCAGGGAGGCAGCTAGAATGAGTAGACTTCTAGCTTTTTGGATAGCTTCTTTTGGTGAGTTGATATGGGGTTCTGAGTGGCTGGGTTGTCGTCTTCGTTTTTTATTGAATTGGAACGTTGGGCGATTGATTGGTGATTTGAATGGATCATCAGAGCTCAAGGTATTGCGTTGTGTTTGAAAGTTGAAGGGTTGGGAGGGGGTAGGACTGGAAAGGATGAATGGCGGGCTATTGTCTCTTTCATGGGTTTGTTCAGTGTGGTTCACTTGGCATGGAGTGCCTAAGATCACTTCTGGGAATTTCGATTGGGTGGTCCCCGTTATTGAGTTCTCTTCCCTCGTAATGGAGGGATGAAGGGGGTGAAAATTTCACGCGTTTTAGCGTGGTTTCACGTGTTTTGGACGTCGACGACAGTATCACAACAACCACTGGTTCAATTTCTTTGGGGACAATTGCGTTCGATTGATGCTGATTTGTTTAGTGCAAATGAGATATAAAAAGGGTGTGACCACCAGGCTTCTCCATAGGCTTACCGAAGATGAAACTTCCAACATCACAAAAACTGCTAAGAACCAGCATTAAGGGTTTAATATCCAAAAATGTAATTTTATATTCCTTCCAAAATTTGGATCTCAATACCAAATATAATGAAGTTTCTCGTATGATTTCTCAAAGGTAAGATTAACCCTATATTTTAGTGTCATCATAAAGAGGAATTTAGGCGAGAATTAGTTTTCGGTCAAAGTTCAACCCCTTTCGCTTGAGTTTTGATCCCTTGACTCTCTTCTTTTACATTGGGGAGAAAATTCTGTCATTATTTGGTATGATTAAATGAATCCTTTCATTATGACTTAAGCATAAGATTAAGTATTGTAGATACATCGTTTTATGAGTCTGTATATCTACTGATGGTGTTTATAAAGGTTATAAACATTGTAGGAATGCCAGATGACCAAAGATTAAACTATGAATTCTTAAAACTGTATAGCTAGTTTACGGAAACATGCTACGTCTATTTTTGCTTTCACCTCCACAATGTCAAGATGGCAAAGAAAAGAATGCAGCGCAAATGGTTATGATCAACATATCGTATAGATGAACCATTTAGAGCAGAGCTTTCTACAAATCCAATCGTGCTAAAAAGCAAATTACTTCATAGTATCGAGTCAAGTGATCTTCCTCCTTCATTTCTTACTACGAAATCTTGAGTTCTAAAAGCCATCGTCAACACATCGTAAAGATCTACCATTTAAAATGACCTCTTTACTCGCACAACCCCGCGAAAAGCAAAGTGCTTCAACGGCATTACCACCATTGAACCCCTCCTTCATTTCTATATGATCCTAGGAGGCATTTAGCAGGCCATGAAAATGTAGTCTTATAAGAATAATCATCAATTCTATTGTGAAAACAAAATATCATTCAGACACACGTACACGTGCACACCCATATTCATTTCCAACCAATCCATTACAGTTAAGGCTTTACTGCACTTTCTTCTCACAGCCTTTACCATACGGGTTATGTCCAATATCCAAACCGGCAAAGTCCACAAAAACAACTAATCATCCATAACAGAAATTGCAATCCCTTCAGGATACGCGCAATTAAAACTCTATCATTCACATTCCTCCTTGGTGCCAGCGCAGACGCCTCAACAAGAATTTCTCACAACTGCTAGAACACCACCAACGGAGTCGACAAAAGAGTAAGGCAAGCCCAACTGACCAAGTGCAAGTCGTTATAACTAGAATACACGAATGACCCGGTGGAAAATATCAAGAAGACTAAACTGTAGATTTCTGCTAGGGAATTCGTGGATATCCTGCTAATTTCTTTAGTGACAATAATGTTTCAGATGAGGAAATGCTTGTATATATCTCCTAACAGGCTTTGATCATTGGGAAATCAATCTTACAATAGTTGGTTATTTAGCAGGATGAAGAATTTCATAGGACTTATTCGACGTCGTTATATGGAGTTCTCAATTTGATTTCAAGCTCGGTCGACTGTATCGGGGTTTTGTAAACTAGATACTTAAGGGTTCAGATGTGGAATTTTGGTTGATTTGATACTGATATCGATGAAGTCATATAAGATCAAATTGTGAGGATAGTGATAAATATGTTTGTGGCTATTCTATATATTTTTAATTTATGGTAAGAGGCCAATTTCAAATAACTCACTAAAGTAGGCGAATAGGAAAAAGGGGTACGAGATCGGAGAATATCAAGATATCTCTATAGTTTTCTATTATACAATTTATATTTAATGAAAGTAAAATATAAAATCTCTATTAAAGATTCGGTTATTATCTCATTAACATAATATACTTTAAAGATAACTTTAAATACCTATACATATATCAATATCCAGATCAAAACATAAGATCTTACTTAAATTTAACCGATCAACTCCTTTCATAAAATTATATGACACAATCAACACACACAATATCCCTACACAAACCCCCATATTACCCTTATTCACTACTCCTCCTCTCATAGTTAAACACAATCCGCGCCCCTCCCACTAAATACATAACCTCTAACTACCTCCTCCCCATAAAAAAAAACACTCTCAAAAACTAACCCACCACCACCACATCTACCCCATCTCAGATATATATCTACCTACCTATAGCCGCATATTATACTCCCTTTTCACAAATCGCCACCCTTCTAGATCTATCTATCTATTGCGAATCAAAGAACATAGATCTTTAACCCCCCTGGGGAAGATCTACACCCTCAAGTGAATAATTATACTTATACCATTAATAAAACCTCAAACAATAATCTTCTGTATACATAAATTGTCAAACTCGCACGGCGAACCCCCACCTCTCTTCAAAAATCATAAATCAAATCCACCACCACCACCACAACCTCACCATCACCACCACCACAACCTCACCATCACCACCACCTCACAACCACAATCCCACAATCTCAAACTCTCCCCATCCAGCACTAACTCCCCAACTCTCTAACTCTCTGACTCCATACATCGAATAAGATTTAATTACATCAATATCGTTTAAAATAGATATAAATATAAATAAAACAATTAATTTAAAATTTAATAATATTAATTATATCAAGGATTAAAATAAGATTGAACGAGATATCTATCTACTTAGTAGATAAATATATTTAATAAATATTATAAACTGATTATAAAGACGAAGAAAGGAAATGAGTGTATTGCTGAAGATGAATTTATAGAAACTGATGATAGTTAGTATCTTAACGATACTGTCGGAGATTTTGAAGGTTTTGCTTATAGGGTGAAAGTGAGGGTAGACACAGACTCACATATGAATGGTTATATCTACTACTAAGTACTATTACCACACACGAGTATCTCACAAATCAACTCATAAAATCTCATATAAACGGCTTCAGTAAGCCACTTTAGAGCTTTAATATATTTGATACTCTTTCTCATCCTATTCCTTTTATGCTCACAGATATCTGTTTCATTTCCCTCTAATCCCCTTTTGTGATTTTCCCTAAGGTTCCTTTTATTTCCGATCTCTCAACATGCATAGAACATATACATCATGGGTTTAACAAATACCTCATGCCCAGTCCTTCTTGCCCTTGTCACAATGCCTACTTTACTACCCAATATCCACACACTCTGATTCCCTATTCAATCTTCAACGCCCACCCATAGCTCCCACAATTCCTTTCCAATTCCACAAAGCAAAAGAGTAAAAAAGATGCCTGAACTCCCCGCTTTTTGCTGCTATCTCAAATACCAAGAACCATAACTATCGAAGACTTGCAATGCATACAAATTCCTCGCAATAAAAGAAATAAAAAAGACGTAAAGAAATGAAAACCCCTGACTCAAACAAAGCCTGCTTCAGAAAGAGCCACCCAACTCTTCTCATCTCATCTGATCTTCCTCATCATTTCGTACAATGATATAACATGTTCATACAGGGTCACCAACTCTCTTATCTGTATCCTTAACGCCGCCAAAGGTACACTGCTGTGTTTGTCCATTTGATGTTTATCGCCGAAAATTAGGGGTGGAAGTGAAGTAGAAGGATAATTAGAGAAAAGACCCAAGAAGTGAGAGAAAAAGACATTCCACAGAAACCTTGGAACGAGAATTTGGCTCACTTCCTGGCGATCCATTCGGATTTTCGTGTTGATGTGTTGATGTGGATATTTGTGAGAATCCGTTGATGCATTTGTAGATGCAGCAAAAAGAGTAAAAGAAAAACATTATGATATTTTGATTCGTCGTAGAATTTATGTCTTCAATGCATTCATACTAAAATGACATATGCTTATTGATGAATACTGTGGTATGAAAGGAGCGTGCCATTAGAAGGAGCATTTCCCTGGTTGGCAAAAAGATACAGGAAATGTATGCCATTAGCAAGGAAAAATGTGAGTAATAGAACGTTTTATGGAAGCTTGAACCCGTCGCTATGCAGAAATGAAATTAAGACCAGTATTAATCGACCCTGTGTATGTACAAGAAGTCGTGTCGGCGTGAAGGATTCTTCTAATTGAAACACTTATTTTATGTGATGGAACGGTATGTGTTAAACAACAGTCATCATATGCATCCGCTGACCCAAACTTCTTGTTGGTGAAGAATCAATTGAGCCGCTCAGCATAGAGTTGTTGCTATGACTTCGAGGAAGGTGTTTTGGAGGAGACGACATTGGGTCTGTGAATACGCGAGTGAAGGCCGGGCTGGACTCGCGATGGGGTGTAGACACTGGACTTTGGATAGTACCGTCGGTTTCGCGAACGATGTCGGCCAGTTTTCGACTCAAAACAGAGGCACGATGAACCAAGTCACGTAGACTGGTTGTGTCAAACGGCATTTTGTTTGAAGATTGCTCAGCCATTTCTGATAGCCAAGGATCCGAAGTAGAGCGATGCTGATGCATCGTTTCCATGACCGTCCGAGCAACCTCAGCCGCGGTCTTTGCACTTGAAGAACGAATAGGAGCCAACGGAGGACGCAAACCATCTCTGGTGGGAGGGTTATGAATGACAGTCCCAGCTCCAAAGATATCATCATCGGGTGAAAATACCGAACGTCTTCGAACAGTACTACCGTCATAAACGTGTCCGGATGGTTTCCCAAAGCGGTTCAAAACCTCCATGGGTACATCTGGGGTAGCGACATCGTCGTTGCCCGGGCCACGATCGATGAATTTTTCGTTAAAGCCGTGACTGACGGAGATAGATATAGGGGAATGGGGAGGTGATAAAGTAGGATCCTCTTCGTCTGGCACAGCTAGGGCAATAATTCCTTCAGCTTCCTTCCACAACTGTGCCGATGGTCCATTTATCAAGTCCTTATCCCGAGCCAAAAGACGTAACCTCTTGAGATCCTCGACGAGTAAGCAGACTTCTCGAATCTGGCCAACATGGCCAACGACATTGGCCTGGCTTGCTTGGATTGCTGGAGGTACGAACATGACACTGTTCTCGATATTATCATTACCGTCCTCAAGGCCACCTTCATCATTAGATTCGAAGTCGAAATCGTTATCCCAGTCCTCACTAACCCCTTTCGCACCCAAACCCCACGTACCAAATTTTGGTGTCAATTTCGTGTGGTCGCGCTGATTGTTGAGATCAGGAACTACAGGAACACTTTGACTCCTAATATGCAATGGTGTGGGGCCTTTCCGCCCAACAGTTCGTCCACCTCGTCCATTGAGAGCAATATGTTTCACATGTGCTGTCCTAGGTCGAGAGAAACTTCCCAGTAGATCTTTCTCCGATGTACATGGTTCAGACCAGTCGAATAAATTGCTCTTGGGTCGTTCAGCATAATGATTACCGTTCGTGGAATCACTATAGGTGGCTTCTACAAGTGCTCCCTGGGTTATTGGACTGACCCGACGACCTCCCAAGCCATTGGGTGGTGAAAGCTGGTTTCCAGCTTCCATGTTTTCGTTGACTTCATCCCGAGTCCAATCCTCATCCTCATCATCGTTATCCAAGGTAAGTGTGGCGAGTTCTTTTGAAGCGATAGAAAAACTCGGTGGGGAGGCAGGAATAGTCTCACCTGCATCTACAAAACGTGCCGATTTGTTCATGGCCACCTCGACAGAAACCTTTGTAACTTTTACCGGCGTTGCTTGGCTTTCATCTTCCTCAATAATACGGTGTTCAACCTCACCAAAGGCTCCATTGGCCATCAGATCGTGAATTGAAAGTCTCTTTGTCTTCGCATGTCCGTTGACACTTGCGTTAATCGGAGGTGACTCGTCAAACATTGAGTCCAGAGGCGTATTTTGTGAACGTAAACTGCTTGTGGCACCCGACCTAAGTGAATCATACACTGTCTCACTTTGGAAATCAATATCTTCATCTTCACCAGAAGCGAACCCCCTCATCTCATTGTCCGAACCAATCAAAGTCGACGCTCTATCTCCCAATTCTGAAATGCCATGTTTCGAACTCAAGGTACCGTAATATGGCGATGAACAATTTGTTGATCCAAGAACCGCAGAAGAAAAAGAGGTTGCAGCAGTCTTAGACATTGGTAGAGGTGAACTAGGACTTCGAAGCGGGGCTGACGATGAGGGCGATGACATGCCCAAATGAGCCAGATCGAGGTTAAAAGTTGATAGCCGATTGAGAGGTGGCAATGGCGACGATGTGTTTCTTCGTGGAGCGTAATTTAAATGGGTAAAAGGATCCGTTGGCGATACCGGAGAAAAATCTTCGATTGAAGAGCGAGGCTCTCTCTGAAAAACCATTTGATCCATGGCTGGGCGAGAATGGTATTCGGTTGGACCATTTGCAGAAACAGACAGCCTTCCTGTATTCAATGGTAGAGGTGCAGAGACATGGCGCCTGCCAGCCTGTGTAGTCTCTGTACTTCGTTTTTTATTCCTCAAACTTCCTGCCCTAGATATCCATGTCGGTGGTGAGCTGAAGTGCATAGACAGTGACCGCCTTAAGGGTTTATGATCTTCCAAATCGTCTTCGTCTTCCAGAGGTGAGCTTGGAGGTTCTTCCATGGTATTCTGATCAATTGGCTCATCACAAGGAACGCCTTCTTCGTCGTAATACCCTTCCATTTCTTCGGTCGACACAGTGATTAGGTATGGTTTTACCAAAGTCGGTCTAACTGTATGATCTGGCATAACTCGTTTTGAGGTCCAGAGAAAGTTATGCACATTCCCATCTCCTGATCTCCCGGTGGATCTTTCATAGGAAAATTTGGTTGGTCGAGACTTGAAATACATCCGCCATGAGCTGCGCGGTGATTCAGTGAATTTCCTTAATGGCGTACCTTGTGTGGATACCGTTGACCGCCTTGGGGCAGTGGGACGCGCTTGTGTATTCGTTCCTGGAGCATCTTCTATGAATCGCTGCTGCAGCGTAACCGAACGCTGATGACTGGTAGCTGGTCTCCGTAAGGTCGGTACCTGCGACTTTGACCCACTCGAAACTGTTCCACTGCGATTCCTTTCTGATGTTTGCCTCTTTACCAGTTTGTTCGGAGGTTGTTGTGTCGGACTGTCTCGAGGGGATGACAGTATAGGTGCCGCGGATCCATGGGAGAATGTAAGAGAAGGCGATTCTGGTGCAATACTTGATCTAGGACTACTATTTCCCGATATTGGTAGAGATAACTTCCGAATCCAGGAGCCGCGAGACGAGGCAGAATCTCTAACAACTTCTTCCCCCGAAACCTCATTGTGCCCATCCCCCGATCGGAGAAGTGACCATCTTCGCGCAGCGCCGTTTTGCGATGTTGTGGGGGAGTCGAGTCTCGCATTTGAGGGACGTCGCAGGAATGCTGTCAAGGTTTGGGAGGTAGGGGTAGATGAGGAACCGGTCGCATCAGAAGTATTGCGACTTTCTGGAGTAGCCATGGTAGAACTCGTAGGGGGCCTTGAAACGGTAGACGGTGTACCTAAATTAGAAGAATCGTCCACATTTGTAACAATATCTATAGGTTTCCTTTTCTTCGAAGAAGTGCGAGAGGGAGGAGTCGAATGGTCTTGTCTTCCCAATGCCAGGCCAGCAGCTGCGACACCAACGGTACTTGAAGCAACAAGCTATAAAAAGGAGAAATAATTATTAGTTGACGATTATAACTTCGAGGGGGTGAAGAAGCGTTGTAAGGATGTCGAGACTTATGCAGGGAGAGCAATGGCTGAAGTCGAGCGAGGAAGCATAAGATATCATTAAATTCAAGAATGTAGATGGGACTTACACTGGGAATGGTCTTCATCTTTCACTATTACTTACACCACTACCAAGAAGGAGAAGAAGTAACGGAGGAAAAGTCGTAATCGTCAAGAACCTCATGAGCATCGTAAGGATTCCATACCAAGCGGAATTTCTCGTTTTGGGTGGTGAGGGAGGTTGAAAGTAAAAGAGGGTGTGGTCGCAGGTGTGTGTGGAGAGTTCTTCAGAAGGAATTGGGTTTGGGGGGGGTGGAATTGCTCCAAAACACCCAGGTCAACGGTAAGTAAATAAACACTAAAAAGTTCAGATGATAGAAGTTCTTTCTTTTTCAATGTTTTGAGAGGAATAGTAATTGTGAAGGCCTTTTTTTTTCTTTTGGTTCGAAGGGGTAAAATGTAAGGTAATATAGTACGAATTCTTTTTGCTTTTCTCGAATGATACGTTAAAAGGGAAAGAATTGAATTTGGATTGAAAAAATTGAATATGGAGTAGTTGAATTGAATGTTCTGAAAATATGTGTGGTGGTTTGTATTGTGAAGTAGTAGTACCTAGTGGGATTGGCAGTGGTAGTAGTAATAAAAAAGAGTGTGTGATACAGGATGGTAAAAGTTACAAACGCACAGAAGTCGTGAGGAGGAGGGAGAGATTGAATGGATGGATGTAAGTTTGAATGTTTGAATGTATGGATGTAAATTAGAATGTATGAATGAACTTACTTCCCCCCCGCGTTGAATGGAATGGGTGGGAAGCTGAAGTAAAATGATGGGCTTTTCAAAAGAAGTATGCTAGGTAAGCTAGGTAGGCACAGGAAGAAAGGTTCAAGTTACCAGCTACCCAGCAGTTCGAGGTTCGCGGCTTGTGGTTTGCGGTATGTGTGTATGCTATGCGGTATGCGGTATGCGAAAGGCTTTTGGTTCGTTGAATTTTAAAGGTAAATAATATCTGCCATCTAAAAGCGTTTTTGGAATAGATGGATATCCGGGAGTTAAGTCAAAAATGGAAAAGTATCATCTCATTCATTCAATTGGATGGCTGGTCGAAATACATAAATTAAACCTTACACTACAGCGACTATACCTTTTCCTTACCCGTACTACTAAGATAAATAGTCTTTCTAGATTCCGCCAAGGTTAAATCATAATTATGGGTCTCATCCCTAGAGAGTGGATTCTTCATTGCACACTGACAAGCATTGTGATTTATTAAAAAGTGTGAATTGCGTGATCCACTTATTTACCTTGGTCCTATTGGTTCAAGTGCCATCGACCCGCGTTTATTTAAGTAGGAGGTCTTTCCCTGTATCTTGTCCAAAGGTATGAATGAAAATAAAAGTACCTGATCATTGGTTGTGGACTCGTGGCTACTCATCCAAGCTTCAAATTTGAGCTGGAGATACTAGTACCTAGTACCTACCTAGTATATATCATTTCTTTATTATATGGTTCGTATGGTTCATGAAGCGTTGACCATAACGACGAGATCCAAAAACTGGGATAAGAAAGTTCCATCATTTATCCACCCATACACATACCCGTCCGATCTCACATTTCATACGGAAGAAAGGGATACTTATCTTTTAGCTCATTTTTACATTATATTCACTGTCAAAAAACATGCAACCATACGAATACTCTCCTCCGATTGATCTCACTTGCGCACCCAAGTTCACTCTTCACCGTCCCGAAAGAACGTCAAACGCAAAACTAGGTCGTCCATACGATTCTAAGCGTCTGTACCTATCCAGTGAATTTAGCTTCGTCACCCGGTTATCTAGACAAGAATACAGGAGAAGTTCCTAATGAGATGAGACTATTACAATTGTTGAAGAGACATTCGCAGATGTACTTAACCTCCAGTCAAAGTCCATAGACGTCGAAGGTTGCGATACTTCTCAAGGCTGCCGACAGAAACTAATAATGGATTTTCCATCAGATATCATAAAGCATTGAAAATATCGATATCTTGAAACCTTGACAGCATCAAAAACATCTCACAACACAAACATTATGCAGGCCCGTCAGTTTGCAAGACGAAAGATAATATTCGCCTTTAGTTTTCGACCATGTTTACATCCTGAAACAAGCGAGTGATATTCTGGGGTTACCGGATTATCAATGGTACAGATCTAGTTCACGAGTCAACGAGATCTTGGAGACCACTTCTAGCATCCAATGCATTTTGCAATTTTCTCTCCTTTCTCGATATACTAAATTCATGAAAGTAACAAGTTTACATCTATCTAGGTTGAGGTATCACAAATGTAAGAGATCTTCCTTCGCCAAGATCATGAAGTTATGATACTGCATTCTGTTTCCCAGGCGCATGCTCTATATATTGCGGTCAGCGTCCGTATATTTATGAATATCTATTCATCCGAAGTCTTTTATATAACACTCCAATTCGTACCACCACTGTGCAACCAATCCCATATGTTTCGCGGGAAGCATGGAAGAAGACGTGATTGATAGTACAAAGTATGCCTGTTTCAGATGCCGACTAAATCATTTTCCGCCGCCATGCAGCCAGCTTACGGGCTTTTCGATATGACCATTCGACAAGGCTCTTTTGGGATAATTGAATCATTAAAGTCTTATTATTGACAATCAATCAATGGCGGGAATACAATGGTATGAATCGCTATCCTCGCGAAATGGGCTGTCGTGTAAAAAGTAAACATCTTCCGAATATGATGACTTCAATGAATGTGATGACTTTCTATTGTATTGTTATGATTTTCCGAATACAAGGCTCAAAGCCGTTTCTATTCGCCAAACCCTTTTTAACGGATTACGGATGGCTGTATAACTGATACTGGATGCTGTACAGATTACAAGCTAAATATTTTAGTTGCTTTAGATCCACTGGGTAGATGGGAATTGTACGCACGCACGGGCTTCAAGGTAGCCAAAACCCCAACCCCTCTTCGCGTGAGGGGTTGTGATCATCATGACATCGGCTTGTGCATTGAGCAATGAGGGGGAGGCAAAAAAATGATCGGAGTAATCACCGGGTGTAGAACATAGTACCTAGGTATCCATCATACCATTTTGTTTGATGCGAGATACTGTATACAGGCTATAAATTTGAGGATTTGGAAACGGGAACTTTGCTTGATTGCTTGCTTGATGCATCGCATCGCATGGGAGGATTCTTTTACGATGATGATGTATCCCATACCCAAAAGAAAAGCAAAACAAACGAATCACTAGATATCATTTGTTTACTGGCACCCCAGAAAGCATCTTCCCCGTCATTGTTGATAGACTCGCATGTTTGATTGTCCAATCAAGGAGTATACATGCAAAAGATCCCATCGCCGTACAGCCTTCTCACCAACCCTGTCCCTGCTTGCATGTCGCCATCTTCGAACCAAGATTCATTCTAGGAAGTACGAGCGAATAGAGTAATGCGCCGGGCTTTTCAGCTGATGGCTTTTCGATTGATGTCAAACAGGAGACCTGGTAGCTTAAGTTTCAACGGATAGCTTTATCTTGTAATCTTCGATCTCTCGTCTACATTGTTTTTGTGCCGGGAAGAAAGAACATAACCGGTCAAAGCCCGACTATCTGAATAATACTATTGTCCTCAACGGCGGGCACGCATTGACAATATGCTAGGTGAGAAATGATGGAAGGGAGCCAGCCTTTCGTTTACTTCTACGCATTCTAGCGGAGATAAAACGAGGATAAGGCTAAGATTCAAGAATATGACAAACAAGTGCGGCTTAGAATGCTGTACCTTGCAAGATGGCGAGACATTTCCTTACAACCGACTGCACGCTTCTTCCTTCCAACATGGTATTCATTCCTACAACAGACCGAGTTGCTTCCTGCTTCCTGCAACATCAATCATTCATATAATCCATTCATACAAAGAAACACAAGCTCTGAAGATATGTACTTGATACTCAAAACGGCACCTCACAGTGCTCACACATCGGAAAAGTGCCAAAGTCCCTACATACCCAAAAAGTCCCATGTATACTTTTGCCGCCGAGCTAGGTCTCCCCTTCCACCTCTCTCCCTTTCTCCGGAATTTGACAACTGACAACTCATACCTACATAACATCCATCATCCATCATCCTTTCCCAAATTACGACCGCACGCACGCCACGGAAATCTATCCGACTCCATCAAAACTCTGTTTTCACTGTTCAGTGGATAAGTCTCCGAGAAACAAGCTTCCTCAGAAAAATCACAATATCTATCCAAAGATTTTCCCCTTGAATCCCCCAAAAATATAAATATAAATATAAATATCATAGAAAAATTACTGGATAGCCTTCTTTTTGGTAGCTCCATACTCATCAATTATCTGCAGCCACAGACACATGCATCACAGCTGGTTTTGGTACAAAGCGCACCTATTAATATTCGTACCATAGATTTTATAGCGGAATCGAAAAAAAAGATATCGAGATCCGTGGATCGTACGGAATAGGAAATGGGGCTTCGGCGATATACTGTACTCCGTGTTATTGATATGTAGAGATTTACCTTGCTTGCATCTAGGAAAGCCACTTGTGGATATTATTAATGGGAATTGCTAATTTTCGCACCTCGGTTTTTATGGAGAAGAAAATACCTTGGTTATTCCAGTAGTAGGTTTGGAGAAAGTCGCGTTTGGTATAATACGCGTTATATTCGTGTCTTTGACATTTCGATTGAGTTTACTTTTTTTGCCAATTGGGATGAGTCTATGGTTTTTCATCTAAACTTACTATCAGACTATAACGACTAATATGTTCCCATTAGAACATATCAGATGAAACCGTAATTAACGATATTAACGCAACAATTTAAGCCGTTCCTCATCGCCGTTGTGTATTCAAGTAATTCATATCGTGCCGTCTGGGTATCTGTACCTCAACACCCAACTGTACTGACCTCATGTAAACATATCAATTCTATCCATCCATCACCGCCTCTCCAATTTCCCATCTCCAAGCTATTTTTTCCAAACCGTCTATAAATGCATCCAAGCCCTCAGATTAAGCATGCAGCACCAATACTCATGCAGCTTCATCAACCATCAATCCAATAAGGATGTGCAAATTGCGTCATAACATTCTAATAATAAGAAAAATCCCATATGCATCTCATCTCACCAAGGCATCCTTCCCTCCCTTGCATGTAGAAATTCATTAGTTTCTGCCCATCTATGTATGTATGTGTAGGCTTCAGAAGATGATAATTGGATGGCGATGCCCTATTTTTTCGAAGAAAGGGAAGAGATATTTTGTTATGATTGAACTTTGATGCCTCTGGGGAAATGAAAAGAGGGCTTCATAAATTCATAACTTCATAATTCACCGTTGGCATGGGAAAGATTTGATATCTTTAGGTAGGTATCTAGGGACTTACTTACCTACCTACCTAGATAGAAGAGGAAAAATTAAAATTAAATTATATCAACGTGTCAATTGGAACTATTCGCAAAAGGTCGAGACTCTCCTGGTGCTGGTGAGAATAGATTATTTTGCCGCCCGTGCCTTTTTAGTCCAATCGTGATGCCAGCCATGTATAGAGTATGTATAGAATGAATGCGCAAACGAGCAAATGAAGATTGGATGGACGAACGATCGAACGATTGAGCGAATTGATGGAGGGTTGCTGTAGATAGGGTAGATGGTAAGATCTTACAAACAGCGTTTTGTTTGGTAGCGGTTTGCTTTCCATCATTGATTACATCAAGTTGTAAGTTTTATCGCTTAGAGATTGTTTTCCTCTCTATATACTGTATCTTTCAGGATAGATAACATATGATACATAATATGCCAGAAAGATGATACCGGTACTAGATAGCTATAGGCACTCAGGAATCGAAGAAGCCTTCTCAATAAACCCCACCTCTAATCAAACCTAATTGATCCTTTCATAGGCATACATTATAAACATACCAAATATCGGCCATGCCGGGTTGTCCAAACGAAAGTGGATTTCTTGCCTTGGCAACCACCAGGGCCTTCTGGTCATGGTCGTGCAATGTTGTGTTATCTATCACATGATTGTTATACCACGTGCGACAGACAGCTTTTGAGGGATTTCGTCCGAGGTCTGGCAATGTCATGTCATGGTTGCTATGTTACTACTGTACTTAATACTTTGTATTTCCGAGCATTTGTTCCTGGGTCTTTGGCTGTGAGATTGATGGGGTGCACCGCATGGAGGGAATGTGAATGTATGGTTATGGTACACAGGGTGATTGCGGGAGTAATGGGTATTTATTTGTAGATAGTGTCTTTTATTCGAATTCATTCTCTAGAAACTACATGATACCTTGATTTCTAGAGGTCAGGAAAGAATATCTACCTTCACCTATGTATCTTCTATTGTATCTTTACTTCAATGTTTGACTTTAGTCAGCCAGCCTCTAATTAATCATCAACATATTTTTATTTCCCCAAACCATCCACTTCAGCTCACTCCTACGTCCTACGTCCCACAAAACCGCAATCACGACTATCCTTCTCGTACCCTCATCCGGGACTTCCAACATGCACACTCTTTACGGGCTCTTCGGGGATCAAACGTTACACCCTCAGATACATAATCCTCTATGAGTCTCCCAAAAACCCCAGACATCCCCAACTACACAGCCAGAAAATCCCCTCTAATGAAAACCGCAACACAAAATAAAGTATCCGTGACCCGTAACCCCCCAAAATCATTCTCTCACACGGCCTACTTCTCGTGCAAAACATGGCATTCCAAACACAGCATACTTCATTCGCGTGCTCTTGACTCGGTCTATGAATGCATATCGATCATATGTAGAGTTACTCTATATAGTACCTTCATGCAAACAAATGTAAGATTACCTCTGTCATATCTATCTCAGCATCATACCTGTGTTACGCGATGACCCTGATAATCCCAATCCCATGTACCTGTGAACCAAGCGGACGGGAGATCCCATACCAGAATGCCGTTGTCGAAATTGCAATAAGTGGTTTAAACCTATGGGGATCTCAGACTGGCAAGTTCGTGAGTTTCTTGGTGCACGGTTGTGTAGGATGTGTATTTACGAGCGATCGATGGTGCTTTGGTGTTTTAGGTAGGGGGTTTTCGCTTCTAGATTTTGGGTAATGTTTATCCGTTGTTCCGCTTTGACGTCGTGCTAGGCTAGGTCGTTAGGATGGGTGTGGTATAATTATGTTCGCGTTTGTTTCAGCTTGTCTTTGGATTTGTTGGCGAGTAATTTGGAGGTTCTGTGCAAGATGGCGGTGTACATGGTGATAATAGTGACCCTCATGTCGATGTTGATGTTGATATCGGTTGTAGCTGATGATAGGCTTGTTATCACGACGTCGTATCGTGGTTTGATGTTGATTGTTCAAAGTTGGACGAATATTTTGAAGATTTATGAGCTTATAATGGATAGTTATCATAATCGCCGGGTTGGATAAGAGATGTTGGAATCCGAGCTACAGAGCCTCCGACTTGTAGGATCTTTATGTTTCTGGTACAGTCGATTACCACGTGTTAGTACACTTGTATCGAACATATGGTTGCATCATTTCTGCTTCTAACCCTATATACATGTGTTTCGAGCTCCAGTAACACTCGATAGTGATCATGTACCTATGTAACTGTGCGTAGTCTTATATTGTCATTCTAGTGCTCATTGTCGCCAATATTGGAACATCGGCAAGATCAAAAGACTAGTTTTCGCTATGTGTTTCTTGCAAACTGAGATGTCTACTGTGATACTTTACGTACAAGCTCTATTTCCACCTTCCATAAAACTGTTCCCATTCTTATCATGAAGCTCTCCATAGACTGGCTCGCCCTCTTCCTAGGGAGCTGGATTACTTCAGTACAGTCTATGTGTCCAACAATCCTCGAGCCAGCATATCCTGCTCCATCCCTAGCAGCAGGGTGGTCAGCTCAATTAATCGCCCAAGGTCTAAGTAGACCACGCACCATTCTTTTCGACACGAATGGAGGCCTTCTAATTCTCCAACAAGGAGTCGGTATCGCCCATATAAAATGGACTGATGATGGAAGTACATGTTTACAAAACCCAGTACAGACAATCGTTGTTGGCTCTACTGTTGTATGTCCGTTCTTTTTCTGTGTCGAATGTGCTCGAGAATTGGCGTGGTAAAGTGCTAATATACTTATGGCTCAATCATGGAATGGCTCTAAGCAATGATGGAAAAACTCTATATGCCTCATCAAGCAACAATGTATACGCATGGAATTACACAGCAGCAACCGGCACAGTAGGAAGCTCCAGCCAAATCATCATAACAAACAGTACGTCTCCATTCCCTCTCCACATCACCCTAAACCCACCATCTCCAGTGACAAACGACGACTCAACCACCCGCTCCCTTCTCACCACCAAACTCACCCCCAACCAACTCCTCATCTCCAGAGGCACAACCCTCAACATCGACCCCGAAGCCGAACTCCCCTCCACAGGCCACTGCCAACTAAAATCCTTCAACCTCTCCACCCTAACCCCCGAATCCCCCCCCTACAACTTCACCACCTCAGGTCATCTCCTCGCAACCGGTCTGCGCAATTCAGTCGGTCTAGCCGAAGAACCCCTCTTCGGTGGTATCTATTCCGTTGAAAACGGGCCCGGAAACATGACACGTAACAACATCGACATTCATCTCTATAATCCAGGGGAAGAATTAAATTTCCACGGATATTTGAATGGGAGTTCGGAGAATCAAGGTGCTAATTATGGATTCCCGTATTGTTTTGCCGTGTGGAATGAGTTGGATGTGGGTGGGGGGTTGCGCGTCGGTGACCAGTTTAGTATGGTGCAGAATAAGTCGAGTAATGATACTTGGTGTAATAATGTGGAGGTGCATGTTGCGCCTAAGTTGACGTTTGCGGCGCATTCGGCCCCGTGAGTTTGGGATTTCTGTTTTGGGGGGTTTTGGAGAGCTTGGTTGCGAGATGGGTGTTAAAGAAAAATGAGTGGTGGAGAAGATTAGGGGTATAGAGGTTGAATGGATATGCTGACTTGATATGTGATTGTAGGTTAGATATGATATTTCTAGCAAACGGAACAGAGGCATTTATTAGTTTCCACGGAAGTTTGTACGTCTCATTCCTTCCCTCTCCTCTCCCCCTCCCCTCCCTCCACCTTCCTTCATTCTCCTATCCAAACCAACTAACCCCCTCCCCCCAAACCCCAGAGAAACCACACCCCCCGTCGGCTACCGCATCTCCTCAATAACCTTCAACCCCACCACCGGTCTTCCTACTTCACCCTCCACATCCACGATATCCACCAGTGACATCATCTCAAACTCAAACTCTTCATTTTGTCCGGGTAATTGTTTTAGACCGGTTGGTATGGCGTTGGATGGTTTGGGTAGATTGTTTGTTAGTAGTGATGCGACGGGGGAGATTTGGGTTGTGGTTAGAATGGGGAGTGTGGGGTAGGAGAGGGGGAGGAGGAGGAGGAACAGGAAGAGTGAGAGGGGCTAGAGGGTGGGTGGATGAGGATGAGAGTTGTGTTGGGGAAATGGGGAGGGTGGATGTAATGGGATTCCGGGAGGTATTTTGGTGATGGTCAATAAGGTGTGGATGCTGCTGGTATGTATGGATATTATGGTCAAGGAAAGAAGTAAACATGTGGGACAAACGGCTCAACGACGTTTGACATATAGGTTTACATAATCTGATGACTTTACCATATTAAAAGAATCAAAATTCTACTCCAAAGAAATTCCGATCAGAGATTAACTGGTGAGTATGAATATGGTATTAATGGTCATGTCCGGGCAGCAAGTCTAAAAGTAAGTCTTTCTCAAAATGAACTAAAACTGCAGTATATTCATTCTATTCCTGATACGCATAACTGTGAATAGTAGTAATAGAATCATGACGAAATTGATCATCATTGCCGTGTTTCTCACTAATATGATAATAAGCTATTAATTGATAGGGAGTAATAGATCTATCTACCTTTCGATATAAAGGATTGACAAAAAGCCCTCACTAAGAAATTCTCACTGTGCAGAATTTGCCCCCTCGAGCATCTACTCTTTCCTTTGTCAGCTCTTGCTAAAGACTAAAATCGCCTGTTTCTTTTGATATACTAAGCTAAATTATAGCCAAACTAAGATTCACTTGCTAGATAGTGAATTGGCTTGGAGGGCATTGGAGAAGGAATTGACAATGATAATTACCCATCTATCCATTAACACAATATCGATGAATGAAATTAATCACACACTAAATTTAAGTTTGAAGAAGTATGAATTTGACAGATCCGAATTGGGACATGGTGAAGTGTTATGAGTGAGGCCTTGATATACCCTTTTCTCAAACACCGATACACTAAACCGCAACCTCCCTCCCCTATCTTATTTTCGGTAATTAACAATGTTAGATTCGCTGTATTAGTGAAATTAGTGAATTTAGCTGCACCAACTCTATTTAAAAAGCGATTGCCGAACTGTAAAATTATACATATGACTCAATACACATTAACTGCACACTTTTGAACAATTACATTTTCTCCCACGTACAAATATTTGGCAACTCCCTTTACTTTCGTTTCAATTGCAACCTTCCAAGACTTGTTTCTTGATAATAGATAAAGTACTAGAACGAGATCACAACAAGATGGCCACATATCCAATACTCACCCCCGCCGATGTTGAAATCCTCAGGAAAAGCCATCACCTAAAGCCAGTATATGAAAGGAGACTGTAAGCATCAATCCTCATTGTGAATTCAAAGTTTCCGGCTAACCTAGACAATACGAAAGATTCATGAAGCGCATCCTCGATTATACTATCATACCCGAGTTCTTCGTAAGCGAGCAAACACTTCTGTATATCGGGTGGATAGCCGAACATGCCAAGAAAACCTGGAAAAGTTAGCTGCAGGAGCAAGAGAAAAGCCGGTCCAGGGTAACTCACCTGAAGTATGTATTAGGACACATCAATGTTTCAGAGATTAAAGAAAGTTTGGAAGCCTAGATTGCACTTGTAGATGTGGGGAGTTGTCACCACTGTGCTCATAGATGCGATAATGAACCCCGATAATGCAGATAGACGTGAGGTTGACGGAATCCGCGCAATGCTAGGTTAGGGACACGATTACGCTCAGATATATGGAGCTTTCTAAATTGCGGAGAGATAGCGCATCGAGGATGAACAGAGGAGGAACCTGGCGAATAATTCTGTATTTAATTTACTAGCCGTGACAGCGGCCAAAAAAAAAAGATATCAGCGATACATGCGCTGCCATCAGGTTATCGTCATTTTTAGAAGGCAATTCCGAAAGAGGGGTTTAAATTTTATACCAATGGAAGCGCCTACATGAGTCATTCCCGTGCACCGAAATATTTCGGAATTTTTAAGAAAAGCTAGGAGAACAAAATGTCTTACTCCTAATCTTAAAATCGGCAAGCTGTATGAAATTTATATCCGAAGATGAAATGCACTTTTCGCTTTAATCATCCATCCGAAATGCTATCCCAGATAGCACGTTAGGACGTCTACAACATATATTTATTCCCCTTTGGAGATGCATAGAAAGAAAAATCTCACGCTAGTCGATCATGTCAGTGGCTAAAGGAAAGTTAACCTCTAACTGAAGTTCGTAGATATCCTCTGATAATTGTACCAATAGCAAAGGCAACCAACGAAGCTGTAGCTCGGCAGCACGTCACGATTGAGAATTTATTGTATATAAAAGATAGGCAAGCGCGGCAATATCTCTTTTAAACACAAGCTACTTTGTAATCTTACGAGCTAGATGGGTGCGAGACGAAAGTAGTGACAGACATGATAGGCGAAAAACTTCGGATTAATGAATGTTTATTCATTCTTCGAAGTCCGTACGGATCCTGAGGTAGTCCTCAGCTTACGAGTTTGCATGAGGATGTTCAAATTGTCTAGGAGCTTCAAAATATCAGTGATCATTTTGATTTCAAATTTTGATTTATTTTTAAGGACATATAGGGGGCAGAGAGTCGCATGACTTTTCACCACGGCTTGAATTGAGGGTTTAGGTGGAAAATGGGAAGTGATTGCATTGTAATTGGGAGCTTGGATTGGCGATGTATTTTTGATTTCTACGGTTCGGGCGGTATAGAATGTGGTTGCATGGGGATAATTTGTTAAAACTTGATGAAATCACCATAGTTCGTTCCGCATGAAGTTTAAAAAGTATTCCGAGATTTGACCCCTGTATTAGATAATCAATAGAAATATATACAAAATCATAAAACCAAGAGTAAAGAATACAACATATTTCTAAACTACACTCAAAACTCTCTTTGAGTCAAAAGAAAGGAAGTCTATAATACCATCTAGAAATTATTGTTATACACAAACACCATGAGAATTCTTGATATCTCTTGATATTACTCGGGACGACACCAAGTACTCAGAAATAACACCCGCCTCTATTACCACCAAGTCTACACTTCTAATCATCCCGATCCTAGCTGCTCCAATACATGACTCGAAAATATTTGGGTAGGGAAAGGCGCGGAATGATGATAATTCTGCTTGAGCAGCGTACATTCTTACAACAGGAGCGTTACGGATACAAGGAGCAACAAAAAGATTCTACTGATCAATCTACTATTCATGCAATCCTCATATAAAAATCATTCTAATCCTCTCTGCGACTCTCTGCTTACCAAGTTTTCAAGATAGCCGAGTATCAAAATGACTTTATTTGGCACGGTGTCTCATCCATCCCGCAAGGCTGCAGCGAAGGTGAATTGCAATGATATCAGTCCCTTGTTTCAGTGGTGCTTGACATTGTCGTTTTCCTTACATGAGAAGCTTAGATATGCTAGCAATGGTATGAGTGCGGAGTAAAATCATCTATATAACTATCAAACAACACCAGGTTGCATATACGGAACTATTGCTGTTATAGTAGAGCAGACACATTGACACCCACTCGCGATGCGATCAACGAGGTATCATTTCTATATTACGTATCCACTGCGACCAATTTACTTCACTCCTGTACAAGTTTCCTGCTTTTCATTTCCACTTGCCTTTCTCCATTCCTTGATAGGCATTTCACCTTCCGCAGATCAAATTCATTTCCATCCTTCAATGCGACTAACAATCTTCCTCATGCAAGATCTACGCACCCAATTTTCAACCACAAGAACCACAACTCGCGAATGACTATGAAACCAATGCCAAATTACAGAAATAAAAACAACTATGCTAATCCCTTATAAAAGCTCGCCTTTCCCCAATGAATCGAACACCCGCAGCGCTATAAGAAGATAATACAACAACGCACATGATATTATGGATTTCAAGAGCCTAACGAGTTACTCAACTACGGCCCATTGAATTGCGGACGTCGTTCAAGCTCTGTCCACTAAACTTTGTCTAGTGAACGTATATTTGTAAGCCAAGCCGAATATATTCCTTGAAAAGAGAAAAACACAAATTGTAGGGTATGAAAACAAAGGAAACAATTTTGAGAAATAGGTCATCAACGTAGGCCGATAACACTCATCTCCAATGTCCACACCCTTCGAATCCACACCTTTAACTTCCCCTCTACACCTTCTACATTCTCCAATTCTACGCCCTCCCACCAACATCTTCTCGCAGGTTTTCTCCAGAAAAGCAGCAGCTTTTGTGCCATACCCACAGCATTACCACCCATCTCGTTACCACGAATGTCAGTTCGAAGACGAGCTAATGCGAGACTACATATAACAGCTTTGTTTGGCTCTCCTGCTCGATGACCCCAGTGATCATCGTGGTTGAAACCCCTATTTTCATGTTAGTTCTGTACTTGCTGGTTATGTTAATGCAAATGGACATACCCAGCAGTTAACATTTCAATCAAATGCTGCTCTGTTGTACCAGTTTCCTCACTTCTTCTCAAGCCAGAAAATATACCATCTTGTTTCAACAGCGCCTTTCCAGCCGCTCTCTTCACCTCAATCATTTCCGGTTGTTCGATATCAGCCCTGGGAGGAATCGCATAGAAATCTAAGTCTTCCCTCAAAACAATTATGCCAGCTCTATCCTGTAACATCTCCCTAGCAGATCCTGCCATTGGCTCAATTGGTACAGTGTCTGTTTCTGGTCCCGCGGATGGTGAGTTTGAACCTGATGGAATCGTTTGCGCTACGTTGCGAAAGAATTCAAGCATGTATTGTAATGATGCAGGATCGTACTGAGAGAAAGTGTCAGCTATATGCATGTCTAAATTTGACAGTATATTGCGAATAAATAATGGAGTATCACGGACATCAACCTGGAAGGCATCTCCTTCATGGTAGGTACTCAAATGTCCATCGGGTAGTAGACCATTGGGAAAGAGTGATAGGAGAACGAATTCGGGCAGTGTTAGGAGTTCATCTCGAGATAGTGTGAATCGGGTTCCGCTAAATTTGGGGATTAGTCTACGTAAATTCACGAACTCCATATTCCATATATATCATACCGAAGGTCCATCGTGATGTTCTCATCGGCGCCAACATCTAAAAATGTCAATAATCATTTCATCTAACAATTGATGAAAATCAAACTTTACCTCCAAGCGTATTTATAGGTGCTGCACCTTGCTGGACTTGAGTAATAATACTCGCAGCTCCTCCGGCGGCCGCCATCAGATATGTAAAGCCGTCGAGCGGACTTGAACCTTCCGAATATGCAGGTGGTGGTTCGCTTTCGTCGTCTTTTTTTGAGGATTCGCCTTTATTGTCCTGGGGTAATGCAGCTTTTGTTTCCGCCTCGACGTCTCTTGAGGATGTAGAAGCTTCGAGAGCCTGTCTATTTTGATCGGACGCGATAAGAACGTATTCCGGGGCAGCAGTAGACGTAGATAGAGATGCGCCTGCTTCAGTAACGGCAACCTTGTAAGCCTCGACAGCTTCTGCAGTTGAGGTATAGAGGGAAGAAAAGGGCGGGGGCCGTGGCGAGGAAGGCGTCGGTTGTAATGGTTCTGAAATGGGGTATCTAGGGGGTGGTGAATGACTGCGATCTAACTCTTCCTCCAACTTCAATTCGTGCTCTTCTGCTGCGATATTGTCTAGCCCAACGGACGGACCGTCGATGGCTCTCTGCGTATTGGACAACGTGGTTGCTGAGATTTTTGGAAGTGGATTTAAAATTTAGATTTGATACAAGGATTAAAGTTAAATTGATTGAATTCCGGAAATTGATGTTTGGCACAGAAATATGAACCAGAGAATGGACAATCGTTGGTGCGAGATGTATTGAGTGTTGTGTATAATTGATCGTGATCAGTTTAGGAGTGTTTACATAAGGAAGAAGTGCTATAAAGGGCTTAGCGTCATCACATATTGTCTGTGCATAACTTAAATTAAGTGCTATGATTGGTAGGCGCAGGGCGCTTAGAGGTGTTATTAAACATCATCATTATCTATCAGATGAAGCAGATGAAGAAGATAGGTATTGTAAGACTTCCAGGTATTAAAGATAGTTATTGGATATTCATGTCTACAGAGTAGATACTCATGTCCTCGTACCACGTGATTGGTCATATATTAGATAAGGTACCGGCTATGAGAAGTGTAGCTCGAGACACCCTCACACATTTCCGGGGATGATCTCCAGCCTCCAGAACATCTATATCTGGATACATATGTCTGGATACTATTAGATACATAAATTCAATACTCACATCTGCACAAACTTACCTCCATACAGCCCATATTTGGATACTCATCTCGGAATATCCGTGGCTGCATAATACCTAGGCGGATCCATAACATCTATGACGATGCATCACATCTAGCTGAATACATGACATCTAGAAGATCTCTGCTGCTTTGAATTTCCAATAAGGCCGATGCAGGAGCAGCAGCAGCTGACTTACAAAATGCAATAGTCGGTAAAGTGTGCCCTCAATGCTGCTTTGTTCTTAATTGAGCAAGTATTGTATTGGTCAGTAAGCCTTGGACGCCCAATGTCTTTATAGATGTTGGATTTTGCCATGATATAGAATTAGATAGGATGAGAGGCGGTGGAATTACATCAGCTTTAACCTAAATGTCATCCCAGCATGTTGGTCATTTTTTCTTCTCAAGGAGTAGGAGTAGTCTCGAAGTTTTTACCAGCTCCATTGTAGGTGTTAATGCTGTTCATGGGACCACTTGTGAGCCTTAGTGGTGCTCCTACCTTGGCTATGTCGCAAAGTGACTGAGCAGAACCTAGTTCTAGTCATTCAGGAATGATAAGCGGAGATCCACATCATACCTTTGCTATTTCAGGACTGTTGATAACGAGATGACCAAAGGATTCATCACCATATCGTGGAATGATATGCGTACACCTCGAGTCCTATAGCAGTAACTTCATACTTCATCTCGTTATCTGCATGCGAAAGGGCTGAATGTCGTATCTCCGAAGCGCATACAGCGCTTTCATAGCTGTTTCTTCCAGACACTCAAAGTGATAACTACCTGAGCTCCGTTTAACTGCAAATAGACAGTACTGAGCAGGTGGTAATTTCCACAATTCAGTGAGAAGGCTCGGATGTGTTGTGAATTGTTGATTTCCTTAAAACAAATGAGAAACTCCTTGATATCGACAGCGATTCAGCTACTCAATGTCGCAATAACTTTCATAATGGATATCGAAATAACTTTTATAAAAGTATTCGCGGTAGTAGCCGTTGACCGATCTGAGAAATGCATATTTTAGTTAACACAATCACATCGCATCCTAGGTTGCGCTTCTTGGAGAATTTGGGCAGCAATATGGAGTAACTAAGCGCACATTTGAGTGCGGTTAGCTTGAAATTTATCTTCGGGGCACCGCTGAATGTGACTTTATTTCAAAAGATCCAGAACCATCCCTAGAAACAAGAACCTCGAAATTAAGGGAACTCCCCACTTAATTCTATGTTTTACAACCCTGAGGATCTTTACTGTGTGCACTATGTCTCTAAAACTCTGAAAGAAGATGTGGACTTTAGAGGTTTCAATAAGAGAGGAAACTCATAGCCTTGCAGCTACAGAGCTTACTTTCACGTCAGCCGAAAGGGGTAGAGCACGTCACTTCCCGTGGCACCACGAGTTTCAATTGCAACAATTTCTTGCGAAACTAGTCTGGTTGGAACGATTATATCTTCAGATGAACCAAAAAGCAAAAAATCACAGGGACGTGCTTCTTATGGCTCTAAGCCTGTAAAGGATTTAATAACTCGTGCATCAATACAGTTTTTGTAGCATGCATTGCACCACACCAACATTACCATTCCTTGCAGTGCGAATTCCTATCATTGAAACAATACCTTGATTAGCAATGACTAGCGAGGCAGTAGAATTTCATCCCAACACTTATTGGTCAAGCCTAAGAAAGGCTTGAAGGGATCCGAAATATTCACTATGTCGCTTCGTAGTCAAATTGAATTCCTATAATAGAATACATGTGCCCGCATTACCTCTTCCAAGCACGTAAAAACTTCTCTTGCCATCAATGAACTATGCATCAGGAAATTTGATACTGCAAGACATGGTAAGAAAGGTGACGACGATGACTTCCCTTCTAATAGAAAGTGGGATTTATCATTTAGAAGTCGTTATCCCATCAACCTCCGTAAAATATGACAATGAACATCGTCGTGATAAAATTAACAGTGCAGTTTTTGATGCCGAATTCACGGCACGCTGTCTAGTACCAATATTCCTCCTGATTTTCATCTTCGAAAGCAATCAGAAGTAGAAGATCTCATGAAATTTGCAAAGATGTTCATCTCCTTTAACATGGGCAAAATTAAGTTCTAAGAAAAAAGGTGGATGATAAATTACCAACCAACAAATCTTCCATCCATCTATTTGCCAACCTCAAACTTCGGTAAATCTTTTACACGCGTGATCAAAATTCATGTTAACTCTGAGTTGAAGAGCATTCCTCTTTCAATTACAAGGAAATGTCGTGGTGGAAGCATGGTCTCTAGAACGTTGTAAGATTATTAGCTATAGCACCACAAATATGGAGATAAAGAAATGTGACAGATCTGAATGAAATTTACTTCGCTTCCATACCTACTCAGGGTCCGATTTGAAGCAGTCTCCCACTTATTAATGTACCCGCTATCTTGTATTCTTTTCGGGATATAGTTTTCATGCAATATAAACTTGAATACGTAGCCATACCCTTGGATCAATATTATTGTTCCTGGGAACCTCTTCAGGATTTCAAAGTTTGCATGGACAGCATCACGTTTTTGCGAGAGAAAGAAGTGTATCTATATCTATTTCCATAATTTGATTAGCAGTAGAGGCGACGTCGAGGTTTGTGCGCGAATTCGTATAAGAAGGTGATGGGCTCACATTGCAAGAATAAATGCTACTAGAAGCTAAATAGATGGATATCTGCAAACGTGCTTGAATAACTTTTTATTGCACCCTATTTTCAGGGGTTTGAGGTTGGATAGATGCGTGGAGTAAGATATAATAATAAACAAAATGGAGATTGTAAGAAGAAAAAACGATCTTTTGAGGAAAAGTCAGGGTGATGGGTGCATAGAGTAATATGATAAGGGGATTAGCTTCCTTGTTTGGTATTCTTTTACAATGATCCCCAGGGCTCACTAGACCACCAAACGCAATGTGAGATCTAAACACGGGAAATACATGATATCATGTAACTTGAGTTCTTCTACATTACGAACGAGGTAAAGAATGTCGTTACGGTAACTACTTCTAAAACATAACATTTCTACCAATTAATAATCCACCCGAATTTCTCAATAATCAAAAACTGCAAAAACTCGAAAATAAAAACCTCCTCCAGACCTCCCTCTTCATTCTTTACTCCAGATGTGCTATCCCAAAGCCCATCTCAATCGACAAGTGCACATCTCATGTTCCCGTCTACTTGGCTCCAATTGCCAAAAGAGTGTCGTTGATCCCATCAACAACAGGCTCTAGCCCAAAAGGAGCCAAAAATGTCCACAGAAGTTGACGTGCTCGGAGAGTCATGGGTGTGGACGCAACGGTCTGGTTAATTAGCGTGTTAGTGGAGCTTTCCTAGGTATGAGAATGGAAAGAATTGAATGTGGAGAAGTGGACTCGCATCGTATTTGTCTACAACTCTGGTAGCTGTAGAGCCTTGGTTCTCGCCCGCGATGTTCTTCAATAGCTGTTAGTATGTGAAATGCGTGAAAAAGTACAGCAGCTAAGGCTCACAGCGATAGGAGCCGCCATGGCAAGGGGGAAAACGATTGCTGTGATGACGAATCGTTGGAGCTGCATTTTAAAGAATTGAGATGGCTTATGATAATTGAAGCTGTAACGGAGAAGAGTTTGATAGCTGTGATTGAATGGAAACAATGCCATATACAGCCCTTCTTTATATATTCTTGTCCACAGCAGTTGAAGGATCGCGAAGCTGTCATTTCCACCATCCAGCTTCCACGAGGTCGATCAAAGAAGGGTCGCCTACAACGTTGAACTCCACGAGGAAGGTACATGCTTCACTACGAAATCTTTGTATATTCAACTGAGAGATAACCGCAGCCAATTATTGGGCCCTGACGACATACCATATGCTGTCTGGAGGAAATATGGTTTCCCCGTTTTGGTGCTCAATGACATTGGTACGATGAACTCGTACCGGCGATCTGGTGCTTCAAGGGAAATCGTTCGTTTCAGATGTTGGTGTGCTCGATTCATCAATAATCTTCCTTGGACACAACCTCTAGCAAGTAATTTATTTGCGCAATGTGATGAATTGCCAACACGATATGTCACCTCATGGGAGTTGTATAATTAGCCATTGAACCACTTGACTCATCACCTTCGGTGGAAGTCGAAAGAAGCCCTTGGCCCCTGTTTGACAAGCTGACATTGATAGACCATCACAAGCGATCGAAGATCCAAGGGCACAATTGAATTTGACAAGCTGACAGAAATTTATCATTCTTTGGATCTTGACGCCATATCAGGGACCAAATCTCGAAATTGTGAGAGAAGTCATCCACAAAAAAATCCCGAAACTGAGAAACATTTCGGCCATTCCGAACCGAAGTTTCACTCATATCATCGGCTGGGCAATAATATTTTACAGCCGAAAGAAAAAGCAGAGGGACAAATTATAAAACCGCTCGCATAGAAGTTGCGAGACTAATAAAGGGACGATTTTGTCACCAAAATTTGAATCGAGGCAATAATTCCCGATTAAACTTCAAGGGCATTCTATTGAATACTTCTGGAAGCCTCTTGTGCTATTAGAATCGTCCCTAAAATGAGGTAGCTACACTGGGACGTGGAAGCACCTCCGGGGAATATTTATGAGAGTGATCCAATAAGAAGAAGATGGCATGAAAGCTCGATTGGTACAGCATAGGACGTGTGTGTATCATGTTTGATATTAATGCAGAATCTCAATGTCGTGCCCGTCGCTATGCGCCATGATGGCTGCTATTAATGAAAAGGTTTCGATAAGAGCGAAGGAATTCTAGCCATACAGCATTGGAGAAAAATGGTGACGGAGGCATCTCCGCAAGTTCCACAAAAGATATCGATCATGTTTGTGCATGTTTGAATGAAAGGGTCATTTCTTTGTGGTGTTAGTGCGGAGTAAGGAAAATGAGATGTGGTGGAACATCTGGCTTGGGGTTGGACATATATCTGAAGGGGATTAATAATTTGTCGCATTGTGTTTGTTTGTTTTGTATATATCTAGATTCGGGTGATATCTGATGGATTGAAAGAATAGTATACGTACTAGTACTATTATAGGTAGCAATATAGGAAGTAATTCGCGCTACGCTAGTAACCAATACAGTCGGTTAGACGATAGATATGCTAAGCAAGGGGTTTTCCGGGAACCTTTAGGCTCTACTTGCTTGTAGCACTAAATGCTTTGTGATCTTATCGAGGAGAATTCTGAAAGCTTTTCCACTGGAAGAGGGTTTACTACTAAGTAATTATCTAATGCATCGTGAAGCTAACCTAACTCCAGTGTAAGATTACTTTCCAGTCATGACATGCCATTTCAGTAGCATCAGAGATTATCTCGCTGGCTTCAAACTCTATGCATCATGTTATTCGAGGGGAGTTTCATGCGAATATTTCTTTCACCAATGCCTTTGTCAGTCTACCAATAAAGATATATTGATATTAGTTTGTGTTGTAACTGATGAAATCAAGATTTTAAGGGTCATACGAGATTCAAAGCTTTCGTTAAAGTCCGTTAGATTTCCAATAAAAGCGGTTAGCTCTCATTTAGGAGTTTCCTATGAAATACTACCCGCGCGTAAGATGAAAACCTAGTCGACTAGGATATGTTAAAAATGGTACCTGAGTACAAGTACTGTTAGTCTTTATAACGCCTGTGTTACATAGGTGGGTAGGTGGGTAGGTAGGAAAGTACCTTGGTTTATTCTAATCGATTAAATGATGACTGATAATAATGATATCTATGCTATCGATGCTGCCAATGCTGTTGCTGCTGTGGATGGTTTAGATAGATATTGCAGTATTATCCAGAAACTAATTACCTACCTAGTCTACCTAGTATCTGAGGAGCAGCTAGTTTTGTGGAACTTTGTGATGTCATTGAGGAATAATATTTCGTCATGTAACTCAAGAATTTCCTTGTTAGACATCAACTATCTAGAAAAGATTCTCCTTTTAACAATGAAAAACTCCCTGGGTAGATCAATGGAGAGCAACAACAATTGATCAACAAGAAATAATGACTAAACACGACTAAGTTCGTCTCTTCTTCATGTCCCGCCAATCACAACTAAACTACTAGAGTCTCCTTTCATTCTTATTATTTGCTTACGGATTATTTGCCGAAAGGTTCATATGGCAAAAATTGCAAAAATGGCAAGAGGAAAACCCACCCATCGGAGGCGGACATCCTCACCGGTGATTCGTCAAAATCCCAAATTTTGATCGGAGGTATCTCCACAAGATCCTTTTTCTGGAGTCTTACCCAAAATCCATGAGCAACCTCACCATTCTCAATTATAGAAGTCGTCGCTAATCCTGGAATATCATCACTTTTTTTCTTCCTTCAAAAAAATTTATCCAATTCCGCCAATCATCAGAAAAACTACTAGTCACAATTGTCAATTTATTTTGCACAAGGGGGAAATACTACCGTTGCAACCATATCTTTCCCCTAGCTCTCTTCGGCCGACGAACGACAGCGACTTTGACAACAAACACAACATCGAACATAGCTTGGATAGCAGCCATTCAGTTCAAGCACAAGGAAGGGTAAAAAACTGTATTACACTGTTCTTCTCATGCTGTTCAAATCACCAGGCAAAATAGAAAGAACACCGATGCCATACAACTTCAAAGGGATGCGGCAAGACATCTGTTGGGAATTCACGATATAAACCACTTCGACTACAGGAACTATTCGCCGCGGCGGCCGATCTTCGCAATATTCATGTTGCCATGAACCCCGACTCGGTATCCAGTCCCAGTTCCGGAACGGCTCCAACGCGGAAGGATCGAGGACCGATCGCGAGTCAGGTTGGTATCTATTCGCTCCCCACCTTCATTCTCTCCTTTTCAATGGGGTCCACTACTATTTTTCGCGTGTATAATCTTGGCTGTCTCATGTTACCTTATGTACTATAAATGGTGGCTGACATTCAATTTCTGAAGGCTTGCGATGTTTGTCGACAACGAAAGCAAAGATGTGACGAGAAGCGACCGAAGTGTGGTCTCTGCACACGGTTGAAGATAGAATGCAATTATAGGGAGCCCGTGCCGACAAAGTAAGTGCCATGAGGCATATTTCAGGCCACTCGACATCACCGAGGGGATTCGATCTGCTTCTAGTATACTCACCTGCCTTGACCCTGACTGAGAGCGCTATAGGAAAGACAAAACGATGGTTGAAATTCTGGATCGAGTAAAAAGTATAGAAGATAAAATTGACCGACTTCCTCATCGAGTCGCAGGAGGTACATCAGAGTCTAAACTATTTCAGATAACGCCTACCAATCAGTCCTCGTATAGCGACTCCTTCAACTTCGATTCCGAGGGACATGCATTTGCTCCTACGTTCTTACGCCCTTATGAACTTAGTCCTGGTCGATTGAAAATAGAGACTAAATGTCACCATTTTACAGCGTCCCACAAGATCTTGACATGGCCTGCTGTACAACAACTTCTACTCCAAGCTGTGCCGTCGAACATTGGTGATTTGAAAGACCTGGAAAGGGGGTCGGTGTTCATAGTGCGAATGCAGGCTGCACGAACCCCGTTATCCTTAAATGTAGACCTACAAGAAAAACCTTTTGTCGGCATGCAATCGTTGGCGAGTAGAGCTGTTGGAGGCTCGCGAATAACGTTTCCCACTATATCCCGGGAAACCATACATCAACTAACAACGTCTTATTTTGATACATTCAACTTCCTGTACCCCTTCATGGATAGGCAAAATTTTGTTTCTGACACTCTTACAAAAGTTACATCAGAAGGCTTTGATGGAGATGTGGAATCTGTCCTTGCATTGCTGATTTTCGCTCTCGGAGATGTGGCACTCGAAAATTACCGTGGTAATCCTGTCGATATTTACCGGGGCCGGCCAAGTGGCATCAGAGGCGGATCAGGGTCATCTAGACCACCAGGATTAGCTTTTTTTAATGAAGCGATGAAAAGAATTGGCTGCGTCTTAACTGACTGCAGTCTTGAGAATGTGCAGATATTTTGTCTGACTGCGTGCGTCTCAATCTCATCAAAAATAAGCCTACCGAACTCGCTTGTTAACTTCTTGCCTCAGATTGTACTACCAAACCTGTTGCCGCCACATGGTAATTATTGGAATCAAAATCTTCTATGAGTGGCAGTTGATGTAATCGTAGGAATTTTGGAGGTCGATGGTTTCTGCTTCTTCGGCATGTAATATACTTATCACGTCGTCAGCACACTTTTTCATTCTTTTCTTCTCCAAAATCTCTGACCAAATTTTAGGAACAGCATTGACTGGAAGTCTCCGAAAGGCGACCTTATCAAACGTGCGTATTGGCATTGTGCTACCATGGAGACGTAAGTATCCACACCTACAACGACACTCCGTAACCCGTGCATTATGCTAAAGGAATGGAAGAACTTTACACCTTGACATGGATCTACCACTCAGTTCGATGATGAATCTTGAGAAAAAGGTTGAGTTGCCGCTTTTTCTAACCCCTTTCTGTGAAGAGGACTTTAAGGGAGATCAACAAACTCATTGGCAAGCCCACAATTCTTCGGTGCTGGCATTACGACGAATTTGTGTGCAGATACAAAATGGAATCCATGAGAGTAAGCGCATAATGAGATGTTATATTCACTATCGTGGAATGAAACTGACTCCTTAAATAAAGTGGCCAATATGGACACTAGCTCCCCTTCCACAGATGCTTTCAGCTTCCTGTCCGCAAGTGGTGTACAACAGCTCGCATCCCAACTAACTCAATGGCGCGGTCTCCTCCCCAGTGCCATCCAATGGGATGAAGATGACCCCGCGAGTTTTCCTAGCGTGCAGACCCTCGACCAACAAACCAGGAATATCGATCCGAATCTCACATCACCAGCTTCGCAGGATCCACGTTCAGCTCTGTTCTCCACTAATATCGACGAGGAACCGACTAGGTATCCTTATGCGTATGACATACAGGTGGCCGTGTTGAGAACCAGGTTCTACTATGCCAAATACATGGTTTATCGACCTTTTGTATACAAGGTTTTGCATTTTCCAGAGTTGGTCACGCCAGAGGATGCCCAAAATGTTGCGGAATGTCTACGCGTATGTTATTCTAACCTTTAGTCTTTTCTCCTTTCCCATGACTGTTACCACCACGTTACACTTCTATTAACACCCCATACCAGTCTTGTCTCCTTTGGCCCATCCTGCTCTCCCCCCCATCTCGCAGCAAACGCCTCATTCCCTACCTCTTCACCTGGTCTCAAATCTTCCTTAGCATCTTACTCATCGTGCATCTTTCGAAACACAACGCGATGCTGAAGGATATTTGTGAAAACATGTGTGGGGAACGGTATCACGAGGAGATTGATAACACGGTAGGCCTGATGCTGGATTGGATCCGGGATTTGAAAGATGCCGAAGATCCCATCGCCATTTGGTGCTGGAATATGCTGAGAGGTATTTATTGGTAGGTTTTTCATACCCAATTTGTTACTGGACTACTATCCAACAAGACACCTCGAACGTGGGTGCAGGTGGGGCGGTTGGGAAGAAGAGATGAGAAGTGACTTCGAACAATTTGGACCGTGCAGGGGGAATTGTGTGAAAAGCGGTGATTTGGAATGGGGGTGGAACTATGGGTTAATGTTGACGTTGTGATGGACTAATGCGGTGGATAGATTAAGGTAGCAAGGTAGGAAAGGTATGCATGAAACGAACGAACCAATGAACTTTGTCATGACATGATGAAGTTATGATCATGAAGAAAACATATAAATATATATAGCCATATTCATTAGTTAGATAAACCGACAAGCGAAAATAGGCGAATCCAAAAAGATTACAAGTCTCTAAAATTACGAGTCTATCCATTTACATCCCAATTCGCCTCTCGATTCCAAATTTCACAGGGGGATATGTAAGATAACAACTTTATACAGGTGCCTTACCATGACAGAGTTCATAGCTTGGACTCCTTTCGTCGTACGAACGTATCGTCTAGTAAGTAATCAGGGTATCTCTTTGCTCCAGCCATGGGCCCCGGAAGTCTCCCTATTTGCACAAGATTAGTATGAATACCTTAGCGAGGATGAATGAGAAGAAAAAAGTGGGGAGGTTGGTGAGGAAATCTTTAGACATACAGCTTCCGCCATCAATAACCAAAACTTCTCCATTGACGTAGCTTCCTGCATCGCTGAATAGGTATACAGTTCCATCCGCAATTTCCTTCACGCTACCATATCTCCCCAATGGGTTTCTTCTTTGCGCATCACCGTTTGCTTCACTCTGCTTATCGCCCAACCTTGCCATTCCTTCCGTTCCTTCTATGGGTCCTGGCGTAATCACATTACTAGTTATTCCCCTAGGACCATATTCCAAGGCGGCCGTTGCTGAAATAGCATCGACACCTGCTTTTGCTGCTGCTGCATGTCCTTGCAGTGGCATTCCTGTAAAATGGAACGCGGCTGAGATAAAAAGGATGCGGCCACCAGTGTTGGGGTTGGATGCTTTATTTGGATGGGCGGAAGCGGATTTCAGGAGTTGCGGGAGAGTGGCTTTGAGAGTGTTGAAGGAGCCGAGAGTGTCAATTTCGAGGACGGTTCGGAAAGCATTGGAAGAGAGACCATCGAGAGGGGCAATAAAGTTTCCGGCTGCTCCGGCGCTGTTGTAGTGATCATGCATGTTAGAACGTTTCATCAATTTGAATATAAATTGGAAGAAAAAGGAAACGAAAAAGCCATCATACATCACGAAATCAATGCCTCCTAACTCCTTCACGCATGCCTCTACCGCATTCTCCAAACTCTTTATGTCCCTCACGTCCACATTGCCAATCCCGAGAACGATGGACCCAGGACGTGCTGTCGATATGGATTTGGCCATGGATTCAGTCTTGGAAGGATTGCGTCCGATAATGCATGCGTTTGCTCCTAGGTGAACCATTGCGCGGACTTGGGCGGAACATATTGAACCTGCACCGCCAGTGCAGAAGACAACTTTGTTATCTGAGAAACAGAGACTTAGTATGTATTATAAAAGGGGCCTATGTTTTAGGAGTTCACACCAAAGATACCATCGCGCCAGACGTCGGAGAGATATTCTGATCGAGGTAGAGCCATGTTTGTTTGTATTGCAAGAGTAACGAGGATCTGGGGTATTGGATAGAATTGATGGCCGAGCCTCTCTGTGAATACTTGTATCAAATAATGTGTTCTATTGCAGAGCACAGCTTCAAAAAAAATAACGAGAGAAGTGAGTTGTAAAAATGTAAATCCAACATTAGCCCAACCTACCTAGGCAGGCACTGAAGCAAAGTGAAACATTACTAAAATCCGGGGGTTTGGATTCTCGTGTGCCTCGGTCCGGCTGTCATTTCACAAGTTCCGGGAGCTAAAGTTGTGATTATATAATCACCCGAGCCCAGAAAGCACAAGCAAGGATCTTCCCTTTAGCCTCCACCCCCACCCGCTACCCACCTCGCTGACTGAATCGCCAAAGCAGCAACTCCATCTCCATCTCCATCTCTATCCATCATATCACATTGTCTTTGCGTATTGAACAACTCTTACGTAAAGTTATATTTGGGAGGGACTTTTGTACGCGACAAGATGTCTACAAGGACTGTGTCGACTTTAAAGTTTGTGGGATCTATTTCCCTCGGCTTACTTACTGTAAGTTGATCGCATCACCCCACCATAAGTGACCATTTCAGATCAATCACCAGTGAATCCAACAGCTTGTCAAACTTCATTATCTTCCCCTCTTCTCTCTTACCGATCTATGATGAATTCAGAGGCCTAACAGACATGATCGATAGGGCGTTTCCTATACTCTCTCATCCCTCACAATCCCCGCCTTCTTAACCCTCCCGTCTGCTACTCTCGCATCTCGTTCTTACAGCTCCCTCACCTCTCTCGCCACAACCCACACTCGTGCTCTCACCTGGATTTCATCATGGTCTTTCCTTCTCGCCTTCTATTTCTCTCCTCGAGGACAAAGACATCCTTATCTCCTCTGGACATCTCTATTTGCCGCCTCAAGCTCCATGGTCGATAAATTAGTCCCACTCGCCATTGGTTCCACGGGTCCAAGACGCATTGCACAAAAGAAAAAGTCAAAGAAAGCTATGAGTCCCAGACAAATGGATGCCAGTTATGAGGTGTTGAGCAAGAGTGCGAGGGATTATGAAAGTGCGGGATTGGCTAGTAGTGAAGAGGAGGTGGATGATAATGTTAATGGGGAGGAAGTGAGAGAGGAAATGGAGGGGTTCATGACCAACCAAGTTGTCAGGACAGTGGTTGCGGGTTTGGGTTTTGCGATGAGTGTTGTGGGCATTTGGGGGGATGGAGGATTGACCGAGGTCATTTTTGTTGATGTTGTGTAAGAGGGGAAGGGGAAGGTTTTGGATACGACTATGATAGACGAAACGAATGAAATATAACGAAGGATATGAGAATGGTGATAAGGTGACGGGTTGATATTGACGCGGGTCGGTGGTTGGTCTCAAAGTTTTCAGAATGGAATGGGTTTGGCGGTTTACAGGCGCGACTGGTGGCAAACAGCACATTCCCGTTCTTTGGTTTACATATGGATCCAGAAAGGCCTCTTGGGCCTAAAACTATCTCCTCTCTTTACAGTTGAAGCATATTTTTCGCTCTATTTACCATTCATCTATGGCCTAAGATTTTTTTGGGGAATATTTGTTGAATGTCGTTGAGCTTTATAAAATATTTGTTATGAGTGGGCGAAAAAAAGATTGTTTTCTATTGTTAAATGGGCTACAAAATATTCCTGTAACTTTGATATTCTACAAGTAGATGAATTTGATAGTTTTCTTCAAACTATTATTTATCCTAAAGACATTAAACACATATCTACTCAACTCTTTCCCTCGCCTCTCCAGCCCAAGCCTCCCTGATGCCTCTTCCTTGCGGTATTGCCAGCCATTGAGTGTATCCAACTGAAAAAACTATTCATTAGCACATACTCATCACGAAAGGTCTGAAAACGATATATATATAATAAGAGGGTTGTCTGGCCCTGTCTCGAGGAATTATAGATGAACGTTATACTTTCCATGCGGCAGAAGTAAATATTCTTATTTTGTCTTTTCTTTCGGGTGATAGGAAACTGGGTTCGAGTGGTGAAGGGCAAATCTGGATATTCACTCATCCTGGTGATCCCAAGGTTGGGTTAATATTGAAATGTTTGAATCGAAGTAATGAATCCGAGATTTACTTGTCCGACATAATAGATGTTATAGAATTCTATTTTCAGATTCGGACTTAAATTTGAATGTGAGAGCCAAATGGAACATCAGGTGCTACTATGATTAGATTGGACAAAAACATTGAATTAATGAAGAAGTAGTAATCTCATTCAGATATCTCGCAACTATTCTTCCTGTTCTATTTTCTTCTAATCTCCAATTCTCGAAGCTGCAAATCCCATGGTTCCACTTCCTCAATATCCCTCAACGCATCCTCCAACCACTTAACCAAATGTAAAAGCTGGCGATCTAATCCCGTTCCCGCCAATATCGTGACACTGAAAGGTAAACTTTCTATTTTATCAATGCCATATTTATAAGTCCCGCAAGGAACCGCTACAGCTACCAGGTCCAAAACATTAGCAAAATGTGCAAAAGCACCTAGCTGTCCATTAATCCCAATAGGATCTTTCGCAACTTCGTCAATCGTGGGGTGGAAAGGTGTAGTAGGGACCACCATGACGGTTAATTCGCTAGAATCATCATCTAGTGTAAGAATGTTTTCGACCATTCTTTTATACTCGGCTTGTTTGTGCAAATCCTTGAATACATCAATAGCTGTAGTAGAGCGTGCGAGTGCACCTTCGAAGACGGAGCAGATAACAGGGTGGAGGAGTTTTTTATTCTTCTCGAACCAGCCTTCGGGTAGCGTAGTAAGTCGCTCTAGGACGAACGTACCATCGTAGAGAAGCTCGTTAGCTGACGCGAAGGGCGTCCAATCTAAGTCCACTCGTTGACCACCTAATGATTCAAGAGTGGTTACAACACGATTAAACTGCTCCCGATAGATGGGAATGCAGACTTTGAGTGCAGAATCCGGTGGGGTGCCAAATCTGAATGCGGGTTTTGCATCTGTGGATAACACTTGCGATGAAACATTGAAAGGTGGAGATTTGGCGAAATAGTCATTTTTATCGAATCCCTGACAAATTTTCCAGACTGTTTCCGTATCTTGCGTGGTGAGGCCCAGAAAAGAAACGCAGTCCTGATGGAGACATGCTGGTGCCACCCCGTGAGCTGAGACAGTTCCTTTCGTAGGTTTGAAACCAACGAGGCCATTAAAATGTGCAGGAACCCGAATCGAGCCTGCTGTATCGCTGCCCAAAGAGAATGATACCAACCCTTCACTAACACTTACCGCACTACCGCTACTCGACCCGCCAACAATACGAGATGGGCTGAAGGTTGAGTGCAAAATGCCATATGGAGATCTGCAACCTGTCATGCCAATAGCTAGTTGTTCCATGTTGGTTTTGCCAATGAAAAGAGCACCAGCATCAATGCATCGTTGATAAACTAGCGCTGAAGAAGTAGGGGTGTATGCTAGAGCTGGACATCCAATCGTGGTTGGAATGCCCGCAATGTCGAAGTTATCCTTGACGCTAAAAGGTACGCCCCACAGCGGCGGCCTACTGGATTTATCTGGCCAACACCTGTCCAGCTCACTGGCTGCAGCCATAACATCTTCCATAGACTGAAGTTGAATCCAGACAGATGGCTGTACCCTTTTATATGCTTCAATACGGTCATAAATAGCTTGCACTACAAGTTGAGGTTTGACTCCAGCTTCGTAATCAAGCATAAGATTGGTTATATCGAGACTTGAGTCCCAGTAATCCATTTCTTCTCCATCGTCAGACTTTCCAAAAGTTGAATCCTGGTAATGCGTTTCTTCTTCATCGTCACATTTTCGAACCATACATAGTTCTTCGCGAATATAGGGATCGCCATTAGTACCCATGTTGGGCAAGGACATTGAAATTGGACCCTGAAAAACGAAGCCTAAATTTCCAAAGAAAGCTGGAGTAGAAATGGCGCTTTCCAAGTAAAGTGAATTTTCTCGTTTTCGCCTTTGGACAGTCCGCAAGTAGTTAGTAGAGTTTTGGCCCCTCGTTTCCCATGTCCGGGCTGTGCAGCTATTCAGTGCTGTTAGATGATGTGAAGGACAGAAGCCAAGCCCAAATAAACCATCAAGGATTGAATAGATGACTTTGGTAATTCGTTAAGACTCAAGCAAGGCCTCGGCTGTGTGATTGAAGCATCACCCAACCACTACATCTAGCTGAGGAACCATGACGACCAATAATGGGAGTGAGTTATTAAGCGGGTAGCTAGTCTTAAGAAAATATCATCGATAATTAACAAGCTGAAGCCACAACCAGAATTGAAAAGTATCAATGTATATGGAATACTTTATGCGTTAACGTCGTTATATGTGATGTTGTTTAGTAGGTAGTGAAGCACCATGTCCATGTATCTTGACCTCATTGGACTTGTTCTCTCGAGCCCCGTGATCTGTATTATGTCATTCCGAGCTAACCAAAAGTAATGATATTCACATGATAGAATCCCACAATCGTGGGATGGTTCTAGATGTTTCTCTTGGCCCATAGAGAAATGGATTTGAGTTATTACTTCCGCTTATGTAACGTACTAAGCTTTGCTTGGATTCGCTGGTTTCCGCCGGCATTACGACACAAGCCACAAAACGCCACAGTGACGTACGCAACGACCTACCCCTCTCGTTGCTGATCATATTGATCTGCCCACTTTTCAGTCCTGTTTCCAATTCCATTGCATACTACAAATACAATCAAACGGCCACGCGATAAATTTCGATTAAAACATCAACTCCTTTGCATCCAACTACTCTACACCAAAATTTTGTTTGCCTTACCACAACCAAACAACAAAAACTACATCCAAGAAAAAACTACCATCAACATGTCTGCTAATACTGTACATGTCGAAAACATTTCCCTACAGACTAGCGAGAAGGAAGTTAAGGACTTCTTCAGCTTCTGGTGAGTGGCGACTCCTTTTCTCAAGCTCATACTTCCACTGCAATACTTTAATAACTAACATTGATTTAGTGGAAAGATCACAAGCCTCGAACTTGGATCTGTCGGAGAGACACAAAAGGCCACCGTTCAGTTCGAGAAGGAAACCGCCGCCAAGACAGCTCTTTTGCTCGACAACACCCAGCTTGGCTCTACTCAAGTCAAGGTTAGAAGCTCGTCTGGCTTCAACGAAGACGATGGAAACCATTATACTTCCAACGAACAGCGTGATAGCGACGAAATAACCCAGGAGGAGAAGCCAAGAAGCCGTATCATCGCAGAATACCTTGCCCATGGTTACGCTATCGGAGACACCGCTGCTCAACGAGCTATCGACCTTGATCAGAAGCATGGAGTCTCTAGCCGCTTCCTCAACACCTTGAACAACCTCAATAGCAAGTATCATGCCACTGAAAAGGCCAAGGCCGCTGATGAATCTTATGGTGTCACACAAAAGGCCAACTCTCTCCTTTCTGGTTTGACATCCTATTATGAAAAGGCTGCTGGAACCCCAACTGGTCAAAAGCTTGTGAACTTTTATACACAAACTTCCCGCCAAGTTCAGGACATTCATACCGAGGCTCGCCGCTTGGCAGATATTAAGAAACAAGAAGGCCCCCAAAAGGTCCCTGGTACCGAGAAGACAACTTGTAAGTGTGGTTCAGTTTCTGGAGAATGCCCATGTGCCCCTGGAGCTTGTGCCTGTAGCGATTGTGGCAAATCCGATGTCAAGAAGGTCCCAGGTACCGATAAAACAACCTGCGGTTGCGGCGGTAATACCTCGAAGTGCGGCTGTGCTCCTGGTCAATGCAGCTGCAACTCCTGCCCCAAGGCTGAGACGGAGAAGGTCCCTGGTAGCGAGAAGACAACTTGCAAGTGTGGTGGAAACAGCAAAGACTGTCCCTGCGCGGAAGGCCAATGTGCTTGCACTGGATGTTGTAAATAGATGTATTTCTTTATGTTTATTTCATTTGGGTCAGGGGAATCAAATTTGTATTACTCGTCTCCTGCTGACGTAGTTTTCTTACCTAGCTGATTCAGCAGCTATTGTGGATTCAACCAAGGTTGCACCTCTCGAGCCTCAGTCAGAGAAGTCAACCTCTGCTTAAGGGTTTTTAGCGTTTGGTTTTTATTATGCGATTAACAATCTTCGGGATCGGATGGGAATGGTTGCAAAAACGGATATCAGGGATGAATTATCAGATTACTATGGTCGGCAATTTGCAAGCGATGCGTTGGGATTAGCGGAACATGACATGACGGTTAATGATCAATTTGCGAGTCCAATATTATAAGGTTTATTGCAATATTTGTGAAGCAGCCATACATAGGACGTGATCGTGATTGTGATCTTGTTCATGTTGGCTAAATCTCAGAGTGACATTCTATACGTGACAACATTACTTTGATAGATAGGTTGTGCTGGCATTATTGAGCACATCGACACTCTGTCTGAGGTAAATCAGCTTGCAATCGTGATTAAATATCAAGTAATCAGTCATCGAACACGTTCACAAACGCACAACCATTTCACAGCAGAGGGATTTGTATCGTGACGAATTTATTTCATTAATTCTCCGGATGTTTCATGACAGTATTATCTCATATCATCTCATATCATACCAAATGTGCATCTCCCTTGAACATGCAACTAATATATATTTCCACTCAATATCGCTTAACACTCTAATACGCTTCCTCTAATTCTGAGTCTTCGAGCGAGTCTCCTCAGAGTGGTCATCGAGAGGACCCTTTGGGTTGGAGGAGAGGTTCTGTGGAAATTGTGTCAGTATTACTTTCTTCTATAGTTCCTAGTGGTATCAAAGGAAGAATTTCAGACTCACATCAAGATCAGATTTGCTATCTTGTTGGTTGTTGCCTCCTTGGTTGATTCCCTTGGCGTCGGATGGAGCATCTTTTTGAGCACCGGATTGGGTTTCGGGTGGTGGTGATTGACGTCCTTCAGGCATGATGTGTGTGTTTATGTGTTGTTTGGGTTGTTCTAAGGAAAGTTAGTTTGAGTGAAGTATGAAATTTAGACTTGGGATCGGGATATATGATATGGGAATGTGCATTAGGAACTAGCCTGTGTGGAGAAAGGGGTAGCGACGACAAGAAGTTAAATGGTTCGGGCAATATATACTCACTGTGATGAAGAGATACGTTTGAAGGATTATGTTGTAGGTATGGTATGAAGTTTGGGAGAATCAACCAAGCTTCTCATTTCTATATACCCCTCTATAAGCTTCATACGTCATAAGGAAGGTTGCGCCACCTCATCCCTTCCTGGTAATTGTGACTTGAACTCGGGGTTTTGTTAAGGTGCGCTATAGTCATGTGACTTCACCCGGCTAATATCACCAGCCACACCCGAGATTAGCCCTCGAACTTCCAAATTATGCGTTATCAAACATCCTCAACAACGGTACCTACAGCCTCATATTACAGCCTCATATTTGTTACCATTAAATTAACTAATTGATTCACCAAATTTCTTCTGTAAAATGGTCCCGCAGTATTGAAACCTACCAACTCACAAACGCTTATTTGGCAATCAGCTCACTTGAAAGTCAGTCATGGCACCAGATTTAAACTCAGTACCTCCATCTCCTAGGCCTCAGGAGGTTGTAGCCTCTCCACGTCTTACATCCCGTACTCCTTCTCGACGCACTTCTCAAGCGATGTCTTCACCAAATCCTCCTTTATCTACTGCTTCTCTCAATATTCTTCCCTCAAATCAAAGTGCCGTCGCTGCAGCTTCACCCCCTTTAATGTCACCTACTAATAATATTCTGACATCCGCCACCGGTACAATTCCCGCAAGTGACAATACGGGCGTAGGAATGGGGCCTGGACCATTGAGACATCCAAGGCCTTTGACGGCTGCGGATTTACATCTACAATTGGAGAAGGAACAGGAAGCTGTCGTATGTTCATTTCTGTCGCTTGCTTCATCACATTCTGCTTGTAAATACTAATTCTTGCAATGCGATAATAGGTGAATCGATTAACCCGTGAACTCAGCATGCTCCGCGCTGCTCAAAATGCCTCCGTAGTCTCAAATACCTCGTCAACTTCTGCAGGCCATCCAGATGCATTGGATAATTCGAACCATCTGCTTTCCGGCCCCAACCATCCAATTCCTTCACATCGTCGCCACCACCGCACGTCGTCCAGCACTTCCACTCGAAGCATTACTGCCACCGCAGGTAGTATTAGCACCGCCAGCGGAATCGCAGCTCCGGCTGCCCGACGCGTCGATTCCCTCCCTCAATCTATCTCTCTCAGTCGTCAAAATTCTATGACCGGCGTTCAAAGATCCGGAGCTAGTAGTCCTGCACTATTGAGCGGTAGCTTTGGACATGCTGATCAATTCTCGCATTTCTATCACCAACAACGACCTGGTATGTTACCACATCGTGATTATTCATCGGGTACCGTACCAACAATGAGTGGTAATGCTGCGGGAGACGTTGGCAGTGTGACAAGTGTGCCAACAACAGGAAGATATGAAGAGGCTGCTTTCCAAAGACAGGAGTTGGAGAGTGTGAAGAAAGAGAATGAGGCGTTGAAGAAGAGGATTAGAGAATTGGAGAGGACGTTGAGGGAGAGGAGACAGAGTGATGCGAGTTTGACGAGGCCAAGAAGTGAAAGTGTTAGTACGACAGCCAGTATGGCGGTTGGAAGAGCTAGAGATGGCTTAAGGGACAGGGATGCGGCAGAAGATGAGAGTGTTAGGGTTGGGGAGAGTGCTAGAAGTGGTGGCTTGCGATGATTGGAGTTTGGTTGATCTGGACAATTTGATATTTGGGCGCGAGGATTTTCTTTTTCCTTAGTGATAACAACGAATAATTGCGCTTGGGATTCGATGGATAGGGAAAAATATGGCGTATGCGTAATTATTTTCCACATGGTCTGTTTTTCTGTGCACATTATGGGATTGGGAAATATTAAGTTCAGGCTTAGGGATAAGATTTAAAATGCAATCAACTCTTTAAAAAAATCATTCATGGTTGGCGAACCTTATTGCTTGTTTTACTTGCAGAACTTACTTTAAATTCTTACCGTCCCCTTTCTCGCCGATGACCCGTCATTTTAACCATTCCGAGATATTCTTACTCAAACCAAAGTTTCCGTGCTGAATGCGCAAATCCAGATATTAAATCCCAAAAACTCCACGCTTCAGCGGGAAAGCTAGCAAAAGAAATCAATCAATGACTACTCCGACCACCATCAACATCAATACCAACTCCGGTGATGAAACTCGCGCGGTCGGAAAGAAGGAAGGAGGCTGTGTATGCTACTTCTTCCGGGAGACCTAGGCGTGCGACGGGAGTACGGGCGAGGAGGGCGGATTTCTAGGGTGGGGTGTTAGATTTTGAGGAGGATGGAGAGGGGAAGGGGGCATTGAAGGAATGGCAGAAAGGGAGATAGAGGAGCAGAAGTTACCTACTTGATCTTCGTTTTCTAGGAAGCTAGTTACCATGGGCGTGTCGATAAATCCGGGACAGATACAATTTATACGTATACCTTTGCTGGCATAGTCTGTGCTGTCGGTGCGAGTGAGGCCGAGGACTCCTGCGGGTGTTTAGATTGTTTGGGTTGCTTACGGTGGGGAACGGAGGGCTATGTATGCATACCATGTTTAGACATGACATAAGGTGCTGAATTGGGTAGTGCGGAGTGGCTAGCTATTGATCCAACATTGAGGATGGAACCGCGGGTTTTGATAGGCAGTCCGGTGCTAGAGTTTCGATGTGAGTGTTAGGATGGATGATGTTTTGGGTTTGGATTTGGTAGATGAGGTGGGGCGTAGAGTTTCTTTCAATTATTTGTGATAGGTCTTTTCTTCTTCTTCGGTCATGGATAAGAAGAGATGTAAATAGCAAAAATGAACTGATTATTGCTTGGAGAAGGATTCTCAGTTGCCCGTAGTGGCGTATTGATATGTGTGCATAAAACATCCATATGGGTAGGAATAAAGCGGATGACAAAGAGTAAAAAAAAGCGCAGCAAAAGGGAACATCACATGTGAACATACCAAACATCTCGCTCCTCCTGCTTCAAGAATTGTCTCAGTTCCGCGCGTTCACAAAGCCACAATCCCTTCAAATTGACATCCAGAACATTGTCTAGAAAAACGGATTTCGCATCCGCTGTTCCAGTTAGCCTTCCTGAGACTCCAGCTGCGTTGAAACAGATATCTATGCGTCCGAATTTTTGGATCGTCTCAGACATTGCACAATCAACTTCGTCTTCTATAGAGATGTCGTAGGAGAGGGTGAGAATGGTAGACTCTTTGGGGAGGGAAAGAAGGCTTTCGGTGGTTGAAATTAAGGGCATGGGTGAGAGGTCGATGAGCGCAAGGTTGGTCACTCCATCGAGTATTAGTTGACGAGCGACGGCGGAACCGATACCGGATGCTGCGCCTTCGAAGTATTAATACCTTGAATATCCTTTGTATATAGAAGGAGCTTTTGATTTGCTCAAGAAACGACGTATCATGCATACCGGTTATGAAAGCTACCCTGTCAAGATGATTATTAGCTAAAAGCATTTGGTGTCATAGTATCTAGAAAGACTTACGTATCAGGTGGAAAATCTGGCATTTTTGCGACCTTGTTGTTTTTTGTACTTGAGGTACAATGTCAAGTTTGAATCTAGGCAGGCATACTTGCTGTTGAGATATATCGAAAAGTTGTGGAGTGAGTGAGCTGGCGAATGAATGAATCACATTACCCCGCATTACGCCTCCAACATGCCGCGGTCAAACATGATAGTTTTTTATCCAACTGCCTCAATTTCCAATGGTGCAATGAGGATTTACTTGTCTTCCAATTTGATTGGTCTACAGCACCTTTTTCATGAGGTTTTTTTTTGGACGAAATTTAACATACAGGCACTATTTAGGAGACAGATCATGATTTTAAGACCTGTAATATTGATCACCTACTTTGATCGTATCACATTTTCTCTGCCCTGTTACATATATATAGCGGGGAAATACGAAAAAGGGACTAACTGGGCCAATGAGTCTCCGAGAAAACTTTTTATGAAGCATTACATCATAGGTTACTTGCACCAAAACGTGACTACAGTACTGAGTGGGACCATCCACTTGTCTAGGAGCAGTGGCCTAGAGTCATTGAAACGTGAGGCTCGCTAGTTCCGGTTTATCTTAACTTCAGAAGCGTTGGCTTTGCGATATTCTTAGATACTTCTATATGATCAATATTTGTATCAAAAGCAATGCCTCCAGTAAGTTTTGCCTGTGGTCTAGATGCAAAGCTTTTCCATGTTTGGAAATCTATGAACGTTGGAAAATCTTTGTAATGGATTTAACCTTGAGGTGGATATAACATCTCAAAACTGGGAAACATGTCAACACCAGTAGGGGAACTCGTAGATGAGGTAGCCTTGCTCTTTCAACATTCGCTACGGCCTGACCACTAAGTCCTGTCCTGTGGCTTTTACAACTCACAAAGCCAGCCATTTGGCAATATATTACAAATACACCGACCAGTTCAAACTTGTCACCATTGACTCTCCAGACTTCAGGAGTATGGTTACAGATCTCTAAAGCATCGCATGCTTACCATTCGAGCGGTAGTATAAAGCTACTGCGAGATACCGAAAGTGATGTGAGCACGAGGCGCAAATTATGATGACCAACGGAGTGAGGAGATTGAAGACGATGGCAATGACATCCATCCTAGCATGGAAAACAAAATATGGAGAAGCTATAGAAAAAGAAGCATGATATAATGATAAGGCAAGGTAAAATCAACAGCACGAGGGGATTAAACTATTAGTTGAGACCACTTCGCTCTTGAAGAAAGCTTCTTGGTTACTCACTAGATATAGTTACAAGAAAAAACCATACTATTGGAACTTATTAGAGGTCCGATATTTCGATAAAAACGCGCTTCGTCCTGTGGAATTGATAGTATTGTCGAATTATGAAAGGTAATGATGTTGCAGAATTCGTTCGAAAGCTGATAAAGAGCTTACAGCCACACACGTGCCACAGTCCCGAACGAATGAAGGGATTGCGCACAGACAAAAAAAGTTTACCAGCAAATAGTAGGTGCTACCAACTTCTAACGCTCCATCAAAATGCAAACAAGGTGATTAATTTTGCGGGACGGACCAGCTAAGCGCCTTTTTAAAATTTAGATCATAATATAAAGAAGCTTTACAAATCACATGTAAGATTTAAGCCTTCTTAACCCAACAAAGATGCCCTTAAGTTCCATCGAATCATTTCTTCTCGAACCAATGTCTATGTCGGCTTCCAAATCAGCCTTACAACAAGGTCGCATGGGCTGTGGGAATGATTTCCTGAGAAATCATTATACCATGCCAAGGAAACTGTGCTATCACTACATCATGGAGGGAGCTTGACGACTTCGTGGCCAAACTCCATATACATGGGTGAATAGGAGTGAGTGCTTGTGTCCCAGTAGCAAGTGCCGATGCTGGTGTGTGGTTATCACAGTCCAGGTTATATAACTATATATAATATGCTAGATAGACATCGCATTTCCCTTTCACTCTCCGGATCCTGCTCATTGGCTTCAATTCTATCCAAAGAGCATCCATTTAAGGTGATGTCTGCAGAGGTCTCGAACTTTCAGCATGTTCTCTACTTCTCTGTCTTCAGTCCACAATATCCCTCAAATATCATTTCGTGTATAAGTCTTTGAAAGGACTTTAGGAGTCCTGATTAGCTCCGAGCATTTCTTTCCTACACCATTGCCAAGCACCAACTGATTTAGCCTTTGATAGACTACATACCTACACAAGGGACTTTATGTCACAAGGTCGGCGCCGCCTGCCTTTTTAGATTTTACCATGTCCTTGTTTTCACCAAAGTAATGAATTTTACCCAAGCTATTTATAGGGAGCATAACGTGGATCCCACCTTGCCGAGTACGTCAAGGTCTCCAGATAGCATCAAACCGGCTGAAAAATGTGATGGCTACGTGAAAGAGTCCAGTGACTTTACAGCTAACCTTTGATTTACCCTGCGGCTATTGCATCGGCTGCTCCGCACCAGAGTAGAGAAGAGTTCTCGCCCGCAGGTGGTTAATAATTTCGATCCATCCCCGTGCAGCAAATTCCAATACCTCGACTTCATTTGGTGCCCACCTGCAATATTTACCTCTCTCCCTCAAGCCTACAGCACACTCCACTCTTTCTAGTCCCAATTCTGAAATGATCTCACAACCTCAAATCCTAGACCGATTTCCTGGAACTTGCTCAACCGGGCCCAAATTGGCGAATGGAAAACATCCAAATGTCCCGTAAACGGCTGTGCGCCTTCCAAGCGTTCGTCCTCGAAACTAGTGAAACGTTTTCGAAAGCCGAGGAAGTAGATGATACGATTTGCATAACCAAGCCACAGAGGATATATGGACGCGCACATATATCGCGGGATCATAGATGAGCAAACGCTCCGGGATCCACTTTTTTTCACTTGGAGGAAATTAATGAGTTAAAAGTCAATTGTGATCCTGCATTTACCCGGACCTTTTCTCAGAAAGAAATGGGCGATGTTGGAGCCCTCCATCACATTGCAGCGACGTCTCAATCGTGAGGAGGAAGTAATTGCGTTGTTGGAGGGCGCACTCAGTGTCCAGGAAAGAATGAGAGATTTGGATATGGTGGCTAGAGTCTCTAGGAAGGTCATAGAGCTTCAAGAGTGTGCGGTAGTCCAAGTAAGGGAAACCACTGACGTGCCGAATTTGGCGAAGATTATTAATATGATACCAGAATTCGAGCAGAAGAAAAGAGCGACGTTCAGATATACACGATGCGAGGGCGGGGTGGCCTGTGGTCAGTACGCGCTCACGTTAATTCTTGAATGACGAAGGGACCTGAATAGAAGTAGTCAATGTCAGCTGAGCTAAAGCTCCCCCTCAAAAAGTAATAAAAGAAAGTACAATGACTTCAATATCTTGTAATATGGAACATGTATTGATTCCAACTGTCTGTTTTATACAGTACTCTACATAATCCTTCTTACCCATGCCAGAAATGCTGACCATGGTACCCACATAATCTTGCCGCCCCGGAACGCCATGCTATGTATTTAATACAAAAGAGGGAAGAGTTTGCACATCCGTTCATCCGTCGGGTAAATTTGTTCAGGTTCGTTCGACGTCGTCCATCACTTCAGGTATATATCGGGATAACATCGTTTCTCAACCGTCCAATCGTCCAAATCTATCCGTCCTGTAACCCATCAGCCCCGCACCTCAACCACTATTATCACCGGTCCTTAAAAACCTTCGGTTTCCACCCCTCCCTCAGCTCTGCCTCTCTCTCCAGCGTTTCCGCTTTAACCTTCACCTCCCGCTCTAACCTCTCTCTCGCCCTTAGCACTTTACTTTGCAGATAAAAACTCCCTCCCTTCTTCGGATCATTCGTATCGAACAATTTCTTAAACCGCGACATGACGTCTTCCATATCCATCTTTCCTTCTTTTGGTGGTTTGACATTGAGGATTTTGCAGGCCTCGTCTAGTGTGAGACCGTTAGAGGAGAAAGCCGCACCGCCACCAGCAGAGCCGGATTGTTGCGCTTTTTGATATGCTGAGGAGGCTTTGGCTTGTTTCCAGGATTCTGATATAGCGCGCCCGAGGACCCGTGAGCCGGTTATGACGACTTGGGTTATTATGCGGTGGGCCTTGAATGAGTTAGTATGTATTTTTTCCCATATTCAGTGCGAAAGGATGGTGTAATGGTTGTGAGAATTGCATTTCGATAAAGTTTGTGGGAGCTGTGAGGAACTTCTTATTATATACATACCATGGCGAGGAATTTGCGACTGTCAATAACAGTCCTGGTCAATTGAAGCTTGGATTATGGTAAAGAAAAATCGGTCACTGTTCACCAGAAGGCGGGAGATAATGTGAATTATATCTCCAACTTTTTCCCGGAATAACCTTCCGCCATCGGCCGACAATGCAGGGTTCTAGAGAAATCCATTTATGCCTAAGGCCAGTAACCCGTCATCAGTGCTCCAGCTAGCTCGTACCAAAAAGACACCTTAAGAGACCTGAACAACAAATAATCAAAACAATCACAAATGCTTCTCCTATTCCATATTAGCGTCCCAAACCAGTAAATTCAATATCGATTAACCTGCAATACAATTTCCACAGCATCTACCCTCCACCTTTCAAAAAGATGTCACAATTCTATTCCTCCCCTCCCCCAAATAATCCTTACGGCGCATCCAATACCGCAGCTCAAAACCTTCAATTCTACCCCTCAACCTATACACCCGGTGCCGTCTCAGGTCACGCCACACCACAGGCCGCATATGGATATGGCATATCTCCTGCCGCGCAAGCGTATCCTGGAGGTGGAAGCGGCGGATTTGGATTCCCTGGAAATGCTCAGTCGGGTGTGAGTGGGCGGATGGGAGAGAGTGGTGGATTAAAAACTGGGTGGTTGGCCGCCTTTGGAACGGAGGGCTATGATGGCGAACCACCTTTATTGGAGGAGTTGGGAGTGAATTTTGGTCATATCAGGGGTAAGGTATGGTTATTGTTTCAATTATTGTTTCTTCGAGTCAAGATGCTTCTAGATTGGATGCGCAGATGCTAATTTGAGTCAAAAGACATTAGCAGTACTGAACCCTCTTGCGCGCATCGATCAACACATAATGGACGATTCTGATCTTGCGGGACCTATACTCTTCTTCCTATTATTCGGAACCTTCCTCCTATTTTCGGGGAAAGTACATTTCGGATACATATATGGATTGGCACTCCTCGGATCCTCCTCACTCCATCTAATCCTCTCGCTCATGTCACCACCTCTTAACACCGATCCTAACTCCCAACAATCCGTCGGCCCCTCGCATCTCTCTTCTACCCTCACATTTCCGCGAAGTGCTAGTGTGCTGGGATATTGTTTATTACCATTGGTACTCACAAGTGTGGTGGGGATTATTATGCCGATGGACGGGCTGGTCGGCTATGTCTTAACCACATTAGCGATTGTGTGGTGTACGTACAGTAGTAGTGGGATGTTCTGTGCGGTAGGAAGAATGAAGGGAATGCGAGGATTAGTAGCCTATCCTCTAGCCTTATTCTACGTCGGTTTTGGTATTATGGGAATCTTTTCGAGTAGGGGAGTAGGTACATTAGGGAAGGTTGCAGGAGCATAAGTGCACTAAAAAGGGTTGAAAAAGATATCTCTATATCTGCAGGCGTGTGGAGCTGTAGGGAGTCTCGGTCTACAAAATGGCACGGTATGAAAGATTCCAGTGATAATTTATATGGTATAGGAATGGAAGGGAACGGTGGGTTAGAAGGATGGCATGGTTTGGCATGGTGTGTGGCCTGGGATCTGTAAGAATAGGTTATACCTTCCTTGTACAGCATAGCTCAAAGTACTCATTCGAGGGAAGGAAAAGTCTAATGAGCGCCAAACGGATAAAGAATGAAAAGATACCCCAAATATTTCAAATCATGTGCAATTACTTTACATAGTTCATGTCCCGCGTGTTTAAATATACAAAATCGGTATGGCGTTCTACAAATGGTGAATCCACACGATATGGTATAATACCTCCTTAACCGCCCATGACAAAACCGAGTTTCCCTTCCTATGCCGAACACCATATTTACTCCAAGCCCAATCCCGATCCCAATCCCAAAAGCCGCGCGAACCCAACTACTCCAAGCCCATTCTGGCATCATCACTAAGGCCCCAATCCGTTGCCCTAGGCCTCGTAAACGACCTCTCGTCATCCACTTCCGATTGCAAACTCATGCTACTCTTCCTACTTCCCCTTTCCAACCTTTCCTTCTTCAAGCTACTTTTCTTGCTGCTGTATCGCCCACTCCTACTACTCGCCAAACTGGCATCATCACGATCTGAATACGGAGGCGGACTCCTTGATCTCGAAGCTGAGAGTGATGAGAGTCGCGTGCGAACAGAGTTTGAGTCTATGCTTGCGGATGCTTGAGTTGGAGTTGGGGAGGGTCTTATTTCTGTGCTAGATGTGATTTCGACGAGCTCGGCATCACGGTACCATTTTCTTCGGCGTGTGTATTTTCCCCATCCGTCTTGTCCACGACGACCATTTTGCCACTGTACAGGTTAGCTCTATGTATATTGAATGTTTGAGGGATATGAATAATAAGTACTTTGTTGTCATAATATATCCACCCTGCTCCTCCATCACTCTCAGCCTTCGGGTTAGAGCCGCCTTCATCATGCTCGGCGGCTCCTTCAACACGCCAGCGACTACCTTTAACCCATCTCCATCTCGCGCCGCCACCCTCTACATCTGGTAATTCAAACTCTTCTTTTGGAGGAACAGGATTGAGGTGTTCGTCTGTCCAAGCAGATCTCTCATAAGCAAATAGTGAAGTTGTCCATCCTAGTCCAACCCATCTGCGCTGGTTTTCATATATAATGAATGTAAATTTTACACCCGGTGCTTCTAGTCTTCTCGTGATAGCTGCATCTGCTACTAAAGTTGCATCTGCGGAGGAGGAGGATGTGCGTGGTGGTAGAGGAGGCTTGCCATCGTTTCCACTGGCGGCAGGCGATAGCTCATCTGTCAAATGCAGGCCAGTTATTGCAGTACATATGCGGCGAACGAGAGATGATCTCCATAGGATTGTTCTGGCTATTCGATTCGGTCGAGAATGCCAAGTCAAGAAGATCGTCCCAGTTACCAAAGCAATACGTTTTGTGGTGATGACTTGTATAGGTGGAAGAGTCAAAATGATCCATATGGGTGTGACAAGAAGGATTCGTATCAAAAGCGTCGTAAGTGCTGGTCGAGTCGTAGCGGAGGTCGCAGTTCGTTGGGTTGATAGAAAATCCGTCAATTGTAAGAGAGGATCCAAAAGTACATTGCATCTTGACGTAAATATCTTCAAAGTCTCCACGATCTCATCCAAAGTTTTCTGATGCTTGGTATTCGTCATCTCTGACTCGACCCTTTTATGACCCTTTTTCTGTTTCTCTCCTGTCCAGCTAGTTGATGATAAAGGGGAATATCGTCTCGAGTACATTCCCAATATCAAACCAATAACCACCACCAAAGGTCCAGCATATCGCATGACCACATCTCCGTATAGTACGAATGCCCAAAAACTAGCGACGAGCAAGAAGCTCTCCCAAGGATCTCCACTCGTCCATGTTATTAATCCCGCAAGTTTATTGAGAGGTAATAGGAAAGGATGCGAATATGCTAAAGCTCTCGTAATCTGAGGAGGCGTCGCTAGTAATAAAGGGGACTTTTGATGAACGAGTATAGTAGATCTCTGCTTATTGGCAGACGAGGCATGTGATAGAGTGACTGGAGAGAATGCCGCTATCGTCGGAGGGTTGGGATCAGTAGGAGTCAAGGATCCGCCATGGTTATCTTTTCTTGAAGTTGGAGTACCAGACATTTGATCCAACCAAGGAGTATCCTATTGATCTAGTTAATTGTGCTGGGGATATCGATCTTGAGGGATGGATTTGTTGGGGAAAGCTAAGCATGGGGCAGAAATTGGGTAACATACGAACGCAGCCATTTACCTAGTATTCACAACGTCATTTCTGATAACAGGCTATGCGAGTGTAAGGAAATGGTGGAGGAAGATCAACGGGCTGCCGTTGAACACTTCCAAAAAGGGAAATATGAATGTAGTAGACAGTAGTTAATTGCAACAATGATATAGAGGATGGTTTGAGATGAAGTAGAGTAGAAAAGTTATTGATTGACTGCGGATTTACAATTGAACAATGAAGGAATGAAGTGTTGCCAAACCGTACTCGGCATGAAATCCGGGGTACAATCACATGTCACGATCAAATGTCAATGAATGCAACTGTAATTCTCCGAAGGGTGATACCGGTAGTATGGGTAGTAGGTTGGGGATCAGAACGGATGTTTTAATGTTGAAGAAGAGGATGAGGGACCATTTTCATTGACATCCGTACCTAGGTAGTATCAATACTCCGTACTGTGAGAACCAAAGTATTCACTTAGATCCTCAAATCCTTTCACCGTATATTATTTTCACCGCCTTTCGATAGCCACGGCAGATTGTTACAGTCCCCAGATTGGCCGTATCAACATCAATGCACTTAACCTCTGACGGCTTTACCCGGTCGGTCCTACATGAAACTTCTTCCATCAAACAATTCAAACCTCAAGATCAACATCAACCTCAACTTCATCCTTGTCCTTCCTTTTGCAAAATGTCGCGTCAACCACAGCTTCCAAATGGCCTTCCTCCTCGACCTTCTGCATCTTTTTGGGATAGAGATAGAGACAGAGATAGAAATGAAAGAAATTACAACCACAGTACACCCGAAAGGAATCGTCGCGACATGGGAGATTCTTATCACCCTCGTCCTTCACAATACGACAGTTATGTACCCCACACTGCAAACCGCGATCGCGAAATATTTCAATTTAATGGCCACAATCCTCCTCCAACAGCCTATGGAAGTTATGCTCCTGGTGTTCAACCTCCTCGTCGTCCTGCTGGGGCTGGTGATACTTATCGTATGAATGATGGATATCGCCCTCCCCCTCCCCCGAGCTTCGATTTCCGTTACGATGCACCACAATCCATTGATTTCGAACATACCGACAGATTTCAATCTCGCGCACAAGGTCGCAACAATCATTCTAGCAGTAATAGAGATCGGAATGAAGATCATCTTCGTCGTCGACGCGAAAAAGATCGACGTGACATTAATCGTGGACGTGGTGGCTACCGTGGTCGAGGTGGTCCAAGGTTGGCATCAGATCGTCTCTTTTTAAAAGGGAAGCGCTCGCCTACTCCTGAACTCATGCCAGGCATGAACGAAGATGCTGCTACTGATGTCAAGTACAGAGATGTCGGCGACTTATCCGACAGTGATGAAGCTGAGATGGAAATGTCGGATGATGATGACAATAATGATCAACCTAAGAAGAAGATGGCTCGTACTAGTGTAAAAACCGCAGATGCTGACAGTGTTCCGAAATGGTCAAACCCCGATCCTTACACGGCCCTTCCACCACCAGGCGAATCTGACCGAAAGAAGAAAGATGTCGTTAAGCTTATTCGAAAGGCACGTGTTACATCTGGTCAAGAAGGCCCTACCAAAATAGATGCTGCTCAGGACGACTTCATCTCTTTTGATTTTGGTGCCCCAGAAACTATCGACAGTGAAGAAGATGAATACGAACCGCGAGCCTTCGATCAGTCCGAACCCGGTTCAGCTAGATCTTTCAGTCACCTTGAAAACATTCGAAAGTTTGACATGCCTCAACAACCACAGAGCTACGCCAGTGAGACCAGAGAAGTTGCTACACAGCTAACGACCGTCAACAGCATGCCTGGGGATGTTATCCAAACTCCAAAAAGAGCGTCCAAACCATTGGATCTATCAACCGACCCCGCTTTAGGTAGCAGGAAGCGCACCGTTAGCGACGTGATTAAGCCTCCACCACTTGTGAATAAGCTCATCCCTGGTAAGCCTCCCAGGTCCAGTGGCGTCCTTCTTCCAGAGTGGCGCGTTAAGCCGGGGATGGACGACGCTCCTTGGCTACAGGACCATTCTGATACGTCCAATATGGGATTCTGGTGAGTGATAAATTTCTCTCGAACGCCATCTTAAAGCTAATCCTAGTTTTAGGTTACATAAAGAAATCATGGACTTTTACCATTATGTCAAACCTCGCAAATTTGAAGAAGTGATTCGACAGAGGCTGCTTGTCAATTTGAGAGAAAATTTTCGCAAATACTATCGAGATGCCGATATACTGGCTTTCGGCTCTTTTCCCGCAGGCCTCTATCTTCCTACTGCTGACATGGATGTTGTTATGGTCTCAAACCAGTATATGGATGGCGGATATCCAAAATACAACAGCAAAAGTCACATCTGGCGTGTTAAAGGGAATGTTGAAAAAGATCGCCTCAATACTGGTAGAATTGAGGTGATCGTCGGTGCTAAAGTGCCTCTTGCAAAATGGGTGGATGGCTTTACCGGCCTGAAGGTTGACATGTCGTTTGAAAATGACACAGGGCTAATCGCAAACAAGACTTTCCAAGAGTGGAAGGCTCAATTCCCCGCAATGCCCATATTAGTTACGATTATCAAGCATTTATTGGCAATGAGGGGCTTGAATGAGCCGGTCAATGGTGGCATTGGAGGATTTTCTGTTACTTGCCTTGTCGTAAGTCTTCTACAGAACATGCCACAAGTCAAGAGTAAAACGATGATACCAGAACACCATCTTGGTGAGGTCTTGATGGAATTTCTCGACCTTTATGGTAACGAGTTTAATACGCGGACTACTGCGATTTCGACGAACCCTCCTAAACTTTTTTCAAAGGTGAGTACTTTTCTCCATAAATTGTGTTCTGACTAATCCATAACCAGTCTTCGGCTCGTGACCTCTATAGAGATTTCGATAAGCCGAAGTTTTCTATAATCGACCCAAACAATTCCGACAATGACATTGCAGGCGGTTCAAAAAACACTCCTGCAATTCAAGACTGCTTTTCTGCTGCCTTTTCTGCTTTGCTGCAGAGCATGAACACATTGCAAAATGCTGACCTGGAGACTCGCCGAAATCAAAGTCTTCTTCGATGTATTATTGGTGGAAACTACGAATCTTTCAAGCTTCAAAGAGACCACCTTGCCCACCTACATGAACAACTGATTGGTCCAATTGAAGATGAGTAGTCTATGAATTCACACGATGTTCAGGGCTAGAGCCATGTAACACCAGTCCATTTTTCAGTACATTTCCGCGTCGCTGAGTATGCAGTACATAGGGGTGGTTATTTTATTATCAAAGGCGTATGGATAAAGTCGATCAGATACCCAATTAGCGTTCAATGGACGGAAAGTCATTGACATGTAAAATAGCTTCGCAGCTGCCTTTCTTTCCTTGCTGTTCCATTCTAGTTTTGGGAATCTTGAGTTGCGGTGGTTTCGATGATTGTCTTAACTGACCTCAACCTAGATGATCGCCACCCAATCAGAGTCAATGCCATCGATCTTCAATGACAAACAGACGAGGCGCTATCGATCAGTGCAAACATGATACGCGTACATTACATTGAGCGCAAATTTAAATTATATTCCTTAATGCTGTCCCAAAATTTACTGACATACTGATCTCGATGAGAAAACCAAGTACTGTTATGATACGACACACTAATCAAAGAATTTAGGCATTCCTTTCCAGGTAAGGAGGATGGACACAAGATCATATGATCCAGTCGGCGATTTTGATTGAGCCTCTTTTGATTCATTCAAGATTGCGCAACGGCTGGGTTTCTTCTCTCTCGACAACCCTTTCTCACTATAGTCGTGCTTGGTGCGGCTATAGAGAGGAGTCTATGGTGGAGAGAAGCGTTTATGTGAAGAGTCTATGAACTCGAGCGATTCTTGTTTTGCGTGGGCCGGTATCGATCGATATATCAATAGGACATAGCGAGCAAGTCCTGTGGGAATGAAATGGTCAACTCTTTGGGATATCTAGTGGTTGGTTGTTTTATTCCTCATGGTTTTAGGTTGGGGGTTTTTGGGATTTTCCTTGGTTATGTGGTGAGTGAGAAAACTTGGGTAGGGGGTTGCAGGAGGTGTATGTTGGTAACAAACAAGGGGAAACTTGGGGGCGGAATTGGGAGCGGGCGTGCGGGTATAAGGAAAATGTATGGGGGGGTTGGGAGTGAGGGGGTATGATATGATATGATACGATATGGGAAGGTACAGTGGAAATTGGATTAGGTACGGTACGGTACTTGGAATATGCAGGAGTGATATTCCTTCCTGAGATGGTGCTGGGAGAAGATGGTTTTTATTATTTTTGGGGTAAGTAAAATTTGCTTGTTTTTATTGGTGTTTTTTGAGGGCGGCTTGGGAGCGAAGTAATAGATATGGATATATTCATGGAGTAAGTTGCACTTTTAGGGTGAGGAATGGTTTGATTCCGCCGTCTACCTAGAGAGAGACGGATTAGTTTTTGTTTTTATTTTAAGTGATGTTTGGGTTGTGGAGGATAAGGTTGCTTGAAAACTGATCTTAGACTTGAAAGTACTTAAGTTAATCGGGTCCAATGGGAGGAGAAGAATCCATTAGAGTCTCACAGAGCATGGGTCATAGCATGGAGTGTAGATTCGAATAACTAAAAATAATTGTATTTACAGAGAAAGGAGTAGAAAAGAAAGAACTTGAAAGCTTAATGACTGTGATATACTTCTTGAACAAAGAAGTATAAAAATACATGAAAGAAATAATTTTACAAAAAGGTAGAAAACACAATAGAAAAACAAGACCTAACAAGGATACAAAACGCGAAAAACGAAAAACCTAACTCCCCTTCTTAACCATCTAATAATAAACAGTGAAATTAAGCACATTGAAATCGACACTGACAAACATGCGTATCCTTGGGCTCCCCCAACAACGGCCCCTCAAAACAAGCACAATCATCAACCGAATACTGCTTCCCACCAAAAACCCACCTGGGAACCTTAAAACCCCTCGTCTCATCAAACACATTCTGCAGAACAAGTGATTGATCCCAGCCGACGGCATCGACATAAACATTCTGCACGAGTTCATTGGTGATACCACCGATTAGGACGCAGGTATTGGAATAGATGGTTGCGCGTGCGTAGGCGACTAGGTTGTTGATGTTGGATAGGTCGTTGTTGACGGCCATGGTGTTGGTGTTCCAGTTGAGGGTGCATGTTTGGGGGTTGAGTTGCTGGGTGCACATGGGTAGGAGGGGGGTGGGTCGCGTGGAGACGAGGGCGGGAGCACTGAGTGCTGGGGTGAGGAGGGCGAGGAGGGGGAGGTAGTTGGTGAGTTGCATTGTGGTTGGCTTGTTTGAGGAGTTATTCTGTAGTTGTGTTGGTTAGATGCGTTATTTTGTGTAGATTTAAACGTAATGTTTGAGGTATTTGTGTAGTTTGAAACTTTTGCTTCGGTGGAGCAGGGTGGATTTGTTGAAGGCCAAGCTATCATATATACTTATAGGGGTAACAAAGGCATGATGCTTGATTAAAATAACACCTTCTTTCTCTTCCACACAAAGCTGCGGAGTATCTATAATGAACACTTGTCGGTACATAAAAGAAGGGGAAGAAAGATCGACAAGGACTTTATTAAAGTCAAAGAAGACGACAAAAAAAGGTAAAGGTTAATAAACGTATTACATATAGCCCGACGGACTAAAGTAGTTTCTGGTCCTGTGATGGAGACGTAAGACTTCGATCTCTTTAATTTGCTACCTGGGTGTTCCCAATCCCAACTAATGTACAATTCCAAATGATATTGATGCTAAGTTAAAGCATTGAATAAAAAGCTACGGGTATCGAATTAAAGTTTATTCGTTGTTGACAACTAATTTTCTCAGTCCCATTAGACCAATCCATGCGGCTTCCTCGGTTCTGATTGTTCGACTTCCTTGACCGGGACACACATTTATCCATCTATCGAAGACATCTTTTGCTTCTGTAACACCCAATTTATGCAGTTCTTCGTCGTTTTTCACGGCCACTTCTAGACCTGCAACTCCTCCAAAGACCACCAACAGGTGCTTGAACTTCCCCACTTTCTGTTCTTTGTCGTCATACAGATCTTGAACATCAACACCTCGCTCAGAGGTCCCGATGGTCATATCATAGCCCCCATCATACCCACATTCTGTGAATACGTCGCTTAGACAGCCGGCCCTTCGAACATTGTATCCCCAGTAATACCCACCCTCTTCTCTTGGTTCTTCTGGGCGCACAGCTTCTGCTTTAATAACTTCATAAGATTTATCCTTTGCGGCTTTCTCGGCCTCCAGGTCGAATTTTAGAGTAACTCTATTGTTCTCCGGTATTTGCTCCGGCACTGTGACTGGTATTCTCAATCCGGCTTCCACGAATGTTCCATGTTCATCCGCACCAGGTAATGTAGTACCCTCCCTATACATACACCACTCATCGGCTCTCAAATGATGCGGTAAATCTATACTTGGCAGTGTGCCTGCCGTCCTTAGGTTTTCGTGCATTGGGAATAAATACTTTCGTAAATTTGGAGGCGTCTCGAGATAGCTGAGTAGATGGGTCAGGAAATGATCGGGATCTAAGGTTCCAGTGTACTTGTCCTCCGAGGGCGCTTTGGGTTGGATGGCAGGAGGTTGACAAGGAGATTGACGAGGTTTTTTGGGAGACCGAGCATTGCCGTCGTCGAATACAATGACTTCATCGACGCAGAAAACCGCAAGGGCGCGAGCAATATGGCCCGCCATAGAAGTTTTGAGATCATGACTTTGAGCACTGAAAAAGTCAGTATAATTTTATCATTATTAGCATACAGAGAGGCAACGTACTTGGAGATAATACTTCCCGGCAAAGCCACACTAACTGTCCAATCTCTGCCTTTTGTAGGTTGAAAGAGCGCTGTAGGTTTGGAAGTGTCAATCGCAGCCGGCGCGATCACTTTCCCATTCGAAGTTTGTCCATTGGCAATGGCAGTGGCTTCGGCCTGACGTTTTCTCTTCTGAATGCAAATATGTAAGCATTTCTGTATCCATTAATGGTATTAAATTGAGCATACCTTCGCGTTTGTCTCTCCTCTACCCATTTTTGTAAATATTTGGGAAGCTTTGTATTCTTTCAGAAATATATATTTAGGCGGTCAAAATTTGTCGAAATAACCCGGCAGAATTTTATAGTCCGTGCGCGATAAAGAGGACCAGATCTCCACTCAGAGCTTCCGAAGCTCAATCATCAGTAAGCAACATTCATTCCGGCAACATTCTGACCACCAAACAGTAAACAAAGCAAACCTACTTGACATCCCCTCAGAACTCAGGATATCTATAAAAATGGCGATGCACATCGAGTCTTCTATGCAGTTCAGCAAGTTACTGGGCTCATCAACTATCGTGGTTTCGGATTGTAAGGTGATATCCTCTAATGCGATGGATGCACGCCACTAACAATACATGTAGTTTATGCAGACTGGTGCGGACCCTGCAAAGCTATCGCTCCAACCTATGAATCTCTAGCTACAAAACACTCGAAGCCAAATCGTGTTACATTCACAAAAATAAATGTAGACAACCAGCAGTCTATAGCTCAGCGATATGGAGTTAGAGCGTAAGCCCAGACCCTACTACTTCCATTAGACCTCGTTCTCATAATTCTGTCAGCATGCCAACCTTCCTCATCTTCCGGTCCGGTGCCGTGATTGAAACCATCCAAGGCGCAGATGTTCGCAAGCTCACAACTGCCATCGAGAATGCTGTGAAACTTTCTGGCTCTGCGAAGCCTGTTTATTCCAGCGCGGGGCGAACACTAGGCGGATCTGCCCCTACGAGCTCCAGCACGATGGCAAGAAACTTTAGCTTTGACAGGCTACTTCACGATATTATTGCATTTTTTGGCTTGTACCTCTACTCCCTATTCTCATTTGATGCGTACACTGCAGCCGAGAATTCGCCTTTCAATATCCATAAGGTCCCTACGGCACCGGCAGCAAGAACAACCGGTGGACGAACAGGAGCAACGACTCAGGCCGGAAAAAAATTAGGGACTATCGCTGATATAGCTGGCAAAGACTGAGTTGAGGCTGGATGAATGGTGTGGAGTTCATGGGGCGCTATAGGGCTGGCGCAATATTCTATTCAATCGTTCGGTTAGGTTACACCCTCGTTGCTCTTCTTGGTGGAATTGAGTCGTTGGTCATGGTAGACAATTCTATTTCAGCGTAGTTATTTCTGTTCAATCGTGCAATCTCACCACATGCTCTCTGGTGCTACTGTACACGTAGATGACCCTGCGTTCTGACGTGGCTTAACTGCTTGACTGTTCTCCTTTTCTCTCCTCAAGGTACGTTGTATTAACGAGAAGGTTTCATTCTCCAGTCCATTTTTGTCCTTGGATCATGAGAGCGAGCACTAGTACATCCTACACGGGTATCCTAGGATATACAGGAGGTCCTCAATGCGTTTGGGCTGCAAATACATGCGTTATTTCTTACTCTCCAAAGGTATCGGGTGAAGTGTCGGGTTTAGTAGTTAGCCCTTATCTTCCCCGGAGCATCGGGTGAAGTATCGGGTTTAGCCATTATCGCTTGTTTTCAACTAAATGTGGGGGTAAGTCTCGCCGAGGCGAAAGGGGCGGCAGATAACCCCCAGACTCAATACAAATTAGAGAACATCAAAAATGAAAGGAATTTTATGACGATTTTCAATAGTAAATATGGTGAGAACTTCAAATTTTAACAATCAAAAGCTTTCTAATGATACAATTCAATATTTCAATTCAAGTTAATGATTGAATCTAAATGTTCGAATGGCCAAATGGTTAAATGTCCTACATCTTAGTATCTGATTCATTCCATACTACGTGGGGTCTTCTCACCCCGCCAGTGTGCATACCATTGGAGTCGTGATTTTTAATCAGTGAACCATAAACATAGGACTTAACCTAATCTCCGACTGACGTCAAGTCCGTCTGCCCGATCAAATACATATAAAAGCACGAGTTTCCATCTCAAAAGTAAGTCCCAATTCACCCTACAAACCATACTGAAACAGCAAAAGAAACCTCTTCCTAATCCAATATGGCTAAAAACATGATGAAATACACCAATCTTGGTGAGTCCGGCTTAAGAGTCTCTCGCATCTGCGTAGGCTGTATGTCCTTCGGCAGTCCTCTCAGCGCATTCGGAAGCTGGGTCCTCGATGAAGCTGATGCCCTCCCTATCATCAAGGCAAGCTATGAAGCCGGTATCAATTTCTTCGACACAGCCAATGTCTACGGCAACGGAACATCCGAAGAGATCCTCGGAGCCGCCATCAAAAAATACTCACTCCCACGTGATAACCTTGTTATCGCGACCAAAGTTTGGGCGCCGGTTGGCAAGAGAAACGAGGAAGGATGGGAAAATCCACTTTTCACGACGCCCGATGAGAGAGATGCGAATGGCTATATCAATGCCTACGGATTGAGCCGTAAACACATTTTCGATAGTGTGGATGCGAGTTTGAAACGTTTGGGGTTGGAGTATATCGATTTACTACAGATTCATCGATTTGATGCTCGGACGCCCGTGAAGGAAACGATGAAAGCGTTGCATGATGTGGTGCAGAGTGGAAAGGTGAGATATATTGGTGCGTCTAGTATGTTCGCGCATCAGTTGTTGGAAATGCAGTATACGGCGCGCTTGCATGGGTGGACGGAGTTTATCAGCATGCAGAATCTGCATAATGCGGCCTATAGAGAGGAAGAGAGGGAGATGGTGCCGAGCTTGAAAAAGTTTGGTATGGGTATGATTCCTTGGAGTCCAATTATGATGGGGTATTTGGCGAGACCTCATGATCAGGCTGCAGAAAGTAACAGAGGAAAGTCCATGGGCGGAAAATTCATGGGGAATGACTTGACGAATGCAGATTTGAAGATCAATGAGAAGATTCAGGAGATCGCAAAGAAGAGAGGAGTCAGTATGGCGATTGTGGCGATGGCTTGGAGCTTGGGTAAGGACTATGTTACCGCGCCTATTATTGGAATGTCGAAGATCGAGAGAGTTCAGGAAGCGGTTGATGCTGTCAATTTCGAGCTGACTAAGGAAGAGGAAGCGAGTATTGATGAGTTGTACGAATCCAGGAAAATCATTGGATTCTCCTAGGTTCTTGATTGAATATGGGACCGAGAAGTGTTTGTCTCGATACCTAGTAACTGGCGATGGATGTCTTTGTACTTGAAAGTTCTTTACTAAATGTTTTTAAACCCCTAAAAAAAATCATAGTTCCAAGAATCATAAATCTTCTAAATTAGGAATCATGCACCGATGAACATGGCCATAACGCACACTCATGTTGATGTTTAGTTGTGCAAATGACTTTAAAGCTCTATGTATTTCATCTTCAATAATGCGATAAATAAATGTCCAATGAATAGACTATAATACAAGAAATAGTTCGCCGAAATCCGCATAGGCCACTAGGTCATGAGTAGGCCTTGATGCAATATGCCCAATCTTCTACAAACGGAATTTTAACGTGCTCATGACAATCATCAGATGTAGTAGTTAATCTAGGAAAACCTAAGTAGTTACTACCGCCATTGATAAAAAATAGGATTGAGTAACGGACTGCCACTCAGCTTGTTGAACCTAGAGGTGTGAAAACAATTCCTAGCTACTAGCTAGCCGAGTTAAAGCCTGTTACAGCTGATAGAAAACTCCTGAGAATCTCGCCGGAGGCAGAGGATCAATTCGTTGAGGGTGAGGGGGACTGCTCCCAAATACTCAAGCTGTAGGAAAAGGTGGTGGTACTCTAAAACAATGGGGTTTGTCTCTCAGGACTGTAGTAAAAACACCTCAAGATTGTGCCCCTTGCCTTTCTTTATGATCGACTGGACCTACATTGCTAGCGTTTTTGAGTTCAGATCACCTGCATTAAGCTCTTTTGAAGCTAGACCGCAGGAAAACGAAAGAAAACGCTCGCCCAGACTACGAGCTATAGGTTTCAAAAACCCAAATGTGCCTCCAAGAACTCCAACCGAGCCAGAGATTCGCGTTAGAGACTGAAGAAACCTGGAAGTCTCACAAGTTTTGACCCTCGTGGTTGACGATGGAGATGGGATTGGTGCTCCAAAAAAATTTGTGCTTTTGGTGGGCTTTTCTGTTGATGCAGATATGGGTGCAGGTGAGTTTGTTGTCAAAAACTGTTTAAAATGGATCTTGGTTGTAGGTGATTGATGAGGATGAAGTTGCTCCGTGTTTAAGTGAGGGAGAGAATGAGGGTCATTTCCGAAAGAGGATGCTGTCGACCCAGTTGTGTTACCTTTGAATAAAAGAACTATTGTATGATTTTCGTAACTTTAACAACTTATGATGCACCTTGCGATTTGGAAAAAGAAGACTGGACTCCAGCGCCTGAGCTACAGGCCTCTAGAGGCAGCCTTTTAGACGCTCACTAGAAGTTATCTCAAGGTGTAAAGTAATAATTCTTTGTTTCGATTCCACGACAAGCAGGCTGTTTTCTTTCACAGAGTCGTCCAAAATGTTTATTCAGAATTACCTGCCAGTTTGACAATAATTTCCACCTAGAATGCTCCATAGTTAAACCTAATTACTAATTGGCCGAGATAGTTCATGTATCAATAAATATTGAGGAAATAATTGTTGATTACAAGTCTATTTTACCCTGGCCGATGAGCTAAGATAGGTTATGCACATCGAAACAGAATACCTAGTAACTATACATCTGCCCCTCATCAATTCCTTTCCTTTTTGGTATCAGCATTTCGAGGCATATAATCCTTTGTGAATTTATCCTTATTAGCTAAATTTGATACGGAAATTCCGTGCAATTACTTCAAAATGTCATTCGAGTCCGGCAACTTCGGAGTTCGTTGTCAAGACAATAGGATTTCTTGAACCACGTGCTTCACGCTTCATAGGCAGCACATCTGAAAGCATCTTGGGACCAGAAACTGAGATTGCTTACCTGCTTCGCCGCAGATAATTGTTACTACCTAGCGCTTTTTCACAAAGGACGGTCGGCTTCAGTCAGATCCTCCTGCATGAATCACCATCAATGCATTATACACTTTCTCACGTTCATGGAGTTCGAAGTCTTTGGGTAACGTTTAGTTCAAAAAAGCTCCACTGTATTCCTTCTGCTCTGCTCTGGTAAATTTCCACACTTTAAACCATCTTATCGACTATGTCCTCTTGTCCAGTGATTGACGCAGAATTTTCAAGGTTCTGTGCAACAATGAGTTCTGAATCCTTTACCACAACAAGAAGTTTCATAGGTCGAGTTTTTGATTGCTTCTACGTTTTCTAATCTGGAAAGTTTTTCGTTATCTATCTCCTTATCAATGTTGCCATCATCTCCCGGCTTCTTTACATACACCAAGTGTGCTGTATCGTGCTGACTTTGCGGCTCAGCCTCCTTCACTACAACACTGCCACCCCTTCGTTGGGCGCTTGTGATGGCCGCACCGAAATGGAGTAGCACGATGCGAGGTTTTATCCATCCAACAGTACATTGTAAGCAGCTAACAAGGTAGTTTACCGCGACAATCCTGAATCCTTCCAGAAGGAGGGTTTTGAATTCGAAACGATCTGTTAGATCTTTAAGAATAGAAATTGTGATCTTCGGTTCTAGCCTCGGCTAAAAAGCCTAAGTCACATATCATTGAACCGGAGAATCTCGTACCTATCTTTTTATCGGTTGATTGGAAGATTTCGGCTTTCGACTAGGTGTGTCTGTCAGAATTCTAGAGCAAGAGTTGTCCAAGATGGTAATTGTAAATATATAAAAAGTTACAAAAATAACCGGCAATGTAGTCATACATATCGCAGAATGCTTAGCCGCACGCAGCTTTACCTGACCACAGTTGGGGCCAAATCCTTCATTCACCATGATGGCTAGGGACAGCGTCATGATCAGAATGGTTATATATATCCATATCTTACAGTAAATAGCTCTGGTCATGTCTCTACTGGTTCTTGAAAACTAAAATTGCAAGCTTTTCACATTTCTGCAAAATACGCACACCACGAACCTTATCTGACGTCATATTTTTGAATTTCACACAAGGGAACCTTCAAGACAGCTAATTCAAGATGATTCTAGGAGCGGTCTTCTCACTAGCTCTTCTCTCCGCTATTGCCACTGCGTCTTCAGTCCCAATATGTGTCAAAGATTCCAGTACCACAACCTCATTCGCCATATCTTCTCTGTCTAAATATACCACCCAGTTCTGCACGGAAGTCGCTTCCAGCAACTTTTCATCTAATACCAAGAACTATAATATGGGTTCTACTTCTGCTTCTGTCATTTCGCTTGGCTTTACCTCCGCTTCAACTAATTGTCTTGGGAATAACTCTGTAACTAACTGCGAGAACATTTATGAACTCCTTTTCTCCACTTGTAAGTTCTGACTTCTGATCTAATTCTTTTGAAGTCTTAGGCTTGAAAGTAAGAGTAATAACAAATTCAAAGGCGGAAACAACAATTCTACAATCACGGGATCAGGATCTGTCAATTCGGGATGCGGTATATACAGCTTCCGGCTTACAAGTACGGATCCCGATAACATGAATGCAACGAATGCCTCAAGTAAGAGTGGAAGTGGCAAGACAAGCGGGGTTAGTTATTGTATGGTTACGTGCAGTGTGCTGTTAGGAGTTGCGGCGGTTTTCGGATGGTTTCTATAAAGGGCTTTTTTCCTTTCGACGTGGAAGTGGAGGACACCCGGAAGAAGGAAATCTTATATTTGGATATGATTTGATGTGATACCACGACTCTTTTGTCTTCTGTTTATGATACCCTGGGTTTAGAAGAATTTTGTAAGAGTGGACTCTGGGTGGCCAAGTTATCTGAGGACGGTTGTATTATTGAAAGCTGGTCTTTTTTGGTGTATGATGTCGATGTATGGTTATATGTATAGGGATGTTTAATGGCGTGTTTGATGAATCGATAGATTTTTGTATGGATAATACGTGATCTTTTTGAGGGAATCTGGCTTTGGTTTTGTTAGTCTTCAACAGAGCGTCTCTTTTCCCACGATTGCAGCAACTACCAATCCAACTGTCTATTCATACTGAGGGAGAATCAGTCTTTTATTTCATCTAGATTCTTCACATTTATAATTCATAGAGGTGGTAGAAACAAAGGGGCTGAGAGGGCGATGCTCGAGATCATATCTCTAGCATCGTTACGTAGATACTAAGCTAAGTTCATACATCCTTGAGACCGTTTTCCTCTTACTAGGTGTTCCACTCAGTGGAAAAGTATTTGTGTGCAAATAGCCTTTTCACAGCCAACCCCTGCACTTGATAACACCAACTACTCAATACTGTGACACGACACAAAAATTTCCTGCAACAAGCCTAATTGCTTAGAACTGGTGAACCATAGATCTCGCAAAATGCCAATTCCTGAAGACACTCATCTTCAAGCCCAAGTTTTCATGTCTAACCTCCCGACTACCTTAGCGCACTCCTCTGCTCGCTACTCGCGGTAGACGAACTTTCTTGCCACCCCCTTATATCTGATCTCATCTTATAATCCAAGACATTAACTGTGCATATAAGGTTTCCACATACCATACCTAAAAGAGTTTTCTTATTATCCTCCCAACATCACGTGCATATGACATCCAATCCCCGCAACCATAACCATGTAACCCACGATGCAATCCATGCATTAGTCTCCTCTTCACCGCCAGAAACTCATAAGGTTAGGTAGGATCTTAGTCGCATAATTGCGATTCGCCGACGTGTCAGCTCTCATAGGAAGAAAATCGTGCAAGCTTCTGCTGAGTTAAGAAACGAACCATCTTCCTCTCTTCCTACTCTAGCTAGAGCCCACATTTCTGTCGTGCATTTCTTTGCGGATAACATAACTTGTGGTTCTAATATGCGTGGGTGAGTGAAACTCCACTTAGATCAACCTCCACCTCCACGAGTTCTTTCTTATCGATAAGAGGAGATTTTAATTGCGGGAACCAAATCACGGAACGGGACGTTAATTGAACAGAGCGGCGAACGGGCAAGAATTGGAGCTTGAACCCCTCCCTTCCTCACATCTAGGCAGGCAGCTGATACGAGATCAGTACTGTACAGGATTTCTCGCTAGGGGTTTGAGCTTACAGGATTCATTCATTCACTCACTTCGCTATAATTTTACTTAATTGCTTGCTTGCTTTTTCTTTCACTGTTCTTTCACAGTACTCAAATTGCATCAACTATTCCTCAATTCTCCTCTCCTGTCCTCACAAAAAAATAAAAACTCCTCACTCCTCAAACTCCGCAAAAATGGGTTGGTTTGACGGCGCCTCGGAATCAGGACGATCGCACTCCTCTCGACATCATTCCTCCTCGCATTCGAATTCCAAGAAAAAGCATCGTTCCACCTCCCATTCCACTCATCACAATAATTCCTCTGGACTTCTCGGAAGTGCGCTCGGAGGTACATCTTCTAAATCAAGCCATCGCGAGCGTTCGAGAAGTCGTACTCGAGGCTCCGGAAGCATTTATGGCAGTGGAGATGCGAAACATAATTCCAGTCGGAGCAGTTTCTTTGGTGTGTACCTCTCCACATGTTTCTAAAAATCATCTTATTACTTTTGTAAATTCTCCTCGGTTTATTCCTAATATTCTCATCGCGCAATTAAGTAATAAACTAACGATGAGTCCCCATCCAGGCCCCAATTCCCGCTCCACATCCCACTACAAACGTTCTCCGCGCCCCAACTACCTAAAAAGCATGTATGCCAAACTGCGCGAACTCCTCCGCGATCTCATCTACTATATGAAACGACACCCATACAAAGTATTCATGCTCGTAATTATGCCCCTAATAACAGGCGGAGCACTAGCAGGACTCTTAAAAAAATTCGGGGTCCGATTACCAGGCGGACTGGAGAAGTTGATTGGAGGCGGAAGGGGAGGAGGCGGCGCGCCAAGTGCATCTTTAGGAAATGCGAGGAGTGGGACTTATGAGTATGAGAGGAGTAGTGTGAAGGGTAGTGGGGGTGCGATGGCGAGATTGGAGGCGCTCACTGGTGGGGTGGATGGCGTGGGAGGGGTAATGAAGTTGGCGAAATTGTTTATTTGATGTGGTATGTGGAATGGACTATGGGATGACATGACGGATGGAATGTTGTGATCGGATAACGATGGGTCAATTGGGTTTGATTTGGCGTTTATACATGTGGATTGATTAATTCCTCCCTTTTTCTTCTGTACCCTCTTTTTTCTTTTTCTTTCCAAAATAAATCCTGCATTTTCTTGCGGGAATAGATACCACTTTTAGGATATTAGGGTGGTTGGCTGTGAATGCAAAGGATTTTGAGTATAGATGGGACCGCGTAATGTGATGAGGTAGTGCCATCAACATGAGTTCTTGAAGACCTAGTATGTATGAGGATATTTCCGACGTCGTTCTTTGTTATTTCTTCATAGTTTGAGGGCACATATTTCTGGCGAGCTTGTGCTTCGTGATTTTACGGCCTGTAAATTGGGTACTTCTTTCCTTGCCCCGGTGGTCTTGAATACGAGAAGTTCCAATGGCTCTTATAAGCTATTCGTTTTCTCCAATCGATTTCTACTATATTAGCAACCCATTGTCCGCCTCTTCCCCTCTCCCCGACCAAATAAATCAGTCTCACCACACATCACCTGATTAAGTTAGAAGACGTGACTCATTGCATTGCTTTCTGAATATCTATATACATAATCTGACTGTCCTGCTACTAAAACGATTCATCCTATAAATATCCTGTTAGCTCGCTGTATTGTGTTGATTGTATACCTTGATCCTGTCATCCAAAAACGCCAGCCTCCTTATAAGTCAGTTAGTTCATTAAGGCGTAAGACATCTCTTCCAATTCTTAACCAATCGTGATTATGAGCCCACAGCATGACTGAAGACCTTTGCGGCAAGCTGACTTAATAGTCTAGCTTTATCACCTTGAGGAAGTTCCTATCCCGCCAGGATCAGCACAATTCTCTGTCATTTTCTTCCAACTCTCAATCCAGCTCCCAGTTTTAACTCACCTGGAAAACAGCATAAACACTCTTTCCCTTCGCATCCCTAACAGCCCCTAACCTGTTCCCCGCTACCGCTCCGGCCAACATCCCCGGGAAATTTGCAACAATAAAGCCCATGGCCCCTCCACTCAAACCCCCCAACATACTCCAGAATGTTCCAGTAGGTTTATTATTATTCTCCGCCAGCCCCTCCTCCCTCAACATCTCTTCAAATACGTCACCAAACTGTGCGTCTTCGAACTCTTTTTCCTCCTCTGCATTCTTTGCTTTTGAAGAAAATCCAAAACTGGACCAAGGGAATCCGCCTGGGAAACCTCCCGATCCGCCAGTTGGATCGGGGATTTCCTCATCGTCGTCCATAGATGTTGAGGCAGTAGAGGCTCCGGAGCCAAATCCATGATAGGAACGTGCAGCATCATAGTCGCGACGACGGGAGGGTTCGGAGAGGGTATAGTATGCGTCATTAATTTGTTGAAACTTACGGGTTCTCTCGGCGCGTTCGGGGGAGTCGGAGGGTACGCGGTCAGGGTGCGACTTTAGAGCTGCTCTGTTGGGGTGAGAGGTTAGCTGGTGTATATCAAGGAGCAAGGGGATGGCTCATTACCTTTTGTAGGCATCACGGATCTGTTGCTGAGTTGCCGTGGAGGATATGCCAAGGACGGCATCTGGAGGGCAAAATTGTAAGTATGGATGATATCAGAATGGAAAATTGGAATAACAAATAACCGTGAGGTTGGCGAACTTACAGTAATCTGATGGTAATGACATTCCTGCGATTTTCAGGGTTCAAAGAGGTGCGGTACGCAAGAAGAGTCTAGGTAATGGTGTAATTATGTAGATTTTAACAGAATATGATTTGTATAAAATACTTCCAGGTATGCGGATTCAACCGAGGATATGAGAGGTGCAAAGGACACCTCGAGATTTGAAGTTTGAGTGGAGTGTTTTGATACCTGGATTGAATTGACAGGTCAACGTGCAGCAGCGTCATTGAGGTGGCGGATGTGGCGTAAGTAAATGTGGCTGGAATGTGAAAAATCTTGGCATCAACGACTGAATGTTCGCAAACAATTATTTTATATCAAGAAAAACTCGAGGACATCAACGCAATTCGATATTTTGGAGCCATACTTCTTCCTTTTTTTAAGAAAATAAATGAGAGAATGATTCCCGATTGTCTCTCAGGGAAAAGTGCACAAGTCTGAAGTGTTCTTTGGATTTTCAGAAGGGGCTCCATCACTCTTCTCCAGTTTTTGCTGTCCATACAGCCACGACTCGACAACGCGTCCAAATTCCATTTTCTCTAGGAGACGGATAAATTTGGTAGAGTCGGTAAACTTGGACGAAGCCGTTCATTACTGAATCTTCATTGCCGTTGTAAAGGAAGAGCAAGTATAAAGTCTCCAACTCAAAATATCCATGTTATGTAACTTTTAAGGTTACAAATTGATAACGCCATCTTTTCAGCGAGCGGCCCGAGAGAGGAAAAACCCTGATACCCCACCTCCCACAACTTCTAAACCCCGGTTTGTTCTCTACTACATCTTACCTCTTATCTATGTTGTAGTCCAACGTTTATAAATCTTCCATTGGTTCTGATACTCTCCCATCCCGTGCTCGTCACATTTCAACCTTTGGCAAAATGTCATCGGAATGTAAAATCCACCTCCTAGACGGAGGTCTTGGCACTACCCTCGGAGACTCCCACCAAGTACAATTCACAGAAAAGGAACCTCTCTGGTCTTCTCAGCTTCTTATTCCGACACATCCCCATGGACCTAACACGCTCCTCGCTACTCAAAAGTCCTTTGTAGATGCCGGTGCTGATATCTTATTAACTGCTACTTATCAAGCGAGTTATGAAGGATTTGGAAGATCTGGCTATGCTGTTCATTCCCACTCATCCTCTGGTTTCGAGAAAGAAGATGGAGATAAAGAAGAAGTCAACGAGATCATGAGAAGCGCGGTAGATATCGCTTCCAATGCATTTTCTGTCAAAAAAGATTCGAATGGCAAAATTGCACTAAGTCTTGGTGCATACGGTGCAATCATGACCCCAGGACAAGAATATACGGGAAAATATGATGATCAACATAAATCAAGCGAACATCTGAGCTCGTGGCATCATGAAAGAATTTCTGTTTTCTCGAGGGATCCAAAATCTTGGGACAGAGTTGATTATGTGGCTTTTGAAACCATTCCGTTATTGGAGGAGATTGAGGGTGTAAGGAAATCTATGGGAGAAATAGAAAGGTCGAATGGTGGAAAGACCGGAAGCAAGCCATTTTGGGTTACATGTGTATTTCCTGGCGAGGGAAATGGGTTGCCGGATGGAAGTTCTGTACAACAAATTGTGCAAGCGATGTTGAGCAAAAAAGAAGGTTCCCCAGTACCATTTGGCGTTGGTTTGAATTGTACCAAAGTTGGAAAAGTCGAAGCTTTGATACTGGACTTCGAGCGTGAAGTTAGGTCTTTAATTGAAAAGGGAGATGTTAGTGAGTGGCCATCTCTGGTAGTATATCCCGATGGAACAATCAAGGGAGAAGTCTACAATACCTCTACCAAAGTATGGGAAATTAGGGAACCACCCGGAAAAGAAGATTTGCAGTGGGATGAAGCAGTTCTGGAGATTGTCAGGAGGACAAGGGACAGAGGTTTGTGGAAGGAAATTATTGTGGGAGGTTGCTGCAAAACTACACCAAGGGAAATTGGAAAGCTGAGAGAGAGGATCGATCGGTTAATTAAGGAATAAACCGAATAGAAATAGTGAAAGAGACCTCATATTCTAAACGCCCCGTTCAAATCTTCCGCATCACAGTCTTTTAGAGCCTGAGAAGATTGTAACCATTGTCGCAACCACAGCTTACTTCTCCTATATCCTCCATGAGGTGCTTTAACGCAAACTCATCAAACATCAGCATTCTCGTTTACTTAGCTTTCTATCGTCTTTCAAAGCGCTCGTCATAACATCCACTCCAATTCGCGATTTTCAAATCTCGTACTCCACAACCTAATACCCTCTCATCCCATTTGCCTCGTAAGTACATGTCATTCTGTCTCCACCTGGCACTGGGTTTCTGACCCCACCTCTGTGAAGGTGGTTACTCAAACCATAATTACCCCGTCTCCTTTCCCGTCCGTGATACCCTCGCATCAAATGTCCAGCCTTATTTGCCTACAATTCCTGAAAGACGTCGTGAGTTGGGCCCAATAGATATATTGAACACTTGCGGTCTAACCAAGGATAGTTGGTACTACTTCTCACTGGAACAGCCCCTTGGCGCTGTCATTGGTGACGACGGCACGGAATCTCAGCAAGAGGTGAAGGAGTTCCGTCTGCCACTTGGCTTCGATCACATCAGAATAGTCATCGGTCGGATTATCGAAGCGAGGAAGGATTAGGTGACTAAAATAAGGCGATATTTTAAAGCCTTTAAGTACCATATGATTGAAATCACAAGCCAGGGAACCAGCTTCATTTCTCGCACTTTTGACAGCATGCAATTTAGATCCTTTAATGGTGAGGTGCTACCACTAAGAGCAAGGCCGAAAAAGCCAAGACGGCAGCGGGACGGACAGAAACTGAACACGGGATCTAATATGTTGCAACAAACAACTGCAGTGCCTTTGTCATGGCTGTCAAGAATGATGTTCAGTAGATGGTATTTTTTCACTTCCAGGATTTTAGTCTGTGGTGTTGTTAGTATCGAATTCGTGCTTTCCTATTACCTTTTCCTCGCATATCGATTGGTGGACCTATGAACCCAGTAGGCGTTGGAATTCGTTAGACTTCGCCTTTTCCTATCCACTTTCCTTTCCGTTTGCGGTACCGTTTTGGGTTCAGATTTTAGGTATGGTACTCTACTAGTGAGTATTTGTCTTTTTGATTTGTACAGCAAGTTTGCTTCTTCCAGAGAAAATATCACTCAGCATAGTTTAGATTTGTACATGCCGCAAGTATACTTCAAATCTCAGCCATCCGCTTTTGATCATTAACGAACAACAGCCGTACGACAGACACGAGATAAGTATAAAGCCGAAAGCTATCAGTTGAGAGACTACCTATTTATCACTTCCCAAACGTTTTAGCGTCTGCTGACTGGACTACCTTTTAATTCTCGCTTCAGGGATGGGACATGAAAGTTCAAGATACCTTGCAACTTTGGTAACTATGCGGCTAGTGGTTAATTAGTTGAACAAGTACATTGCTAGTGCATTGTTGGATGGCTAGTTTAGTCTCATGGTTCTCGAACTAAATTGGAAGCTCAACTAGTCGAAGACTATGCCCTCTAAACCCGTTGAGCTAGAGAAACTGCCAGATTAGTTTTGTGCTACTTCAACTGCCAGTTGAACCACGACCAATGGAACTGTCGGTTGATTTCAATCACTAGCTTTTCGTGTGGTATGAGCCAAGCACTCTGAGCTGGAAGTACGAGTTTTAATTATGATTTCAGACCCTTGAAGGTCTACCGGATTCCTGGTGACCTGATTGAAATCGTAAATCTATTCGCCGGGCTTCAAGCGTTGACCATATACAGATTAAGGGTGTTACATTGTTGTTGACCTCCCACGGCCGAGTTATAATCCACGCTCATTGGGGCCCTAAATCTATCCCAGGATTGGAGTAACGTCGCACCTCCTCAGCAAAATTTTAAAGTTACACAGTTTCAACACAATCCAGATGTGGTCCAATATACAGCAAGAAATGGGAAACGAGCCTTGTTGTAAGTGCACAAAACATGCAATGTAGAGGCACAAACGGATAAAAAAACGTGTTGGATGCATTGCATCAATACAGTGAGACAGAATATATTAAGCTGTACACAGCCGACCAAGATTCTACTCGGCTGGGTTTACGTCGACGAACGAGATTCGATGCCGAACACTTCACCTCTGCAGGATGCAGTATATGTGTTCAGCAATAGCACGAGGCTTGCATGGGTGCCACGTGTTTTCCATCTGTCTTACATGTACCTCCTGTTAATTGTGGATCAGATGTGAACCCTCCGAGAGGTCGACTTGGGAATATCCCGGGACTGTGGATCTTAGTGCTTACTCTGCTCTATGCATGTACCCATCCTCCACGTCAAGATTCGGCCTGAGGAAAGAGCGGTGCCAACGGATGTTTGAAATGGGCTTTTGTATAAGTAATGGGTTGGATGAGTGGCATTGGGTGAATTCACATTTTCATATACCGTTTTTCCATATTCGACTAATCAGGAGTTTGATAAGTGCGATTCGAATATCTGCCCAGAGCTGGGTATTACTACTTGGTATTTTTTAGATGATTCGCGGACTCCAGTGTCTAGAACTTCCAATTCCTTTTGCCTACTAGCCAACACCTCTAATATCACAAATTCACTTCGAGTATTGGTCCTCGACAGCTTACATGAAATGGCCGTAATCACCATGCCTTCATCACATCCAAAACAAACAGACCATGACATCCCAAGCCTACGTCAAAAATCAATCCAATCCGTCAAGACACTCCTCACACCACGCAATCCCCGACAATTCTCCAAACTACTCCAATTCAGCCCCCTCAAACCCTCTCCATCTGAGCAGCCCGGTAAATCAACCCCATCATTCCACCTCTTCCGCGAACTCCCATCCGAAATCCGCACCATGATCTGGAGCATTTACATCAGCTTCCCTCGCATCCACATCCCCACCCCTAGCTCCGAAATCACACCTTCAAACCCCTCCCCTCTCATCCTAACCCGCGCTCCTCACCTCCACCCCTCCCTCTACATATCCCACGAATCGCGCTCCACCTACCAACAAACCTGCTGGTTAGAAACCCTCCGACGCATGCACATGCACACTCGCACGTGTACTCAAACCCCCACATTACATCCGCGCTCCGCATCATTCAGCTCGCATTCTTTCATGCACTGTGTCGAAGGAAACGAATTGCTAAATTGGGACACGGATATTTTCTGGTTCAAGGGAATTTCAACAGTGAAGAGGTTATCAGAGGGGAGTTTACGGAGTCAGATGAACGGCTATGAGGATGTGCGGAAGGTGGCGCTTGATTATACGGTGTTGGATTATGAGGAGGAGAGTGAGCATTGGAGGAGGAGGTTTAAGATTGGTTGGTATGGTTTGGTTTGTGTGTTGCATTTGTTTGAGTATCTTGAAGAGGTTTATTTTGTGCTTGATGCTGAGGGGGATGTGAAAGCGGATGTGAAGGGGAATACGGAGGTGTCGTTTGAGTTGGTGGATGTAGAGGAGAGGGTAAGGAGGAGATTGGAGGGGGTTAGTGGGAAAGTTTGTGGAGATGCTGATAGATTGTGTTTTCCCCAGTTGGATGATAGAGGTGTGTATCCAGCGTTAGAACGGCTATTTTCTCGCTGGGAACGGTGTCATGGGTGGAAGAAGCCAAAAGTCCAATTTGTTTATGCTAGGAATATTGGTTGATAGATTGGTATGCATATTATTTCGGATTGGATATTAGATATATATGTATGCCAATGACTAACGACAAGATGGGTATACTTACCTGTTCATTCTCGAGTAAAAACTAGATTATCGACTTTTCATCCCGTCGAATGCCCACCACCTTCAAGTACCTATCTATACAACAATACTATTTCCAGCATCACATCCTATTTGCGCATACATATATACCAAACAGGGTTGGGCAAGGGTTAGGGTATACCCCAGTTACCCGGGTAGGACTCGTTGGTTGATTATCCTGCTTTACCTTTACAAAGTAAAGTAAATATCCTATGAAATATCAAAGAATTTAAATATATTTGTCGAATATTATAAATAAATTTTATAAAAAGATATATACAATCACCCAGTATAAAATAATCCGAAATCATATAATCTGAAATCAAATAACCTAAATGTTACGAGGTTTGCCGTCTAGATCACGTGGAAGTGCTCTAGGCTTTCGAGATGGTTTATAGCTAAGTGTCAAGCAAGAACTTAAGTAATGACAATAATAATATACAATTAATAATTAATATGTTACGTCCAAAACGATTAGTATGTCACATGACCATAAAACATGTGATGGAACGGTGAGGAACGAACGTTCCTAGGAACAACCAGGAACGACGATTCCTAGTTAACCATAGGCACGAAGGACTATATAATCAAGATGGATTTCTTTTGTATAGAGCTTCGTGCTCAAGATCAATCATTTAGTATACTCTATTATTAGTTATAAATTGAAAACTACTCACCCATCCATCCATCACATTCCACGAAACCTAAAACTTATAATAGATAATTTTTCAAAATTTTCAATGGCATGGATATGTAACTCGCTCAAAACCATCTACTTTTCTCGTACGGGACGGATATACATCCTGCCATATTTGAATACCTGCGAGATATGTACAAATTGGTATGTTCTAGAAACTTGAAAGTAAAGAAGCGAAGATATTAATGATTAGAAGAGGGGGAGGGAGTATGTGTAAAGTCATTATTTTCGTTTGTAATAGTAAGTACTGTATGGAGTAATTTATATTCCGACTCCCAAGCCGAGCAGGATTTACCAAAAAATCATCATAAAGAGGACGTCTGTCCCCCATTTTCCCCAAATTTAAAATCATCAATAAATAAAATAAAACAAAGCGAGAAATATAAATCTAATTATATCATCATCATAATCATCATCATAATTATAAATAAACAAAAAAAGAAAAGTAAAAAAGTCTATCCCCATCCTCATCCCAAATTCCCATCTCCATCCCCAGAAGACAAAAACCCTCAAGCATCATACCTCTCATTACCCCTAACAACATAAATCTCCCCAACCAGCACCGCACAACCGACCGCCATAGAAATCGCCACAATGGGCAAATTAACCCTCGCAAAATCCAACCTCCTCACATGAATATGTTTTCTCGCCAAGATATCCCTCCACAGCAACCCAGCAAGCGAAGCGCTAAAAGCCGTGCTAAACGCACCGTAATTCACTCCTATAGCCATGGAATAGACGGTTCCCCAGAAAGCGCGGTCGCTGATGGGGAGACCGTTCTTGTGGTGGATATCTTGCCATGCTTGGACGACGCGACAGAGGAGAATGGTTGTGCCGATGTTGGTGCCTGCGAACTATGGGGGGAAGAGGGGGTTTAGTTTGGAGGGTGAGTAAGATTAGATGGAAGGAACTTACGTTGCAGAGAATGCAGGAGAGAAATCCCATGCCGCCGATTGCTCCGACAGTGCCGGTCCTTTCTACCCAGTGATCCCAACCATAGGCGAATACTGGTACCCATCCTTTGGTCACTAATGCTTGTACGAGAACGAACATTGAAAATGCGAATGGGACGAGGGCGAAAGGGAGATGGGATACTACTGCTGTGACGGTCGGGAATGTTTCTTGACTCCATAAATATGCATCACCAAAGAGTGAAACTAATGTTGTGTGTCCACGCTGCTTTGGAAGCTCGACTCGTCGAGAAATTTGTTCGGAGAGTGCTCGTTTATCTAGATCTGATTGATCACTTGATTGTGGGCCTAATACCCCCTGCGGCGGAGAAGGCGTTTCTGGGCGAACTGGTTCCTTCTTTTCATCTAATGTGCTCATTGCACTGGTCGAAGAACGACTATTTTGTAAATTGTCTTCTTTTGGGACGAGTGTCGAGATAGACGAGCCTAAAGGATCACTCAAGTTTGGGTTTCGGCCACCCAAATTTCCGGGTACTAGAAGCGTAGGAGTGTGACTATTTTCAGTGAGGTTGCCATCTTCCCTCTCCAAGATTTTCATTTCGATTTCTTCCGGTGATTTTGTTAGCGTCAGAGAAGTCCCATTCGCATTTTTAGAATCTTGCTGGTCTTGTTCTAAGATTACTTGATTTGCCTCCTGCTCTTCTCTAATCGCTCGCTCAGCTCGGGCAAGTTCAACTTCCCGTCGTCCCTTGCGAGCAATCTCCCGTGTTTCGTGCCGATTAATCCATCCTAGCGAGATTTCCCAAACAAACATCACAAAAGCCGCTGGTAAAGTCACCCAAAATACTGGATGTTCCCCATTACTCTGACTAATAGCGTTGATAACCAAAACCACAATAAGGGTTATAGCCATTAGAACCGCGCCAAAAGCTGCTCCTTTTTTATCCACAAAAGGATTCATAATTTCTTCCAGAGAAAGCTCTTTATTTTCGGCACCATCGCTTTCTTCCCCTTCCCCTTTGGCATTTGGAATATTCGGATTCACAGGCTTCTTAGCTTTAGCCTCTTCGGAAAGTTCGTGCATTTTGATTGATAATGGTATCAGAGCCTCATCGGCAAAGACGATATATAATAAAAATGGAAATAAGACGATTGCTGTTACAACCACTGGAACAATCATGTTCGCAGTATATTCGATAAACTTTATACCAAATGCACCGGCCAGGACAAGATTGGTAGGATTGGAAGAGACGAGAATGGCCGAAGCAATATTGGCGATTGCAAATTGAGTAAAAATCCATGCTCTTGGGTGAATAATGTTACTCGATACTCTTGTCAAGTAGGCAAGAAATGCGGTACCAGACAAGATGATGGGATCATTCCCGATGAATGCCCCCAGACAGAAGAAGAAAGCGTAGAGGAAGAAGAACAGCCTGTGCCCAACTTTACCTCCCTTCTGGAGTACCTTGAACGCCAGGTATCTGATGAGGCCGGACGCGTCGATTGAAATAGCAATGTATGCTAATGTGATGAAGAAAACCATAATATCAATCGGATTGATACTGTTTGCTCCAACTGTCCCATCGTGTACTTCTTGCCGGCCTATGGCTAGAATAGCGAGTAGAAATAGATCTGCTATCAAAGGCGCCGTTACAAAGTTCATGGGAAAATTCAATTTCATAAAACTCGTGATTTTGCCACTTCGGTCATCTTGGTGATCATGCTGAGAATCGTCGTCCCTTGGTGATATCAAGCGCAAATGACTTAGTACATCCAGAAAAGCATTTGACAGTTTCCGTGGAACGTATATTGGAATATGAAAGGGGAAAAGAACAATGATATCTGTGTAATTCCAGCAGAGTCAATCACCCTTCAGAAAAACCCAATGTTTTGGTGAAATATTCTGCACTCACTAGTTATAACGAAAATGATGAGCGTCACTATAGATCGCCAATCCTTGATTTTATTGGTGTCAAGGTCCACTGCTGTCGCCATGATGAAAAATCCTCCTTCCTGAGCGAAATATCACAGCAAGGGAAATTCTTGGTGAATAGATATTCTCAATGCCTTTCAGAAAGATAATTTTGAGATGAGGAATTCCATATGACTCTCAGTAGATTATGCAGTCTTGCTCTAATTCACCGACAAATCCCTTCCAACACTTATGGTGATGTTGATTGCAGTGAGACTTACATATGGCCCCGAATTAATTCTAGATGCGCATCGAACACTGATAATAAAATATATACCTGTTGGGCAGAAATCAGGTAAAGGCCAACATGGATAGAGTTTTTTTTCCCGCAATAACAGACCTGAGAGTGCCCTGATAACTTCAAATCGCTCGAGGTTGTAAGATAAGGTAAAATTGGAATCATCAACTCTTTCTATCTTTTTTTTCTGTCTAAACACAGCCCATTTGTAAAGGGCCTTTTGAAGCCAAGAACATGATTATCACACGTGGATAGATTCTCGTTCTGAGATGGTTAGAATTTCAGGCGCCAATAAAAATCAAAGCAGCCTCAAATGGAATTCTTAATTGGCCTGTAGAATCTAGATGATGTACATCAAGATGAGGCTGTGTGTGTTGTGTGCCCATTTACGTATATAATTACCCTGAGCCCTTTGGGAATAGGGCTGCTAGGCTGCATCAGCTGTGAATTTTCACACCGCACTTATGTTTCGATCGTCAGAGTACGGGATATGAATGACATCGCGCCTTCTTCCCTCATGAATTTAACTCCACATTGATAAGAGGAACAATAACATGAATATAGGGTACAAGAGGATAACAAAATAATGACATGACGTTTCCTGCCAACTTTCAACATGATAACCTCCTCGGCCACAACCGAATGAATGACTCGATAATCTAGTAAACGATAAGAACATGTGGCTCATAAATGTGTGGCTAGAATCTAAGATCTTACATTCATTCCAGCCACATTAGATAATTCTCCAACACAACCACCTACATACTCCCCCATCCAATAGACGTATGAGGAGTCAAGGATATCTTCCGAACACCCTATCTACTCTCCAAAAGCCACATCCAAGCATGATTAAGATATACGGACATCATTTAAAATTTCAATGCGTCTCAGCATAGGGGCACTCATACGGCGAATCCAACGCTTTGGTTCCTCGCCTTGGTCTGCATCAATATCAAGCCCTACAAAACACATCAAAATCGACGATGAGGAGCGTGGTGTGAAGATTCCACAAAACCCATCATCATTCCCCATGGCGAAGATGATATTCCTATCTCTCCTCGCTCTCCTCACCGTAATCCTCCTATCCAGCTACACCATCTACAAACCCCCACAATTCATCATCAACCTCCAACGAATGGAAATACCCAGACGTGATATTCTACGTCCCACTCTCC